GGGGTTGACAAGTAGTTAGGAGTGACGGAAATGTGGACCGTATAATCGTGTTGTTGACCACGGAGTACGAGCCGTTACGTTGGAGAGAGGCGTACTGTCGCCCCGAGATGTCACAGAAAATGTGTGTATATTCTGTAGTATATACCCATAAAATCGGGACTGCAACTTCTCCCGGATGGGCTCTTTCCAAGGTACTTGTCAACACACAGTTAGTGACGTTTCATCCACCATTCGAATCAGGCCTTTGTATTCCCCAACCTAACGGGTGAAAGTCGTCTTCTACTAGTATAGGGCGGTTTGTATGTACCTACTCGTGTTCTGTGTCAGACTTGAGGATTAATGCTCTTATTGTGCTATCCACGGGAGAGAGTCGCAATGGAAGATATTCAGCACACTACCGTGCTGAGAAAAGCAATCAAATCAGGGCGGGTACAATGAAGCAGGTAATTTCTGATCGGTAGCTGCGAAAGTGGTTTCCGCGGGAGAGACGTACTGGGCGGCGTTGATAGTTATGACTCTGCCATCATGGTGGGATAGTGAATGGAGCACCCGGGCTCCAGTGCAGTGGCACCTGGAGATGTGAGGACGTCTGGGACTGGCTCTCCGGCGGTCTAAGGCGTCTGGTCTTGCGGCGGACAACCCTCGTTGAATTGGAGCCCGAAGATTTGCGGGGTTCTGACAGAATGGGCAGTGGATGAGCTTGTTAGAAGGAGTCGTGGAGGCTATTGAAGATCCACTGGAGCGATGGAGTTGGAGAAAAGTGAAGTGGTGTGTTCAGGTGAAGTAGCTACGGGTACAAGAGAAAGAGAAATAAACCGAACTTGGAACCGCTATCGCACCGATTATTCCAAGCACCCACCACCGGTCCTCTGAGAGGCTAGTGGACTAGTTACTAGCAGAAACACACTCGTTACCACAGAGCTGAGAGAGTTACGTACAGGTTAGAACTTGGAAGGGAGCAGGCGGGGGATGTAGGGTTTTCGACGAAGAATTCCAAGCCTCGTCGAGAGAGAGAGAGGGAGAGGGAGCATCCATTTATTATCGCATACGGCCTGTCTAAACTATGGTGACCACAAGCCCGTCTTTTCCTGCAAGCTTTGTGGGACAAGCCGTATCGAATTTAGCAGACGGACCGATCCTGTCGAGCGAATTATCACTCGTTATTTGCTTATTTGTAGAACTAGGCTTACTTAGCATTACAAGTCGAACACGGCTGAATTTGGTATGTTGAGGCGCAGGGGCCGACAGCGATGGAGCTTTCTATCTATTCCCATAGAGCTGGTAGGAAGGTCGGGTTTGTAGTCGCCATAGTCTGACCAGTGACAGGCCGTATGTGACGATAAATTGGCGTAAAGCCGAAGCAACACTCGGTGATTCCATCCAACGTCTAGTTGGCTTTGAGCAAGTCGATTTCACGGAACCTCTCGGCAATCCGGATTCGACAGCAGGCATTTTCGCCAAAGGAGAAAGAGGAAGACATGGAAGACGAGGAAATGTACAATACGTGGGAAGCAACAAGGAAAGACGATACCACAGGGGACGACAGTCCACCGCCGCATCAACGGCAAGAATCAAGATGGAATAGAAAACCACATGACCGAAGACGGCACCCGTCGCCCAGCTCCTAATGCTCGCAGACATGCCCGAACCGACGAATGCATCATCTGCAACCATTACGACGAGTGAGTGCATATCAGTACCTACATACCGTACTCGTGGAGTCGTGGACTCGTGGAGGGTCGATGACCAACAGACGCTGCATTGGATCTGCAACAGCTCTCTTAGCCAACTCGGTCTTACCGGCAACCCGGCAACTAGGAAATGGCGAGGATGTTGACCAACTAGTAAGTGGTTACTAGCCGGCCCTATCGATCTCCAACCACCCAGCTAGAATAGCAACTTGAGGGGATGTGCTGGTTTTACTTTTATGATCACTCGTTATTTGCATTGCGGATTTTTCATGTCTACAAGTATCGTGGGCTTCTGAATTTTTGCTGCATATTCTGGCAATACTCAGACTATTCATCGCTTTTCTATCATTACTTCCAAATTCTAATAGATCCGTTAGTGTGCGATCGAGTGATAGCCCCTGTTTAAAAGCTTGCAGAGTGAAAGGTCTTTACCATGTTCCATGCCAGCTTCCAAGGTTGGATTCCAAGTCGCACCTCCAAGTTTTAGATGACACCCCTTCCCAAGTTCACCGTTCGGAGGACCGGTGGTGGGTGCTTAGAATATTCAGTGCGGTAGCAGGTCCAAGTTTTCTGCCTCTTCCTCTTCCTCTCTCTCTTGTACCGGTGGCTCCTAGACCCGAACATACCTACCACTTCACTTCTCTCGATCTCCATCGCTCCATCGCTCCAGTGACTCATCTCCACGAGTCCTTCCAACAGAGAGGGGTAAAAATCATGGTAACGACACTCCATGGTACATATCAACACGGTCAAATGCGTGTTTAGTGGGCTTGAGTAAAGCGTAGGAACGAGTGTATTTCTGTGAGTGAGTGAGTGGTCCACTAGTCATTCGGAGGACCGGAGGACCGGTGGCGGTAGCGGGTCGAAGTTCAGTTTTCTTTCTCTCTCTCTTTTTTTTTGTAGCAGTAGCTCCTATGTAGACCAGAACACATCACTTCTCCCCATCTCGATCGCTCCAATGATCTCCACCACGAGTCCTTCCAACATGAAGTACGGAGAGTAGTCGGGCTCCTCGTGAACTCACTACCCTTGCGCCCGCCGACTCGTATCAAAGATCGGCACGGCCTTTACTACGCACCTACATACCCAGTAGCTTCGGCATCCGCCCCTGCCGTCAGCACCAGGATGGCAGGATCCTGGCAGCGGCAGCGGGGCAAGCTACAGAAGCCGACTAGGTATTACCGTGATATAGGCACCCACATACATATACATATCTACTTCAGAAGACAAGTATCTATCTGTCTAATTAGCGAGCGGCGGAAAGGAAGATCCCCCGGCCCCAACATTTCCAAATTCCAGTCCACTGGCACTCGCGGCACTGCTGCACGGACTCAGGGGAACAGAGCGCTGGCAGTTCAACTCTTACATATACATAATACGAGTATCTGCATATGTATGTACACACAATAGCGGCGGCCGAACGGTTCGCCTGAGTCGCGGTCGACAGCCTACAGGTGTTTACGGACTGCTGGCGATCACATTTGGTTGGCTACTATGTAACTAGTAGCAGAAGCATTCGATCATTCACTCGAACACGTATCTACATAGGTGCTTTCACCACGGCCCGTCCAACATCCAAACTTCACTCTCTGGGAGACTAGGTGCAATAACCACTTCGTGCGATAGGTATAACTGGTAGTAGCAGTTACCAGGCATTGGTTCAGCGAACTATTGATTCCACCGACCTTCATCGACACTGCCCAACTATGTATAATGTATTTAATAGAGACGCGTCCTCCTCCTCCTCCGAGTGGCGCGGCAGTACTCTACTCCGGCCACGGCATAATTACTTGTATGTAGGTGCGTGGGTGCCTACGAGGGATGATGAAACACCACCGCCTCACCGCCTGTTTCCGCCCGGGGTTCACTTTTCCCACGCCTTTGAAGATTGTGGGCCATGTATGATGTTGGGTGGATGCCTGCCGGACTCAGGCTGGAGGTTGGGATGAGGCTTTGGAAGTTGCAACACGGCGTTCACGGCATATGTACTAAGTACTACGTATGTACACGGTGGGAATGTACCTACGAGTCTGCGACCGTAAACGGCCAGCGCGAGGTAATGGATTTCCGGCAGTGGTCAAGTGGGGATGTGTACACTGTAGAGGACAATATTGAAGAGAGGGAAAATGCAGAGGGAGTGTGATGAGACGTGTACTCTTCTCTAATACTCAGAGTAGAGCAGAGTAGAGCAGAGGCGTTGGCAGCATGATATGCTGCCACGCAGTGCACAACCGCAGTGCTCCAATGGTACATAGTAACTACCTACTACGGACCACCTATGCATCATCCACTGACGGTGATACCGGCGTGGAGCAGAGATGCCTGGCGACCTGGCGAGGAGGCTGGAGAGTGGAGACTCAGACTGAGACTGAGACATAAAAATAAATATCAACAACGGTTGAATCCCTGCATCATGTGAATCTGCAGATTCAAGACTTTGTAGTCGGCGTGTGTATGGCTAACTAGTAGCTGTCGAGCGCCGTCTACGCCATGCATTTCACTCCATAGTTAGGCGCGTTTATAGTTGGTTAGGTACTCCGCCTAAATATTTACCAAGTTGGCACCAAACCGAATACGACGGCAGCTGCGTTACAGCGTTGCAGGGCGAGAGCTACTCTACATATGGATGCTGTCTAGCCTCAAACTACGGTGATAACTACTGCTTAGGCATGCCGCGGCGCTAGTAGCCGACTGGGACTACCTAAGGCAAGTACTTAGTACGGTATGTATTGCTCTTGCGCCGTGGACGACAGGGAGACGACGCGAAGAGGCATTAGTTAGGTAGTAGGCAGGTAGGTAGGTGTGTAGGCGTGTATATGATGCGGTATATAGGTCAGGCATCAAGACTACAGAGCGACATGTGATGTGGCTTGAATAAAATGTCTTCGGCGAGGTGCATAAAAGAGTTGGCGGCTTGACGGTCATTCGGACGACTGGAATACAGTAGGGGGGCCAAGTCTGTGTTCTAATTCCTATTCAGCTTCACGTCTGGATGATGCAGCGATATCCGCAATCGCAACTCAATGGGCTATTCAGCGTGACAATGGTGTATCTGGCGGTTGGAGGAGAGACTTCTACTAGCGTAGTCACGTGTTGCAAACGAATGACCCGCCATGTTTTCGGCATTAACTACCAGGGGCCGGGGCTCTTGCTGATCCTCGCCCATCTCACTTCCAGCGGCAGCCGAGATAAGGGGCCGTTATCGTGGCATCTTCCAATGAGGGAAGCCGCGGGAGCTACTCTACTCGTACTCTAATTTGCACCTGAACGTCAAAACCACTCTAGCTATCCGCGACTATCGAACGGCAACGGCAATTATAGTAGGTGTTTGAGTGATCTGTCGGTGCGTCCACGCTTAGCCTGCCGATAGTAGCGCTCGTACTCAATTGCTCAGTTGTATTCGAATTACCTTTTAATGGCAAAGATTGATGTTAATTGGATCGATTCGGCGAACGAAAAATCGGAGTCCTCGACCTCCGGACTCGGGCGCCGCGACGACAACGCAACCGTCCGCGAGAGCGCGAGTATGCAAGCCTCGGAAGCCACGGCGTTCCCAAGACGGTGATGCGTACTGCTCCGTTGTGGGTTCCTCGTATTCGATCCGGCAGAGTAAGTAGTCCTGAGCCTGAATCCGATGTCTTATGCTAGCGCCAGTTCGCTCTAGCGACGTCCGAACCGCTTGTCGCAGTCGCAGTCGCATAGTGGAGTATAGTAGAGTACGGTAGAGTATATAGACACCTCCTACGCGCAAGCGGCTTCCAAGGATTGTCGCATACGGCTTCGCTATTTGTTCAGCGAGTGTCGGGCGCCCGCTCGCGGCGCAGTGAAAGGAGTAGAGTAGGTACGGTAGGTGGCCTGTCGGACTCCCGAGTCTCACTATGGCTGCCGCGTCAGTGTAAGCTGTCCGGCAACACACCCAGCTCTGGGGAGACGGTGGGAGCGATAAAACAGTGGGAGTGTAAGGGTACAGAGGTACTTAGGTAGTCATATAGAACTTTACCCCGGATTTGCATAAGCTGACGTGTTGTTGTTGATAGAATATCGTGAACTTTGGGAAGCTATTCCAGGACACGATAGAAACGGAATGATGATTGAAGACGGAAGTCTGGGATAGCTGAAGAGGCAAGGGGAGGGGGCGCAAAGAAAAGGGGAGGAGGCGTAAAGAAAAGGAGGCGAAACTCCTGGAGAAAAAGTCTCGTGCATTACGTGTGCGTGAATCGGAGGCGTCGCCCAGTCTCGCGCCCCATATGTGGATACTCGTGCGTCGTCAGATGCTGGATACTAGGTACTCGTATAGAGTACATACAGCCACCTATATGACGCTGCGTCCAGAGTACCTGGTCGGCTGGGTTCTTGGTTCTCCACAATGGTTCCCCGCGATGTCCGCTGTCAGGATCACAACTCTCGGGGATTGGGTTTGAGGATGAGGGGGCTTGGAAGTTCATGGCCAAAACTCTTGCGCCGTGAAATCTCAACCTTGGCTCCACCGGGGGTACGACGCCTTGAACGCGGCACCGCGGCATGGGCCAAGTACATAACTTGGGGCCAGCATGCAGAGCATATAGTGATTCTTCTGCTTTTGAGGATACCGTGCAGATCTCACCGTGCTAGCGGGCGCCATTGATCGAGGTGAATGCGTTCCCCGCTGGCGGAGTTATGCCGGGACATACCCGAATATCAGACGTCGTAGGGAGCATCGATGCGCCACGAATGGTCGTCTTGTGCAACACAGCACCGAGCAGACATCTATTCTTGCGCGTGGCCGCGATGCTCTTTCCGTTCATTCCCCGATGCATGTTACTATCTGCGGGGTCAACTTGGTTTCTGCGACGAGTAATGGTGACTGAAAACGGCCCGTTCGAATAGAAGTTGCAGCAAGGACGGGAGGTGATTTGCCGGTATGCAGTGTCACCCCAAAGTCGGTGCGATGGCTGTAGAAACAGCCATGCGGATGCTGAATCCTGATGCTGGCGGTATATATGCGGAGTACATAGTAGTAGGTCCGTGTATTAGGTAGCCATTACCAGACAAATATCATGCGGAGAGCAATCTGGTAGATTGCAGGTAAAAGGATACCGGTATGTACTTCTTTCATGGAGTAGAGCACCGGTATCTTAGGGGGAGGGTTCTCCCCTGATTGAGATCTCTTTGGGTGGCTGTCTGTGCTTTGGTCCGTCCTTTGGCTTAACCACGATTGTTACGCTGCACCGACCGACCGATGCACCATTGCACCGTGGGCTTTTAGCCGGGAGCACCTCGAATCACGTTGCGCTCTGTGAACGACAACGCCGATGCATTGGCATAGTCTTGGGCAGGTGAGTAGCCCAAGCACAAGGCCCAGAGCCAATCACGAGTCTGCCATGCGCCAGATACCCAGACGCGATTCAGCCAAATCTTGGGGGGAACCAACGGAATGGTGCCGGCTGCAGTTCCGGTCGTACTCGCTGGAAGAGCTCCACCGCTGTCAACGCGCGTCCGAGGCCATGGCCCCCCGCATGCTCATCCCTTGAGGCTTGTGGGGGCGCTTATTCTTGAACTCATGGAGTCTGGACGTAGTAGTTAGTGGGGTTTCGGGGGATCAGGGTCGACAACGCGTACGGCACCGACCATGTACCTCCCTACCCTGACGCTGCTGATCAGTGTGGGAGAAAATGGCAATCACCGTGTACCATACCAGGTAAACGCGCTGAACAGTGGTGTACCAGTGAATTCGTTTGTCCCATTGGAGATGTCTTGGACTCTTCGAGACTCGAATTCGAATGGGCTGAACAGAGGCATCCCACTGCTCAGTACCCTCATTCCTTCTTCCGGAACAAACATGCGCTCCAGAGGCACCGCAATGTTCCGTTGGCCGGGCAAAATGCGATACGACGGTTGCCGTCTGATCGGGTTTCGGAATACGCTCTACAAAAGCAATTCGATGAGGCCAAAGACCCTCATGGTGGAGCGGCTGTGCAGCAGTTGTCCAATCAGCGCCAATTACGGTCAAGGTCCAAGGATCGTGGCTTTTCACCTAGGGTGTCTGGTTGGGTGCTGGTGTTGGTGGGGTGTGGGGAAATGCGGGGGCGGAATGCATGCATTAGTTAGTAAGTTAGCTGCACTGAGCTTCCCTTCCTTGTCGGGCACACCAAGCCTTTTCCCCGGCTGCGGAATGCGGTTTCGTCTGCCTTGATCATCCATGTCGTGTATGTATGATAGTAACTAGCGTACTCGTACAGAGTTGCGGCCTGCATGTGCTCAATCGCTCAACGATTCGGATCAGAGGAGGACTGTCTGTCTGGAGGGTGCGCAAGGCATTCAATGCGAACAAGATGGCTGGCTGGCAATATCAATCTGGCGCGTGCCAAGTCCGTCCCAGTTCCGGATCTTCCGCGGATCCGCGCGCTCTCGAGTGTGCGGATCGGAGTCCTCGGGATCGGCCTAAAGTGCTCCGTATGTGCTGGCGGCGCCGCGCAACGGATAGCAAGTCGAGAGGCGCTGGCGGTCGCGGACGTTCTCGGACGGACGGTGATCGAGCTACAGAGCTCTTCGGAAAGCTACCCGATGGAAGGGAACCTTCGAGGACCATAAGATCCAGCAGCTCCACGGACTGAACACCTTGCCGTCCATCTTGATGCTGAAGTGCTAGGACCCCGATAGCCTGCAGCCGTTCAGTGTCTGGGTTACGGTATGTGCCAGGTGCTTCAGGCAGCGAGTCTTGCTGGGCTCCGGCATCGTTGCGACCTCCCAATTCCCCACCGCCCCCCGTGGAGCTACGCACTTCGGGCTCACCGTCTACCCCACGTCCGCCCCACAATCCGCTTATGTGGTGATCTGCACTAGTCCTGGAAATGCTATCAGCAGCGAGCACATCCGCCTGCATCCAATCCCACCCATCCCGGATTTCGACTACACCAAACCATCATCGAGGATGTGGCACAGATCGAATAAAGTACTTGCTTGCAGGATGGTCGCAGTCGGCGCGTGGGGGCGGAGTCGGCTGCGTGAGTTAGGATGGACAGTGCAGCGGGAATTGGGAAGTGGTTAGCTCGAGCCCTTGAGATTCTGTTGATGCCGCCTCGAAGCGAGCGGTCCTGGGCACTCATAGCAAGACCGGAGAGCATTTAAAGACCTTGATGTGGCCCCGTAATTCTTCTTTTCCTCACGCTCTCCAGTGATCTCCTACCCAGCTCACCTACAGAGAAATCCCACAACTTCTGCAATCATGGCTATTCCCGACGAGGTCGACATCATTGTGTGCGGAGGTGAGTTGGAAAGATTCCACAGTCCTAAGCTCTTAACTGCAGCATTTCTGACTTTGATGTTTCTCCAGGTGGTTCTTGCGGATGTGTGATTGCCGGTCGTCTCGCCAACCTCGACCCGAAACTGAAGGTCCTCCTTCTCGAGGCCGGTGAGAACAACATCAACAACCCATGGGTTTACAGGCCGGGAATCTTCCCCCGGAACATGAAGCTGGACTCCAAGACCGCCAGTTTCTACCAGGCACAACGTACGCGTTCCCCGAGTGTGCAATTCTTGAGACTGGAATCGTTGTTGACATTGGAATAGCGAGTGAGCATCTCCTCGGTAGAGCCCCCATCGTCCCCTGCGCCAATGTTCTCGGTGGAGGGTCTTCGATCAACTTCATGATGTACACCCGAGCTTCGGCCTCGGACTACGATGACTTCCGGACTCCCGGCTGGACCACTAAGGAGCTTTTGCCGTTGATGCGCAAGGTAGATACATCTTAGTAGCCCGATTCCATTGAACTTGAGCTGACAGAAATTCGCAGCATGAAACTTACCAGAGGCCTTCCAACAACCGTGAACTCCACGGATTCGAGGGACCCATCAAGGTCTCTTTCGGCAACTACACCTACCCGATGATGCAGGATTTCCTCCGCGCCGTCGAGACTCAGGGCATTCCCGTCACCGACGATCTTCAAGATCTCGAGACCGCTCACGGAGCGGAGCACTGGCTCAAGTGGATCAACAGGGACACTGGACGCCGCAGCGACTCGGCTTCTGCCTACATCCACAGCACCATGCGAAACAAGGGCAACCTCTACCTGCTGTGCAACACTAAGATCGACAAGATCCTTTTCGAGGGTAACCGCGCAGTTGGAGTCAGGACCATCCCCACCAAGCCCGTCGGCGGTACCAACAACCAAGAGGCCAAGATCTTCCGCGCCAGGAAGCAGATCGTCGTCTCGTGCGGAACCCTCAGTTCGCCACTTGTCCTTCAGCGCTCCGGTATTGGTGCCACCGAGACTCTCCGCGCTGCCGGTGTTAAGCCCTTCATCGATCTCCCCGGTGTCGGTCAAAACTTCCAGGACCACTACCTGACATTCTCGGTCTTCCGCGCAAAGCCCGACACCGAGACTTTCGACGACTTCGTCCGTGGCGACCCAGTTGTCCAGAAGAAGGTCTTCGACGAATGGAACGCCACCGGTGGCGGTCCTCTGTCGACCAACGGAATCGAAGCAGGAGTCAAGATCCGACCCACCGAGCAGGAACTGGTCGACATGGGCCCCGAGTTCCGCGAGGGATGGAACTCCTACTTCAAGAACAAGCCCGACAAGCCTGTCATGCACTACTCGCTTATCTCCGGATTCTTCGGTGACCACATGCAGATCCCTCCCGGAAAGTTCTTCTCCATGTTCCACTTCCTGGAGTACCCGTTCTCTCGCGGTTACACCAAGATCACTTCCGCCAACCCCTACGCCATGCCCGAGTTCGATGCCGGTTTCATGAACGACTCCCGAGACATGGGCCCCATGATCTGGTCGTACAAGAAGTCCCGAGAGACCGCGCGCCGCATGGACTGCTACGCCGGCGAGGTGACCTCCCTGCACCCCACGTTCCGCTACGACTCCACTGCGCGAGCGGAGGACCTGTCGCTCGAAGACACCCTCAAGTACGCCGGCAAGGATCACATCACCGCTGGAATCTACCACGGCTCCTGGGCGACCAAGTCGTCCAAGACCGCCGACCCCGATGCCAACCACCTCAACAGCAATCAAGTTTCTGTCCGCGGCGACTTGAAGTACAGCAAGGAGGACGACCTCGCCATCGACGAGTGGGTCCGCCGCCACGTCGAGACCACCTGGCACTGTCTGGGTACCTGCTCGATGGCTCCCCGCGAGGGTAACGAGATCGTCAAGCACGGTGTCTTGGACCCGCGCCTGAACGTCCACGGAACCAAGGGCCTCAAGGTTGCCGATCTGTCCATCTGCCCCGACAACGTCGGCTGCAACACCTACTCGACCGCGCTGTTGATCGGAGAGAAGGCGGCCATGCTCGTTGCCGAGGACCTCGGATACTCCGGCGACGCCCTCAAGATGACAATCCCTACTTGGCACAACGGAACTTACGAGACGACCGGCTTGGCCCGTCTTTAGGCTTTCCACCACCACCGCCACCAAGCCATCATCATCTTCGCGTCTTTTCTTTTCTTTCTGGGTCAATAGTTTTTTGTTGTTTCCGCGTATGCAGTACTCCTCGGGAAGAGGGGTTTGTTGGGATTTAAGGGTTTCATTCATGGTTCATGTGGGTTACGATATTTTTACGACTGTCTTTTGCTGGTTTTGTTAGCCTTTCGATTCGATTGTTCATAGCTTTTTCTTCCTTTTACTTCAGAATATGCCTTTGTTTATGATAGCAAATATGACTGTTTATTCTTCATGCATTGGCTACACTCGCGGGTACGATTGACTATCGAGTGCTATGTGAAGTCATTGAGACAGGCCAATTCCAGATCACCGGTTCTAAGCCAGCAACTAAAACTCCGCAATACCACCACCACCACCACCACCACCACCACCACCACCACCACCACCACAGTCTCTACCTGTAGTGCGGACTCCGGATGTATACCTCTGCATCGTGTCAAGCATGGATGGGTTGATACCGCCCAGGAGTCGTGAGGTAGATGTGGTACAGGAACTTTTCGTCAGATACCTATAGCTCCTTCTGTTCCGGCTAGCTCGCTGAACTCGTATGTCGTTCAGCCTTCGAGTGGGAGAGATATGCCGAGATGCTCTCATTAGAAAGTACCCGGCCCTTCATTGTTTCGCGTACTTTTTCAGACGCCGCATTTTTGTGGTGTATCTATAGTTATGTAGTGGCAGGTTAGCATTGTAGGTAGTAACGGATCTTAGATTGTAGGTACTTCATCTTGTTTGGCCGCTGGCGGACCGCTCCAACCTATCAACTTCCATAGCAGCATCAACCAACTGCAGGCTGTAGCCACTTGTCCATCGCCTGCTCATATTCACCGTGGTGACGGGCTAGGTACACCACTCTTCGCCTTGTCTGCTAAGTGCTTCGATCTCTTGTCTGCGAGCCTTCATACCCCGTTGAATGTGGGAGCAGCATAACTGTAGTCTGTACAAGTACTGCCTTCTGATCGTCATCGTAAAGGTAAACCCGCCTTTTTTTTGTCCCTTCGTATCCGGACAGTAGCACTGGCTCAGGCTTAGGTGTAGGACTCCAATGAACTGGACTTGCCGTGGCCCGTGGGGGATGACGTGTGGCCCACTTAAGATTGTTACCGGCGAAGAAACCGAAAACGCCCTGCCTGCTGGAACTTCCGCTGCAAATGTCGCGTCGCGAAACGTGAAAGCTACGGAAATCGCCAAGCTCTTGCTACCACAGTTTTCAGTTAGAGCTGTGGATAGTTCCAAAATCATTTCTTGTTTGACTCGACCTTGCCCCGCCCCTTGCCCCGCCGCCGACGCCGTGTCGCCCAACCCATCACCATAGAACCAAGTTTCAGTACAGTGTTCCACCCACCAGTCACCGGTGCTCAAGACAGCAGTACAGTACAGTGTTAACATGATGGCGCACAGTCTTCAACTACCCCCAAACCTGATGTGATGGAATTCGGTTGGGCGTTGCGGATGTGCGGGGCTTCCAAGTATCGGTATCGTAGTTGCTCGAAGAAAGTTTCTCGATGGAGCCGTGCTTGGAATTGTACATCTCAGGGTTGACAGGGTTGGACATGATGGGTAATGCGGGGAGCGGTGGGTGATTGTATTGGAAGGTATTGTTTTGATAGCGCTGGGCCGGGCTCATAACGGGTTGGAAAGCATGAATGAATGGAAAGAATCTGGAGGCCTCAAGAGAACATACAAGGAGGCTGGTAGGTGGCCAGTGCCCGCCGCCGTCGTCATGACCAAGTAACCACCTGCGCAACGACTATGCAATGAATGACTCGATATTACAACAGTTTGGACCATCCCAAGACCGAGTGCGATTCCGTGGTGCGGACGAGTGATCTCGAGTGGCGACAGCGCGACAGCATCCAGCCCCGAAAGAACCCCAGCATATTGCGGCCAGTGGATGGTGAAAGCGCCTTTCGTGGAGGGTGGCTAGGGGATGGGCCAGTCATGGTCGATTACTCCCCTCCAAATTCCGGTAGCCAAAGATAGGTAGCCAGGGCCCAGTACTGTGGTTTGGTTTTGGCATATGTAGACACGTTTCGACTACCCTACGTGAAACTGTATTTAATGTGTGTAAATGTTATTAGATTGCGGAGAGTTATAGATTTTATTGCCAGAGTGACGCCAGCCAGCGTCGGCCTGCCGAGCGTCCTGAAGCCATCCGGCGGCTATAAGCGCCCATCCGGGCTAAGGGTTGGCTACGGTGCTCGACGGAGTGCCTAGTTGAGGGGTGGTGGAGGAGATCGCCACGATGAACCTATTGCTACTGCGGCGGCAGAGGAAACCGGCAAGTGAACAAGAAAGCGAGCAAGAGGTGCGAGGAGATTTACGGTACCCAGCTTAAAGACGTGTTTATTCTCGTATTTTATTTAATACCCGTCAAACGCAAAACGCAAAACTCGCAGGAACTTGTGCTCCACTGTCCACGCACCATTGACGGACTTCGTACGATTCATGAACATGCTACAACCACAGTACAAACTCCATAACCCTCGCCCCGCAACCAGGCAGACTGGGCGACAGTGCCCAGATCTTCACCAGCTCGATCGCGGGGTCCACTTCCTTGAGAATTCGGACATACTGCGCCGCGGTCCTCTCCGCCCCAGCCAGATGCGCCATCATCAGCAGATCGCGATGTGCCAGCGTCTTTGGTGCGTTCATCTCTGGCACGATCATCTAGGTACACGAACGAAATTAGCAAGTATCCGCCCTAGTTATCCGCTCATGACGGTGGTTGTGTACTTACATCTGTCACCAGCAACCTCGACACGCTCGGCTCCATTGCCGCCACGATAGGCTTCAGGATCCTCGCGCAGTAGCGATCACTCCAGTCGTGGAGGATATGCCGTAGGAAGTACGCAGCTGCACGCTTGACCGGCTGCTCTCCCGCCAGAAAGTCGAGTGCGGCCCACTCGAACTTGTGGGAGAGGTCGGCGGGACATTCCTCCCGGCCGGTATCGACCGCACTGGCAAAGTCCTGCACGATGAACCGGAGGTCTGCCCGCGGATACCGCCGACCGATCGAGATCATCACGTGGCCTTTGCCGCCCCCGACATCCACGATCTTACCGCCGTGCTGGGCAAGGCGCTCGAAGGGGAAAATGTCTGCGATGCAGCTGATGGAGGTCAGTAACGACATCTACACTAGAGAATAGTTGAGACGAGTGATGCATACCCGACTTCGTACGACAGCTTGACGGTTCCCGCCATGGCATCGCCGAAGCGCACACCCATTTCAGGATGCTTATTGAGATAGTCGAAGAACCCCAAGTTGGTCCCATAAGCACGACCGAACGCAGTCTTGGTTGGCTCAGTCATATTCTGATACCCAGCATCCTTCAAGGCCTCTGGGAGGTGAGCAGCCGCACGCATACACTCGGTCCCACTGTATCGCCGGACGTTAGCCCTCCGCTAGGTACCATCAATACTTCGGCCAAAACTTGGAACGCACCCAAACATCATCAGCGCCTTGACGCCGCTGTCCCGCATACTTGCCGATCGTGCGGTATGTCGATACGTCTGCGGGGAGATCTCCTCGAAGATGAATAGTGGGGTCAGAGCGCGCATGATGCGTACTATCTCCCGTTAGTCTTCACTCCTCACCTACAGAAAATCCAATTGAGAGCGTACCGATAATAGTTTCATCGGCTCCAGTAATTACCGCAAGCTGCTGCGCGCTCATGGGCTGCGCCAGCGGGAGGACCAAAGGTAGGTTTAGGTCCACGGCTATGTTGATCGCCGTCACCTCGAAGGACTGCGGCACCCAATCAGCCGTCTTTTTTTCTTTTTCTTCCGCTAACTAGGGGAGTAGAGGCAAGGCACGAACCTGGCGGGATATGTCATACAACCCTGCTGGTCCGGTGGTGAGGGCGATGATGCGTTCTGCGGCATCGATGATGGCTCGGTGCGCATTGAACCCCACCGACTCTGTGGGGACAGCTGTAGCCGTCCCCGGTCTGAAGCTGGGCGGGGGAAGACCGCTGCTGCCGAGACTCTCGAGGTACGTCGAGATGTTGTCGGTGAGCGTGCGGCCCAAGGCGATCAGATGCTGGGCGTCTTCGTCTGCGGTGAGGACCATCGTGATTGACTTTGAGCTGGGTAATCTAAGGATCGGCCCCAATTACAGACGTACCGATGTACTTATAGGGGAACGAAGTACCTACCATTGAATTCCCATCCGCATTCCTCCCAATCAAACATTCTCGCCGAAGCGAGGGGGGGGGACGGGCTCCATTCAAAATGCAGATAACACCTTATGCGGACATCTCTCGCCTATGAGTTTGAAAGAAGTTGAAACCCACTCCTGTTTTGGGACGCGGTAAGGACGTCGTGGGTACATAGTTGGAGAGTCCATGGCCACAACCGCGTCTTAGTTATCGCCCAGAATGTCAGAATCCGCTTTGCAACTGCAATACATCTAGCTTTCTCCTGAGTCCCGCGTCTCAAAGCCCCGGGATAACCCTTTATGGCGCCAGCCTGCAACTCTATGAGGCTGTGAGTACTACCGACCCGCGGAGTTAAACGCTGCAGATCATACCCACGCGCCAAAAGTAAATTCTCGCGGTCGAAATCGACGCCATGCATCCATATGCATGTGCAGGAATACGCGATGTGGGCCCGCAGGCGGTCGCCGGTCGGTAGTCGCTTCATGAGCTAGGTGGGCGACATGCTTCCGCAGCCAATCGATCCAGATTTAAGAAGCCATTGGGCTTGCTTTTGGTACATACATACACACTCGACATCGCTTGGGATAGGCACTCTCGTTCTCGTTCACTGTCTTCCTTTTTAATAATACTCTACCTCCCTCTCCCGCCTCCCGACTCTCAAAGTCATAGACGTCCCCGAGGTGCGCCATCTCGTTGCTCTCATTCCCCCGCCTCCGCCACTGCTGCAGGGTCAATGGCTCCCCGCAGGCTCGCACACTTTGAATGGTTCGCTTACTTTCCCAGCCTCGTCTGCCGCTGGGCCTAGCCCGCGCACATCGGTGCGCGCTGCGCAACAAGTTCCGAATGGCCGGGCTGGGCTACACCCTAGGTTGGCGGAGAGTGCATGTACTCGTCCAAGTGCGCCGGCGGAGGCAGAGGCATTATAGGGCGCGCTGAGTGTGTCGCCACAACTCTTGCCATAGGTAACGTCTCCCGCTGCTCGCCTTCACAGCGCCGATTCTCATCCCCCCGGAAGCGGCCATACGGCTTCAAGTCGAGTGATGCTTTATGATCAGCACCCGATCCCCCCCGACGCCTGCCGCCACCGGTCGAGCTCTCTAGAATCCACAGTGGTCACTCTTCCGGCGAAGCTTCTATCAGAGCCGCGGGCGATATTGATCCATCTCCGCGGATGAAATTCCGCTCCCCGCCCCCGCCCCGCCCCCTGGTCCCCGCAACTCACACATGCCAGATGCCAGATGCCACACGCCACATGCTACACGCCACACGCCACATGCCATCTGCCATCAGTCTACCCCGCATTTCTCACCAGCATGTTTCATTCCAATCAAACCGCCCCTAGGCCTCTCAGAAAGTGCATACCTACTTGTTACATACCAGCGACCTTCTGGAAGCGGCGGGCGATCATCGAGATCGGAATGGAAGACATGCTTCCTACGCTATGCCTATTGCAACCCTGCGCCTCTGCAGGTCTACACCTCTCCACCTTTCCACTGCTTCTTGCGGATGTAGATGTGGATGTGGATGTGGATGTGGATGTGGATGTGGATGTGAACATCAAGTTCCGCCAAACCGTTGGAAAAAGGAATCTACAAATGTACATCATACAGGCTCCTTATGTATGATATGTACCGACCAGCCTGTGGCCTGTCTGCACGGCTTATCTCATCTGCAATGTCATGCATCCTGCAGACATATACATGCCTACATACACATGGACAGCTTGGCGACTGACCAGTGACTCCTTTATGGCGCATGGGAGATCACGGTGGAGGATGGAGCAGCGAGAATCGAAGGAGGAGGAAGAGGAGCCTGGAGGAGGAGCGGGTGGGAGTGAGTAGTACTGGTACCGTACACGGCTGACAAACGGCTGACAAACAACTGACAGAGCCATGTGCGGGTGCGGGTGCGGGTGCGTCAAATCCCATCACGCCTAAGGCGCCAACCGCAACCGCAACCAGGCGTCCGTATCCCCCGAGACCAGACCGAATCCGGGGACTATGTATGTACAATACTTCCACCGGCTTGAATAGCCTGGTTCAGTGGTTTATGCTTTGTGCCCATCGTATTCACGACCAGCGGGCGCCCCAATGCCGTGTCCCAGACTATGTATAATGTATGTATTTCTACCGGCTTGAGTAGCCCGGTTCAGTGCCTTATGCTTTGTGCCATCGTATTCACAACCAGCGCCGCAAATCCCGACGCCCGACGCCCGTGTCCCAGTCTCCAGGGCCCAGATATACATACATACAAGGCATTTTGGTGCAACGTAAGTACTAGGTACTCCTACCCGGTGGCTGCAAGTAACATAACGTATGTTTTCCCCCGTGACGGTGACGGGCCTACGGCCATGCGCAGCTTTCGAAATAGATGCTATCATGTGTTAGGTAGGGTATATCAAAGTACCTAGTACCTAGGTTGAGGCGGTGGCGGGTGCGTGCTGAGTAGGTAGGTATATCTACCTCTGTATGTACCATATTGAGCCGTGTACTAAAGTCAAAAGCATTATGGCAGCCACATATGAGGGCGATTTTGACACTAGAGTTTTGGGGGAAAAATACTAATATTAGTATTTTTCCCCCAAAACTCTTGTCGTAAAATAAGGCTTAGTCAGGGTTTTCAAATTCCAGCTCTGATTGTTGAATATGGCTTCTTCAATCCTGAGTGCAGTGAAAATCACTCCCGACCCGTAAGCCTTCTGCAACCACTACGGGCCTGCCCGTCTTGGAAGTTCATAAGAGTTCTATATGGGCTCTGTAGGGAATCTTGAAAAATAAGGATTAGTAAGGCTTATATGCTCATAAAGATTCCTGAATCCTAAGCAGCACATAATGACTTCTTATGCGACAAGCCTTATCTCATACAATGCTTATCACTTGTTGATGCTCTTCTTCCGTAACCTTATATACCTAAAGTTTAAACTACTCTCCTTCCCCGCTTCCCAGTCCCTCGCCACCATTCCCATACCGACTCCCGCTCGCCATAGTACTGTGTCCCCCTACTGCTCCTCGTTGTGGAAAACTTGCGGGCATCGAGGGAGTAAGTGGAGGAAGTGATGGAGGACCTATCTGGGACCGGATGGACGATTCCCAGGCCTAGTGATGGGGGAGCTGTTAGCGAGAGGATGAGCTGTCAGCGAGGCGATGAAGTGATGGAGGACCTAGGAGGACATGTCAGCGAGAGAGGAAAGTGATGGGGAGCTGTGGCGAGAGAAGGAACTATTAGAAAGATGAGGAGGAGTTGTTAGAAAGATGAAGAGGACGGGCCGTGAGTTCGCGAGTTTAAAACTGCAAAATAAGCTTCATCATGTCTGTCTTCAGAAAACTCTGCGCCTAACAATATGTTAGCACATATCTGGCGGGGTTGATACTGTCGGAGCTGCCTCTCTCTCTCTCATCATCATCATCTACAGAGTACATAGACGGTAAACCCCCTATCTCCGCTCCCTCCTCTCGACCCGCCGCCGCTGATGTCAAGCTGGTTGATTTTCGCATATGCTCTACCAACTCATAAGAGTGATAGAACCCATAGGTCTGAATAAGGCTCATTGAAGGCTTGTATGATGCATGTGAAGAGATTGAGAGTGTGGTGCTCTAAGGATTTTCTGTCTCGAACTGATATATCCCATAATGCTTCACAAAACCTGCCAGGTTCACAGTCATTATTGTACGGCAGTGCTGTGCATTTCAACAATGACGATATAGGACTGACTAAAGCTATGAGGCTTACAAAGTGAGAAGGCCGATTTATGCGATGGTGGTTTTCGCTGCATAGGCATTATGTAGGAGTTACGACAATTTTAGAGAAATGAGAACATCAGCCTTAGTTTAACACAGCCCTTACTGAGGCCTCACGAGCTCAACGCGCTTATAGCTGGCTTATACGAGGACTGTTTGCCTATTCAAGCCCTACATAAGGCTAACGACATTAGTACACGGCTCAATATGGTACGTATAGTATGCACGTGCAGCACGTTGAATATACATCTCCATTGACGCGTTCTTGCCGTAGGGAAGTAGATGCAGTGTTGGTAGAGTACCGGCGTACCGGCGTACAGGCGGCCGACTGCGGTCCTCCGGCAGGCACGGTAAGCCCAGTATATGTACACCATAGACACGGTAAGCACGGCCGTCGGTATCCCCAACCGGCGCATCAATTCGTCGGTAGAATCCTTAGCCAAGCAAAATTCCGAGTGAGAGTGCCGTACCGTAGTTACATAACCATTGGCAGTCGCGCAAGCATGTGATGCACGTATGTGTGTGTGCGTGTGTGTGTGTGTGGGGGTGGTGGGCGCCTCGAACAAAAGTCGTTGCAGGAGCCGTTTCGCATCACGTATCGCATCGCAACCGAACTGTCAGGAATTTTTATGTTAGCGGAGCGAGAAGAGGGAAGAGAGGGATATGTAGACGGGATTTGCCGGAGGGTGTCTGGGGTGATTGGAACTTGGTGGTGGTGGTGGTGGTGGTGGCGCAGCGCTTTGAACTCGAACTTGAGGATACCGGATGCTGCTACATACTAGCAGGTGGGTTGGGTCGTGTGGATGTCTTAGGCGCGGGTTAACGGTTGGCGATAATTTCTGGCGAATCAGAGGACGAACAGAAGGTCTGAAGAATATGGGACATCCTGGCCGGCTACTCTACGGTGGAAGGGATGGGATGGGATGGGATGGACGAAGATGCTGGTGGGTGGATGGGAGCGGGGAGAGAGACAGGCTTGGTAGTTACTCTCCGTTATGGCGACTCACGAGCTCGGCCTTCTTCCCCTCCCCTCCCCCCCCTCCCCCCCTCCCCCTGCCTGCCTGCTCCGTCGCCGCAGCCTTCGCTTTGTGTTGCGATCGAGATCCAGTGCAAGCCGACAGAATCCCGACCATTCCTCCTGACCAGTGACCATACCACACTCACCGCACACACCACACACACACCACACATGTCGCGGTTCCAGCCGAAGATGCCAAATTGTGAGCACTCTACTTCATGCGAGGGTTGATGAGTTGAGGGTGTGGAAGGGGTGATGGATGGTGACAAGTTGCTATGTACCGTAGGTGGACGGTGGAGGTGGGCCCTTCCCTTCCTTCCCCGCATCCTGACTAACTGACGGTTATTTCTGGAATGGGGTTGGCGCGCCCACCCACCAGTGACCACCCTCCACCCACCACCACCCACCACTCTCGATAATACCGGCGGACCCAAGATCGTCTGGTTGCATCGCTGTGGAAGCTGGCACTGCACCAATGTGACATGTTCGTTCGCCTTTGCCGTCTGCACATGGTAGCTGGAAGGAAGGAAGGGGAAGCACAGCAGCAGCAGCAGCGGCACAGCCAACGGCATCATACTTCTCGTTCGCCGGTGTCTGTACTCAGGCGGGCCGTCAACGCGGCGAGAGAAGTAGGGACTACCAGCATGTGGAGCTATGTAGTGTACATTCATACATGGCCTTGTGTCCAGAGGTGGTGCGTGTGTGTGGGACGTGTGTGAAGTGAAGAGGTGATAGTTAAATCACTCACGGCGCAGCACGCCATCTCCATCATACATCCATCCATCCCCATATGCATCCCCCATCCGGCCAAAGAGGTAAATGGAGTACAGACACCTCGTCCGAACATCACTGGCGGATTGAGTTTGCAAGGGACAACTTGAGCTCTTTCTCCATCTTCTCCTCCTTCTCCTTCTTCTCCTTCTCCTTCTCCACTCCTTCCTTCTCCTTCCCCTTCTCCTTCCATTCCCACTGCTCCTCTCCCTCTCGTCCCAACGAGAAGGAGACTTATCGGGCTTGCCTTAGTTTCGCAGTGGACGGATGCTCCCCTGCAGATTCGGTACTTTTCCCTCTCTTCTCTGCGCTGCAAGGACGAGGGCCAGGGCCGGACTGTGCAGCTGGTCAAACAGAACACCAACCGACTAGTGGGGTTGGAATGACAGGCAGTTACCCAACCGCCGCGTGCAACGGGAGAAGGGGGAGGACGAGACGGGGGGGGGGGGGGGGGGGGGCGAGGCGAGAGGAGAGGAGACGTGCATGAGGAGGAAGCAGAAGAAGATGATGAAGAAGAAGTATCTCTTGTTCTGGGGAGGCAGCTAACTAATGCTGTTGCTGTTGCGAGACAAGACTATATGTACCAGGTAGGTACTGCGAGGTGCTACTGGACGAGATGCCAGCTGAAGTGAGCTGAGAATGCTACACGAGAGTACATACTCGTCATGAGTGCCAGTAGAGTAAGAGTACTGAGTTGCATGCCGTAGCTCAACGTCGTCATGGCCAGACACTGGCCTAGCGCGAAGAGGAAGAAGAAGAAATTACGAGACGCCCAGGCAAGATCTCTCGGAGAGAGCAATCAAGGTGCATCGCAAGTGCTCCGTTGTGTGGGAAACCTGGCTGCGTAGAGTGCCCGCCGGCGAAGCTGCCTGGTGATTCTGCTTACTTGCTTCTGCTGCATGTCGGTAGAAGGTGTTTCTGTGGCGCCTTGGGGTGGGTTCCGCGATGGCCATGTAGGCAGGAAGCAGACAGCCAGAGCGGTTGGAGGGGGGGATGGTTTAGAGTAGATACTTCCTTACAAGTTACATATGAGGTTCGTGGAGGGGGATGGAGGGAGGACGGGGCAGGGTGCGTACATATAATTAATTATTCCCACAGGCAGGCGATGAGCTCTGATCGTCCCCCTTCCCTTCCTCGGTTTTGGTTGGTTCCAACAAACAACCCCCTTCTTACTTCTACAGAGCAGAAGAGCTATCGGTCGGAAGGTGGCGGGAATTCTTCAGACACTGCTACCCATCCATATCCTCTGCCCCACACTTTCCCCCATTCCCCCACACCCGCCTGCGCATCTCTTCTCTGCTAGCTAGATTTCGAAGCTCGCCGGGAAACAAGTCACCACATCGCCGTCGATTTATATATACAGCACGAGTTCTCATCGCCTTCGGCTTATATATACGGAGCGAGTTCGCATCACCGCCTTCACCGCCGTCGTCGCCGCCTTCGCCTTCGCCGCCGCTCGCGCCGCCTGCCCGCCGTTTTCGCCGTTGTTTCGCCGGCGCCTCGACCGGCGACTGTCGTCGATTCAACAACCAGCGCAACCCCGCTTTCGCTCTCGCCCAACCTTAAAATCGAACCCGCTAGAGCGGCAAGAGGGCAAGAAGAGACGACCACTTTCGGAACCCGGGGGGCTCGTGCTCAATCCTCGCCCGCCATCGTTGTCGTTCGTCGCTCATCGTTTATCGTCGTTCGTTTACAGAGCCTCACAACACCCACAACACAACCAACCAACCAAACCAACAATCACCACCACCGTAGCAACAACAGCTACAACAGCTACAACAACTACTACAAAAACTACAACCACCACCACGGATAGAGAAATCTGTTAGTTGGTGTGGGCGTCATGTATTCCGATGCTGCTATGGTAAGTTCCGTTACGGACGGTTGCTTTCGGTTTTTTCTTTCTTTCCGGAGAGGGGAAGGAAATGACGGTGGAGGGGGTGGAGGGGAAGGGTCCAACTACCGCACTGCTACCCCACACGTGTGCGAGAAGCGGGCTGGTTGACGGGCGGCGGCGGACTGAAACCCCCCACCCGGCATAGCACAGAATCGTCATCAGCATCATCATCATGCCGTCTTGCTGCTCTGCTTTGCTTTTCGCCATGCGTATCTGAAGGGTCTGCTTGCGTGCTTTGCTTTCCCTCTTGCAGCACAGGCTCTTCTTCTCCTTCTTCTGCTCGTGCTCCTTCTGCTGCTCCTTCTCCTTCTCGCTCGTCCGATTCCTATCGCTGCATATTTCTTTTCCCATCCCGTCATTTCCGTGGGGAGGAGGGGCCAGAACAATAAAAAAAAGAAGAATGCCATCTGGCTGGGCCCTGCCTTCTTTGCCTTCTCCTCCTCCTTCTTCGGTCGGTCGTTTTTGTGTCGGTCGTTTCTGGTGTTGTCCGCCCGCCCGTCTTGCCTGACTGTCGGCATTTGCCCGAACCATGCATGACACCCGACCGCCTTTCGTCCCCTGCTCTACACGTAGAGTATGGTGGTCTCGTCCTCCTCCCTCTCCGCCTCATCCTCGTCCCCCCCTCCCCCCGTCCCTTCGCCGCGCTACCAGTCTGGAGCTGCACCCACCCATCATCCCCCCATCTCACCTCCCCATCCACTCGCTCTCTTCGTTGCCGCGCGACATCATCCACTCCCTGAGCACACATACCATCCATACCTCTCCCCTCCCCCAGCGACAGGAACCTCCCATCGCATTTTTATTGGTGCTGCTACTGCCGCTGCGCTTGGAGCATCTCCCCTCCCAACCTAGGAAGCACATACGAACACAACCCCAACACGATCCTAACCTCAAACCCCTCCCAACTCACTCCTTCTTCCCATTTCCATTTCCATTTCCATCCCCCCCTCCCCCGTTCGCTGCAACACTCGTTCGCTTCGTTTTGTTGCCTGCCGTTCGCTTCATTTTTGCCCGCCATCGCGACAATCACTCTTTGACTTGAGCCGAGACACTTCAAATCTTGTGGTACCCAACACCAAGCATCCAAGCCCACTACCTCCTTGACCTCCACTCCATCCCCTCACTCGATTCCTCCTATACGCCCGCTACTCACCTCTACCTAGCCATTCACACTCGGTTTACCCTCTCTGAATCGCGGCCGCTGACTCTTGTTGCTGCTCTCAGTTTGCCTCGCAGAGGCTCAAGCCAGCGAAGACGCGGTTGATGACCGTGGAAATCGAACAGGCTACCCTACTACGAAACAACACGGCGCCGGCCTCCATAAACACCACAATGACGACCAACGGAACTCCGTCGAACGGAATGGCCGCCCAGAATGGCAACGGTGCGAACACGCCGTCGGTCTCGATCATGTCCGCGCCGACCGCGAGCGACAGCATCATCAACAGGGGGGCGGATCCAGCTCAGGGGCTCTACCAGACATGCCTCACGCTACGTGAGCGGTTACGAGATGTTCCGGAATTCGAGAAGTTCCTTGAACCGCCAGAAGACGCGGACCCGAATGTGCCAGAAGACCCCGTCACGCAATTGTGGAGGTGTTTCCGGATGGGATCGAGTCTCTGCGTGTTGTTCAACGCGACACAGCCCGCCGAGCTCATCCAGGATGCTCGGCTGAGTCCGAGCTTGAAAACAGTCAACGACTGTAAAGCCGCGACATTCCACTTTTTGAAGGGAATCAAACAGGAATTGCAAATCGACGGCGATGACGCGTTCATGATCCACAACCTCTACTCCGACGATACAAACGGCTTTGTGAAGGTGCGTCGCTATCAGCTCAGCTTTCTTCCTTTTGCTCTTTCATGGTCGCCGGGATTAGATGGGAAGGCGGTTGTGTTTCACAAAGGGGTTGCGATGATTTTTGTCGCCCCCACGCTTCCTGTTGCTACGGCGAATTTCTCATTAGATGTTTTTTTTTTGCTGGGAGGAAATGGGATTTCGGACGCTAACATGGAATTGCATACGGATAGGTGACCAGAACCGTTCAAAGGATTCTTGACATACTCAAAGAACGTAACCTCCTACTAGAGCGAGGGAGCACGGAAGCAAGCCCGGAAGCCGAGAAGAAACCTCTGGACAGCCGAGCGCGAGTAGTGAAGGAGCTGGTTGATACGGAGAGGAAATACGTGCAGGACTTGGAGATTCTGCAAGAGTATATGCGATGTCTGGAACGTGAAGAGATTGTTTCGAAAGACCTCATTCACAACCTGTTCTTGAACCTCAATCAGTTAGTGGACTTTCAACGGCGGTTCTTGATCAGGGTGGAAACGCAGAATGATCTACAGCCGGAACAACAGAATTGGGGGAATCTTTTTGTTCAATATGTACGTTTCTCCCAAGACGCAGAGGTTTCTGCCCTTCGACGGTCGTCTAACGTATATAGGAAAAATCATTTACTGTGTATGAACCATACGCTTCCAACTTTTACAGTGCCCAGCTTTTGGCTCAGGAGTCGCGAGAACAACTAATCAAGATGCCGCATCCGGTCTTTGACAATTTGACCGCGTTCCTGATCAAGCCCGTGCAGAGAGTCACGAAGTACCCGCTGCTTCTGAGGGTGCGTCTCCCCGTCACCATCATCACCATCATCGTCATCATCACGCTTCGGCGAATGCAGGCTAACCGTTGCTCAGGATTTGATCAAATACACCCCCGCCATGGAGTCCGAGGAGAAGTTCCTACCACAAGGATTAGAGGCCATCGAACGGATCAACAGTCAAATCAACGAAGCTATCCGTAAGGCGGAGAATGCTGAAATTGTCAAGGATTTGGAAGGACGTGTTGAAGATTGGAAAGGTCACAAACTAGAACACTTCGGAGAACTTCTGCTGCACGGACAGTTCTCCGTGATCAAAGGTGATATCAAGGGGGAGGTTGAGAGAGAGGTAAATAGTAGTCCTACGTCGGGGGGTGATGTCCAAGTACTGACCCCGCGTTGATTAGTATTACATTTACCTCTTCGAACGTATTCTTTTGTGTTGTAAAGAAATCGGCGCTAGCAAGAAACAGAACAAAACAATGTCGGTGCGAAATGCACGGGGAGCGCCCGGCGCGAACAAGAAGAAGAGTAATCTTCAATTGAAGGGCCGGATTTTTATGCAGAATGTTACAGATGTCATTTCTCTGGCTCGGAACGGTATATATCAATAACGCAGTGGGAATGGGCTCAACCTGACTGACATACGGTGTTTTCAGGATCTTACACATTGCAGATTTTCTGGAAGGGCGATCCGGGTGTTGAAAATTTCATGATCAAGCATGCGAACGAAGAAGGTCTGACACATTGGAAGAAGATTCTACAGCGGCAGACGGACCAATACACGAGAGGGGATGGCCCTGGACGGGCCAGAGGCAGTGGACAGTCGACCGCAGCGACTCAGTTTGCGTGGATGGCCAATACCGACACTGCAGACCTGCAGGATAGCAGAGATGCATCAGATGACGATGACGACGCCACCATCGTGCAGGAAGGGCACAATCCACATTTCTCGCAGCTCTCTGGCGCTACTCTGGTTTCTAGTCGTAATGGATCAACCACAAGTCTGCGATCGCGTTCGACCACCAACGAGAACATGCCTCCGCCACCAGGCGTTGCCGCATTCCTGCCCCGCGGACAACAAGCGGCCACACCTCCGTCATGGTACCCGCCTCCGTCGCACACCCCGCCGCTAACCCTAAACACGAACCCCGCCATCCAAGCCTTGGCGAACTCTCCAGAACGAGGCAACGGTTCCTACTTTTCACCCGTCGAGACACCCTTGATGTCCCGTACTGCGTCTACTGCATCCGTTCAAGCTTACCCATTCCCACGATACCCTGCGGGGTCCGGATACTACGAGGAGCCCGGCCAATACACGCCAACCAGCATGTCTCGTTCATCTTCACGAGAAGGTCCCAATGGGGCCGCTCCTTATGCTCCATTCCAAAACAATGCAGCATATCAGAACAGCCAGCGGCTCCAGAGGCCATCTCTGCCCGGGATGAGCTCCGCGACGCAGGTTGGAAATCAGCAAAGTCGCATGCGGTCGGCTAGTAGTCCGAATATCCATCACCTTCCCGGGTCATCATCGCTGTCTCGGGTTTCCCCTGGCGGAAACATTCCCCCGGTGCCCTCACTACCTGGATCATACATTCCGTACTCTGGCGGCCCCGCCGTGATCAATCGAAGCGAGACCAGTTCTCCCACATCCCCGCAACTTCCCATTCATGGTCCGATGACGGATGATCCCCAGGATTATCGGAACGGGAGCAATGGCGTGTTGACTCCACCGCCCAACGGAAAGAGCCAGGTGAAGGTCAAGATTCACTACAACAACGACACACTCGCGATCATTGTGCCATTCAACATTGCCTACGCACAACTGATGGACCGCATCGAACGTAAGGTACGCATCTGTGGAAATGGTCCAGAGATCGCACCATCAACATCTATCCGGATTCGCTATCAAGACGAAGATGGCGACTACATATCAATGAACTCGGATGATGATGTGCTGATGGCGTTTGACGTTGGGAGTGAACAAGTCACGCTCTACGTCTACTTGGCCTAAGTGGTTGATGGTGTTTTTCTCGTTCGATTTTTTGGTTGGTATCTTTCTGGGGTTGATCGATAAAGGGTTCTTTTTGGTCCTGCGCCGGGTTCTTCTGGGCATTTATGCATTTCAATGTTTGTCTCTACAGGTGTCTCTTCTTTTCCACAGCCAATTATTTTTCGACTTGGTTTTGTTTGGGTGATGATGTTTGGGTTGGTGCAGCTGGCGTTTATATCCTTTGTTTTTTATTCTTCTTTCTTTCTTTTCTTCGATTCTCTTCTCTTTCCCCATTGATATCTCAATTGATACCTGACTACTTTGACTGTCCATCGTTGTCTTCTATAGAATGCAGTGATAGTCGTCGACGTGACTGAGCTCGTCATCAACCGAGCCGTTTCCTTTGTTTATATTTCCATTACCACACATACTATCCTTGATTATCGTCTTCTTTTTTCTTTTGTCAATTGTTTTTAACACTTTCTTCGCTCGCGGGACGGGGTTTGGATTTGTTCTCAGGATCTTAAAACGGAACAGGCTAGATTGGGTGGTGACGGGTTTAGACAAAACAGGCTTGCTTTGGGATTCATTTTTCTGGGGCCTTGTGGATGGATTTGATCGCTCTCTATCTCCCTCTCTCTCTGTGTTCGTTTTTTTTTGCCCTCTTTGTCACCTTCAAAGCTTTCTGCCTCCCCCATTATCCATACCCTACATTACTTAGTGAAGGCATACTTTTAGTTCTGTTCTTTCTTTCGTTCTTTCTTTCTTTCATACTTTCTTTCATTCTTTCTTTCTTTTTGTGGTGGAGATTGAGTTGGGACGGGAAGGGAAGGAAAGGGACGGGATGGATTGGGATATCATAGACGGTTGGGATGGTGATGGGGATAGTGATGGTGGACTGGACTGGACTGGGGCTTGTGGAGGTGTTCATACCCGACGCTGCAGCGGGTGTAGATAATATTATTTCCTTTTTTCTTCTTCCACCTACATACTATTAGATTCTTGAGACTTGATGGTTTTCTCCTGTGGACCGCACAACGTGGATGGATGGGCGAGTGAAGCTGTGTGGATAAGGACCGCACGACAGAATCGAGATATGTGTTGCGGCTTCCGAGTGCTTCGACAAGTCGATAGGTCACGTGATCTATAGACAGCGTGGTGTTCCAAAGTGGTTAGATGAGCATACCTTTTGCGCAACGCACGAACTCGGATGGCAAACCGCACACCGGACTCTACCCGGCAAAAAAGTTGACCTTCACCTCGCCATCCCCGCGGCACGACCAACTCCACGAGTCCACATCACGTCCACGACCCAGCACAGCACAGCACAGCACAGCACTTCCGATGATTCCCTCCCTCCGCCCCGTGCTGCGCCTGCGCAACGCGTTTCACACACCCCTCTTCCCCTCCACCCCCGGGGGCACACTCCTCGCGGTCGCGGTATCGCAAACCCGCAGCGCGAACCTAATCCCGCGACCAAAGAGGCCGTACCTTTTGGACCAGATCATTATTCTATCGGACGGGTCGTCGTTCAAGCAGCTGACGACGTCGCCGCGCGGGATCATCCGCAGCACCAAGGACGTGCGCAACAACCCGCTGTGGAATCCGAGCATGCGCGAGCTGCGCGATGTCGAGGAGGATGAGGCCGGACGGTTGAAGCGGTTTAGGGATAGGTTTGGGATGGGGTTTGAGGAGGAGGGTGGGCTTGAGGGGTTGCTGAATTCTTCCGAGAAGGTGGCGGGTGCGGAGGGGAAGGGGAGGGGGGATGGCGAGGGAGAGGGAGAGGGTGTGGGGGAGGGGGGGGGGAAGAAATAGGAATAGGAGGGCAATGGGTGGAGGAGGGGGAGGGGGAGGGGGAGGGGGAGGGGGGGATGTATGCTAGGAATTGATGATGCTGCTGGAGGGCGTTTCTACGGATTGAATTGTGGGGGAGTGGGCGAGTGATCGCTGGGTCGTGCTGATGTGATGCTGAAGCTTTTTTTTTGCAGGTTCCTCACCTGGATATCAGGTGGATATGGATCTGTGCCGTGCATTTCCCTTCCGTCCGATCGCCGACTTTTGTCAGGATGCTTGGTTTTGCGTTTCCGCTGATAACGAGGCTGTCCAGCACCCGTGGAGGTAGTCAGGTGAGCCATGCGATTCTTCACAGTACATGCATCTCTCAGTCCAGCGGCAGTCGTTCAGCGACAGCACAGGGAAGCACGGGGAAGCACGAATGGTTAATAATATCTACAATTTCCGTATCCGCAATTTCCATATCTACAGCATACTCCTGACTCCGTCTCCCTTGCCTAACACCTTCCTTGCAGCATCCTCAGCGTCCCACCCCCACAAAAACTCCTGCTGCGTGGGGTCACCCCACTTATCCGGGTTCTCGCCACCGCCAAAGATGTTTGCGAACTTTGTGTCGCGCTCGATCTGGGCCGGGCCGTCGGGCATGTGCAGTGCTTCGCGGTTGCTCATCGCCGTGCCTTGGATCGTTTCCGCCCGCGTTTTTCGTGCGATCTGGTAGAGCCGTAGAGCTTGCGGGATGGAGGATCTGTCCGGGATGGAGGACAAGAGCACCGCGAGTGTGGCGGCGTCTTCGACGGCTTGCGCGGCACCTTGGGCTACGTATGGCCTGGTACATGTTAGTTGAGGAAGTAGAGTGATGGGGCGGATGGGGACGACAAACAGCATAGGGTGACAGGCATCCCCCAGCAGCGCCACACGACTTTTCGTCCACGTCTCCAAAAACCCATGCGTGCAAAGCTTCCACCTCATAACCTTCTCGTCGGGAATCAAGGCAAAGATCTTTTGCAGCACCGGATCCCACCCCTTATACGTATCGACCAGTTCCTGCTTCGTTCCCACCGCGGTCCATGACTCCTCGCTGCCCTCAGACGTGTCCGGGTGCAGCAGCACCATGTTGTATTGCTGGTGCGCCTTGATCGGGTATGCCATGATGTGCCGTCCGGGGCCGATCCACCGTGTGCCCCGCGGAGTATCGATGAGCTCGCGCAGGTCGGGATCGGACAGCATTGCCGCTCGCGGGAGGATAACACGGTAGGCGGCATCGCCCGTCGGCGTCGGCGTGTCCACGTCCAGCCCAAGCATCTGCTGCCGCAATCGGGACTTGATCCCGTCCGCGGCCAGGACCACGTCGGCCTTGACCCTTTCCCCACCCTTCAACAGCACCCCCGCGCCCTTCCCCCCTTCCTCCTCGCCGAAATCGGCCGACACAACAGTCGCGTTCACCCGCACCCGCACATTCGGCAGCCTGACGGCGCGCTCGTACAGCGCGCGGTGAAGGTCCGCCCGGTGGATCACGTATTGGTCGCCGAACGACTTGTTGACGGGCGCTTCGCCGAGGAGAGCGCCGCTCGACCACCGCCGGATGTGGACGCTCGTCAGCGAGACCGAGCTGGCGATCACGATGTCGCGGAGACCCCACCGCGTCAGGATCCGCATCATGTTAGGTGCCACTTGTAGGCCGGCGCCAACTTCAGCGATCTGGAGAGGGGTGTTAGAGGAGCAGCGACAAGAAGGGGATAGGGGGGAGGTGTACGGCCGGTGCATCTTCGAGGACCAGCACGTCGTGCCCGGCGAGGCCGCAGCCCACTGCGGCTGCCATGCCGCCGATACCTGCACTGTAGACACTGTTAGCAACGCTCCTGGAATGAGAAGGATGGAGGTGGTATACCCCACAATCACTACCTTCAGCCGCAGTGCGCTATTAGGCTTGCTGATGATCACCATGTTGTGGTTGTCTTGTCTTGTACAATAAGTCAAGGTCGTATGTAGATTCTCACAGATCAGTCCGACTACCGTATGTACAGAACACAGCTAGCCAGCTGAAGAGGCACGCAAGAGGTTTATATCATCGTGTTCCCCGCCACTTTTCTTTGTTCCGTGCGATCCATCGTGCGCTGCCGCCGCTCATTGGTGCCTGTGCCGATGCGATGTCCCAACACGGTATCGCAGGTTCCCCACATGTGTACATAGTTAAAAGGTATCGGGAATGGCGGGCGGTCAGGGAGAGACGTGACACCTGCATTCCTCCACTCCCTCCCTCCACTCCTGCTCCAGCCCCACCACCACCCACGCGCACCGTATGGTGGAATAACACACTCCTAAAACTACCGGTCTCAATGGCCCGGTGCAGGCTAGTTAGTCACTTACATACCACCCTCGTGTGTGGATCTAAGAGCTAGGCTCGCCGCGGCGATTGGCCGTTCATATCGAAATACGTAGGGACATACGTAGGAACCACTCTGATTGTCCGGACTCCGGAGCCAAGCTGACGCGTGATGAAGAAAACCTACTTGGTACTGATCCGCGTGGGGACGAATCAGGCTTCAGGACCGAGCTTTCGTTCCGCGCAAGTTGCAACACGAGTACGTCCCACAAGTCGCAGTCCGCAACCGCAAACCGGCCCCTTCAAAAATCTTTTTCCCTTTCCCTTTCCATTTCCGATCCGACGTTGAGACGTTAAAACGGCCCCCGGAATGCACCCCATTCCATTCCAGTGGTACCAAGATCTGGCATGTGGAGTATGTATGTATGTAGATATGTGGAGTACGTAGAATACCCTGTGTATGTTGTATGTACGGTATGTGCGTATGCCAGACCCGGAACCGAGGTTCTGGACACCCACCCACCAACCCATCCACCAGTGCCAGACAGATTGCCGGCTCTGACAGCCGCCACAGTGGATCCTGATCCTGATCTCGGCGTGGCGGCGTCGTGCTAGTGCAAGACCTGCATCGGCCCGGGGGGGCGGGAAAACTAGCGATGTGCCGTATATATAGTAGAGTGGGTATTGGACGGTGCGGTCGGTGCGGTCGGGGGTGTTCCCGCCGCGACCCACGCCGGCCGGCCGCTGGGGATGCGGCGTCGGTGGTGGAGTTATGTAGATACGGGAAGTGGAGTCCATCTCGGGGGGTGGTGGGGAGTTTTTCTTTTTGGAAGCCGGTGGATGCGGGGCTGACTGGCTGGCTGGCTTGGATCCCGGGGGGTGACAGGGGAGGTGGAGGCATGAGAGATCACTCGTATTGGAGACACGGAGACTGATGGAGACTAGATATTTAAGGCGTCGGAGTGAGAAGAAAGGGAGGCAGAGCTGAGGCGAGAGGAGGAGGAGTAGGGTGCCAAGGTCGAGGAGCCGGGATCACACCCGCTGTTCCTCCCCGCACTTTCTTTCTTTCATGGCATAGGTACCCTGATGAAGAGGCAGGAGGCGGGGCGGAGTACTATAGGGAGAGGGAACGGAAAATGTCTTTTCCTAGAATCATTTCCTTGGTGTGCTCTAGAGTATCTTCATTGCTGGGACAGGAGGCCGAGCGGAGGGTAGGAAAAGCTACATCGGGCCGCTTGATGAAAGTCGGATTGGACAGTGGCGGGGAACCGGAGTGTGTATTGTACATATATTGACATGATCTACTTGGTCGCAAGCAATTACTGATTAAACAAAAACAAAGGTATTCTAGGATTCGGCGGGTGGGACTTGGACGTGTCGAGAGCGAGGGTTCTTCGTTCTAGATATAGGTTGTATGATACGGATGGCGTTTCTCATGTTGTCCCGCCATATATGCCAGGCGGAATGGGGAGGTGCAAAGTGTTTGATAGGTAGTGAACGAGACGTGGGGGATCGGAGAGCAGCCCAAGTTCCAACAAGGCTGACAGCCAGCGCAAGTGAATCTGGGGGCGTGACTTGTGGGCGCCGTCTCATGAGGTGTCACTCATCCTTCGACAGGCGTGACCTTGGATTTCACCAGTTCTCACCAATGGGACAAATTGCTCGCCTTATATGACACGGGATCGCGCGCATTCAACCTCAGACTCACTAGAGTACCTACTGATTCAGCGCTCACGAGTCCGACAAGGCACTTCGTGTCGTGTCGAACAAAGAGGTGAGGGAATTCGGCCGTCCAAGTGTTCACTCAACTACCTACCAACGGATGGATCACTCCGAGTATCAAACGAATCAAAAGGCGGTGGCGCCGCGACATCCGCTCAAAATTCGCCGCTCACCGCTCGGTCTGTGCGGAAATGACGGTGGGATGAGGTGCCTTGCTCACTAAACGATAATCCCGGCGGTTTCAAAGTTCAACGATTACATAGACATGAGACAACAGCTCCCCGGTAGGCTGAGTATCACGCAAGCATCACCCAGCACTTCTTACCGGAGGTCATTGCAGAGGTGCTGGGTACAGAATACGGGACCCCTAGTCGGCTGTAGTTATCTAGTTTTCAGCGCCGAGTTACAGTCGGTACGGAGGTCACCGGGATACCTATACAAATTCCCCCACTCCGGAACCTCGTTGGCATATGTACCAGGAACAGCCAATAAGTCGTGCCTCACCACCAGTACGAATATGAGCTCGAGGTGAGGCACCACTTACCCTTACACCCGAGTACACTCCACAAACCTCACTAGGTAAACGGATGGTGAGGCCCATCAAAACAATCCTTCCCGCACACTCCGTGGCCAGGTGCACCCTTATGGATCCACCACCACGAGCGCCACCGGAACTCGTCCCAAAACCTCCCATAACACTCAGCACACGTATCCCCGGTAGCACAATACCTCCTCAACCTCTTCTCACACGCCCCACGGTCTGCACAAACCCAGACGTTCCCCAGTCCGGGGCACTGACAGGGTGCCTTGTCAAGATCGGCGTTGTCCCAGTTGACGACTTTCCGCCAGACGAAGCAAATGGTGCAGATGCGGACGCAGTGGGCGTGCGCTTCGAAGTTGGCGATGTAAGTTCCGCAGCATTGGTCGAGAAGTCGCTTTGCAGTTGGGAGGATGAAATTGACCGGGTTAACCCGGTCGACGAGTCGGCATAGGTTTTCGTCGCATAGCACGCAGCGTGCCCGCTTGAAGAGGTCGGCGTGCCGGCCGGTATGCGAGCATGTCAGCTTGGCTAGAGTGGAAGTGTCCCGTCCGACGGATCGGCGGATTGCGGCTTTGATGGTGTTTGAAGTTTGCTGGAGGGCGCGGAAGTCGGTGCTGTGGAGGTGTAGGGTGAGAGCACTAAGGATGGGGTAGATACTTAGGATTCCCTCGAGACGGGGACGGGGGTATGGGTTGAGGGGAAGGAGGTAGAGGTCGAAGAGGCTATTGAAGCTACTGAGGCTGGCATCGCTCGCTGGACGGCCGGGGTCGAGTAGACCCATGGGGTTGGAGGGGTCTTGCTCACTGTCGAGACAAGACTTTTCACGGCGGGGTAATGGTAGCCATCTGAACTTGAAGAACTCCTGGAAGAAAGGGCGACAGGATATGCTCTCCGGGCGATTTTCGTGACGGTGGTTTTCTCGCTTTATGCTGCAAGCTGCTGGATACAAAACGAGTAGGACGTACATAATCCGTCGGAACAAGCTCGGTATCTTGTTGGGATCGGTCCAGAGGAGGTATCGGCGGTGCAATGAGTCCTCCATGGAGAGGATTTCCGCCATTCTCAGCAGTAGCATGAAAAAGGCAAATGTCCTGTGGCTACATAGTTAGCGGATGAACACAGACTCAACCAACCATGGAAATACGCACATGTTGAAGCTGGCCATGGACCAAGCAATCTTCAACTGCTCACACTCCATATGAGGCCCCGTCAACGGCTTCGTCCTATACGCGCTACCCATAAGATCAATCCACTGCGGTGGGTCTCTCGGCCGCCACTGAGGGCTCAGTGTATCATTATGCCCCTCCACCGTCCATGCCGCATATCCTGTGCAACTCTGCCCCAACCATTCCCTATTCCCGAGCATAGACAGTCCAACTAGCGGCACAAAGAACAGAGCGATGTCCAGCGCAAGGATCGGAAACACGAGGATCGCCCCCTCCGATCCGGCATTATATGTATACCAGAACAAGCAGCTCATCATGTTGGGAAAACCACTGATGGACTACTAATCTTAGCGTGTATAGCAGAGCCAAAGCACAGTGAGCACGTACAATACACAAAATCATCCATAGCCCCACTGCGGTATTTCCGAACGGTGGGAGCGAGATTTTGGGATCAAGACCCCACATATTGAGCCCGAGCAGGTAGGCCGGGGCGAGGCAGAGAAAACTTTGCAACATGCGAAGGATCATGATACACGAACGGTTGAGGCCGAGCGGGTAGGAACGCATTGCTGCTGATGTCGCCGAGGTATTCTTGCGAGGAGTTCATGGTGAGGAGTTGACCGATGGAGGACGGAGCTGGAAGTACATGTGCCTACTTCTATGTTTAGGGAGGGTTCGGATTGAGGGGCTGAACTTTAATACTGATTCGCAAGCCGTCGTTACGCAATGCGCAGATGCGCAGGCAAATAAAAACGAAGAAAACGATGTGCTCGGGAGACGTGCAGCTGTCGCGAAACATCGTGATATGAAGTGAACAATCATGTGAATTCTGCAGAGACAGACAATGATCCTTCCTTGGCGATATCGAACGCAGCTTGACATTATGCATCCTCTTCGCCGTACGTGAGCAAAATTCCGGACGAAGCAATGATCACCTCTTCTCGGAGAATGGCTAGATTATTCGATATGTGGGATCGTAGTGTTGGTTGGTTGGTTGGTTGATATGCAGAAGCAGTGAGATCGTGCGGCTGATCAGGGTCCCGCATAGGGCGTTTCAGCCCGGTGAATTCCTTCATTTCGCTTCCGCTTCCATCCAGGGGTGACTGACATCACCTACCACCTGCCAGACTGGACAGTGAACAAAGGATGTCGCTCTCCCGTCCGACTCTTGGCAGTCCGTCTCGGCCCGACCAGTGTCTTTTGTCGGCATACCGAAGCCTTCCCGTCCTGGCCGCCTGCATCCCTGCTAGATGGGGGAGCTAACTTACCCCGCCAGGGAACCGCAGCAAGCAAGCTTAATGCTCAAGTCAGCTCCATCCATGCGTCGCGGGGGCATGCTGTTCGGGTCACACGGCATCCGTCGCGGTCAAGTGGGAAGGTGAGCGAGGAACGTGAAGCTTTCTGCACGCACTATACGGAGCTGAAACCGGGCCAGCCCAATTGATGAGTGCGGCCCATGACGAGGTGGATGGAGAGGCAGGTATTGGGAGAAGCCAGCAGCATCAAGCATGTCAGATCTCGTGAGGAGCAGGGTGGGGTGCGGGGTGGAGGGATCGAGTCTTTCAAGTGGGCAGGTCGGCGGGTGAGGTGAGCATCATCACTCAGCCCAACGCGTGCGGCAGTTTTTACTTCTGAATCGATTACCGGCCCGTATGGAGCGGAGAGGTATTTATGCCCCAGCGTTCCCCCCGCTCAGACCTATTTCTGAACAGCCATAAAGCTTCGGACCCAACCACCTATCTCCAGTCAGATATCATCTCTCCGCGCAACATGAATAACCTGCACCTTCCAGGAGCTCGCTCGGGAGTGTCAACTCCGGGCACTCCCCAGCTGCTCGTCGAGAATGAGACGTACAAGGAGGAGGACCAGCCTCTGTACAACGCCTTGCTGAGGTCGCTGCAGAGCGCGATGACGGCTGCTACGGCGATAGATACAGGTATGATGTCTTCTTCCGTCACGTCGGATTATGTTTAACTCTGCCTGTCCGTGAAGAACGAAGATCGACACCCCATATCCGGTTCAGAGAAGCGCAGAATCCTGCGCCGCAACATAGACATCCAGGCCTCGACCCGTCGAAGGCTTCGACGTAAGTGTCACCCACTGCCGCTTGATTTCTTGCTGCTAACGTCATCTAGTGGTGTAGGTGTGTATATCAAACCTTCGTCCATTCATCGGACCTCCACTCACTGATCTCCGAACCTAGTCTGGACCACTGAGCGCGCGTACGAGCACGGCTTCCTCGAGAACCCCGAAGACTGGGGCAACCTTGGTCAGGGCGCTCCCGAAGTTGAGGATACGATTCCGCACGCCTTCCACAAGCCGACAACCCTCGATATCTCCGTCAACTCGCGTGAATATGGCCCTGTAGCCGGCATCATGCCGCTCCGCAAGGCAGTCGCCAATCTATATAACGCGCATCATAGAAAGGGAAAGGCTTCGCAGTACACGTGGGAGAATGTTGCGATTGTGCCTGGAGGACGAGCTGGGCTGATTAGGATTGCCGCGGTGTTGAATAATGCGTACCTGAGTTTCTTTATTCCGGATTATACCGCGGTAAGTTAGGGAGTGAGGGATGAGATGTGCATTGGTTGCTGACGGTGAATAGTACAATGAGATGCTGGGCTTGTTCAAGAACTTCGCGGCTGTTCCCATTCCGCTCGACGAGAACGATGGGTATGCCTCCAGTCCCAGTCAGCATGGTGGGCACCTATTGACTTGGTTGTAGCTACGCACTCCGTCCCGAGAAGATCCGGGAAGAAGTCAAGCGCGGAGTGCAAGTGATTCTCACTTCGAACCCTCGCAACCCAACCGGCCACATGGTCAAAGGCGAGACGCTCAAGGAGATCATGGACATCTGTCGTGGACGCTGCACTTTGATCATGGACGAGTTCTACTCTGCATACAACTACACCGGAGCGTGTGATGGTACCAGAATTTCTTGCGCCGATTTTGTGGAAGATGTCGATATCGATGATGGTAGGTTGCTTCCGGCCTGGTATGATGTGCTCGACAAAGCTGATGCCTAGCAGTGCTCATTCTCGACGGTATGACCAAGGGTTTCCGCCTGCCTGGTTGGCGTATTGCCTGTAAGCTCCCTCGTCCTACTCCGTATGTGCCCACTCACTCACTCGCAACGTAGGGGTCGTCGGCCCGAAAGAATTCATCAAAGCGATCGGCTCCTGCGGAAGCTATCTCGACGGTGGTTCCAACGTTCCCTTCCAAGAAGCATCCATCCCGATGTTGGAGCCGGACTTCGTCGTCTCCGAGATGGCAGCACTGCAGCAGCACTTCCGCGATAAGCGCGACTGGGTGCTGAAGCGACTAACCGAGATGGGCTTCAAGTTCCCTCGCATCCCGGATTCCACGTTCTACATCTGGCTCGATCTGAGTCATCTCCCGCAGAGGATTCAGAATGGACTTGGATTCTTCGAGGAGTGCCTCAAGGAGAAAGTCATCGTTGTGCCCGGTATCTTCTTTGATCTCAACCCGTCCAGTCGTCGGGATCTGTTTGACTCGCCTTGGTAAGTTTGGTTCCACTCTTCGTTCTCGGAACTTCGAGTACTGATGGATATATGAAAGTCACCACTTCTGTAGAGTCTCCTACGGTCCGAAATGGGAGACGTTAGAGAAGGGAATCAACGGCATCGAGAGGGTGCTCAGGAAATTCAATGCCCTGCCACAAACGCCGCCGACAGAAGAGCTGCAGGAGGTGCAGGCGCAAGTAGATGAGCAAGAAGCGGACATCTAAACGTCTGTCTTCGACTCTTCGATTCTTTGGGCTGGTTATGCAGGGCGACGATGGCGTGGTGGGGCTTGTGATGGATACTCTACTTTATACCGAAACATACTAAGCACGCTTTACTTGCTCCTTCTCCGTCTCAGACAAAGCGAAAACGAATTCTCGAACCTCTTTTTACCAGTAACTTATCCCTTATCTGCTAGATAAAATACCAAGTCTCGGTGCCAATTATACCGTGTGTAACACGGAGATCGCCATCTCCCTCCATCCACATCCAGTTAACCATCTCCAGCTTTATCCATCCTCTACGAAGCGGTCCGTGCTCGCCGGCCTTCCTCTTTAACGTGAAGAACCAAGCAAAGCGGCTGGACGGTAGGCTCGAGGGAGGTGAGAGGAGAAAGGAGTGATCACCGGGTTCCACTTCGGGAAACGGACAGAACCTTGGGTGGTAGTTATATGCGTAATTATTACCCGGCACAGCATACTCTACAGTAGAATGACGTCGCGGGGTTCACTCCTGTTACCTCTGTCGGAGTGTTCTTCTCATTTATTATTGGCGGTGGTGGGGGATGCTATGGAGTGTGCACTGTTGGATGGATGGATAGGATGTGGGTGATCATTGATGTGCTGGCGTAGCGTTGTTTTTGTGTGTCGGCACTTACTTTCTCAAGTATTTTAAATTACGAGTGCTGCCTGTCATCGGGCCAATCGAAGAGAAGGGGAGAGGAGAGAGAGGAGAGAGAGGAGAGAAGTGAAGTGAATGGAAGAGAGAGGGGATGGATTGATGGGGAATACGGAGAGGGAGAGAAAGAGAAGTCCTCAGGACGAAGGAAATGACCTTTGTGCCGTACCGGTATGGGCTGGCTGCTGGCCGCTGGACTCAACCCCAGCAACAGCTGAACGTCGGAAATTAAAAGCCACAAGAGGGAATTCCGGATTTGGTAGTTTGTCTGTTCTAGCCACATCCGGTAACTATAGTACTTACTCCAGAGTAGCGAAAGGAGCGGGTGAATATCGATGCCGTAGGACTCACTGCATTCGAACATACACCGTACTTGAGGGGGGTAAAATAAACGACAGTGATAGGGCCATGTGTGGGGACGAATATTATCACTGAAGATCATAGTGGCACCGCGTCAACGCTTCGACTTATGCGCCGCGGAAAGATCTTCCCATTAAGACGAAAAAAATAGCACTGAATTGGTTCACGGTGTAGTGGAAATGTCCGCAGCGCAGGATTCACCGGAACTTTTGGGACCCCACTACATAGCAAACACATTCCTGAAATATGTACTCACAAGATAAAATCCTCTCGTATGTACGTCAAGAATTCACTGGCCAACACGGAGCTCAGGCCTATGTACGCAGGGCCGGCAGCACGCTTTTCCTGCAATGTCCCGCCGCCAGTGCGTAGGGCTTGATGCATTCGCCATGCTAGTCACTTCGTCGGCTCCCAACCAGTTCTCTCTGTCTGAGTCTGCTGCCGCTTTCGGGGTATCAAGCCGAATATCACACGGTGAACTACCAAACCCCGCTCCCTGAAGATTTTTCCGTCATTATAGAGATCGAGGACAAGCTCCGTGTACCTGGAAATCACTCATCTGTTTGTTTTCTTCGCCACAAGCCATTGATAACAGAATCAATCAAATACCGTTTTCATCCCAACGATGCCTTTTGTTTCCATGTCTTTTCAGTCTGGGATGGCGAATGCAGTCGGCTGCCTCGAGTCCGCAAGAACGATCGATTTCAACGCCTCCACCAGGATTTGTAGCAGCCGGTTCCTTCCCCATCAACCTTTCCCTTTCTATATGAAATGATCGAGCCGATGAACCTGAAGCTTTCGGTGATTTAGCTGGTGGTAATGATTGTCCCCACGACATCGGACTTTGACACAACCCTGGCCTAGCACGGGCGTCTTTGACGTGCAGTGGAGGCGAGGATTCCTACCACGACGTCACGATTCTCCGCAATCCGTAGGAACCTATATAAGGGAAAGCTATCAACGCGCTCGTCCATGTTGTTTCTAGATTTCCGACAGTAAACCATAGTTTCCACCTAGATATTCGCTCTGAAAACCACCAAGCCCAACACATTCCCATACCAGGTTTTGTGCGGTGGAGAGCTCACTCAAATGATGGATTTTCGATGCTCTAGGAAGTCGCAATTTCCTTCGATACGGGGCACATGCTTTCAAAGCGCAGGCGAGAGCTAGAACCGGGTACGCTACATCTGCTTACATGGGGCAGTATCTCGAGCTCCCAAGTGAAGGGGCGCGGTAACCTGCAGGCTGCAGTCAGTGAGGTGGACTGAACGTTGTTTTGCGCGGTTGTCGCGGCAAAGGCATCTTGGACTCTTGGAGGATAGCTGTCGGTGCCAAGAGACGAATTAACGGCTTCAACAATTCGCACTAATTACTAAGGGCTCCGCTGTGTTATGAATCCGCTGATGAGCGGACAGACCGCCCCTTCGTCTACTGTTGCTCTCCCACTCCCACACACTTTGATGCCCCCTGCAATTGCTAACCCGACACTCACCCCCCAAACTGCTTCGTCCCCCCCTACCCTACCACACAGCTAGTCGACCTGAAAGAGAGCCTCGCCTGCTGCCTGCCCTCCTCTCTTTCTCTCTTTCCCTCCTATCTAATCCTCTTCACTTCCGCTTCCTCCCTCTTCCCCTCCCCCTCCTCCTCCTCCCAAGCACCGACACACCCGCTACGAGGACGGATCCAACTTCATCCCAAACGAACTCGCCGATAAATTGTACTGCGAGCAAACGGGAGAAGGTACGCACAAAGTGTTACGGTTACCGGCGGTGGCCTAATCAAACGCAAGCACGCAAGGAGGAAACAAACACACAAGCTAATTTCGACAGCAGTATTGAAGGTAACGCCACACGTACGCAGCAAACCGCTCGAACACGCTACACCCACTGCACGGAAACGGAACAAAGCAGACGATAGTCCAACGGGAGCCGTTACCACGAACACCAACATCGTACCATACCAGCGATGCAGCCTCCTTCCGCTGCCTCTACTTCGTCTTTCAATCCCTTCCTTCCCAACATCCCCGCTGCTCCGTCGTCCTCTACCTTTGGTGCGGAGCCTGGCTTGAGGACTCAGCACAGTTTTAGCAGCAAGGTGGATGAGGGCTACAGCGGCGAAGAGACACACACTCCTGGCGCGTCGGAGGATCCATCGGGTGGCATGAGGGATAGATTTGGCGACGTTAAAATTCCTGCGTGGATGACGGGGTTGAGCGATGCTTTGAGGGAAGGTCAGTAGTAGCGATGCGATGAGTAGTCGCAGATTCCCCTCCCTCGTCGCCAACAGGATGTGGAGATTGCTGATGCGGTTGCACATTCCCCCCCACAGAGTACGCCTACAAGCTTGTACGAACCCTACCGACGTCGCACATCGCCTCTCTGGTCGACCGACTTGTACCCATCCTACACCTCGATTTCGTTCAGCTCCTACCTTCGGAACTTTCGCTGCAGATCCTTTCGTACCTGCCGCCGAAATCGCTGCTGGATGCGTCGCTTGCTTCGCGAACCTGGCGCAAGTTCGCTCTCGAGCCCAGATTGTGGAAAGACCTTTACAGGCGCCAAGGATGGGAAGCGAACGAAGATGAGATTAGGCACTTTGAGACGGAGGTTCGGACTCGTCATGAGACTGAGATACGGCAGCAGATGGAGTCGAAGAGGAAGGCGGAGGAGAACCGGAAGGAGGAGAGGAAGGCGAAGGAGGCGCGACGATCTAGAGTGGTGGGCGACAACGGAGGCAGTCAGCCGATGGATATATCTCAAGACTGGGGGAACGACGTTATCGAACCGAATGGGTCAGACGCGATAGATGTGGCTTACGGGGCGGCTACGGATGCCGATGAGAAACCGATCGTATACCCCGGTGTGGGATCAGACGACGAAGAGATGTATCCCACGCCACAGCGCCGCCCGATGGCTACGACGCAAGGCTACTCGGAGCCTCCGTTGGCAATCCAGCCAACTCTGACAACTCCTGGATACGGATATCCCCGCCTCAATTGGGCGTTCCTATTCAAGAACCGAAGAAAATTGGAAGAGAACTGGATCACCAACAATTGCACACCCTTCCAGATCCCACATACAAACTATTCGCACGAAGGACACAGTGAGTGCATTTACACGATTCAGTACTCGCCGAAGTGGCTTTGCTCCGGCTCTAGGGACAGGACGATCCGGGTGTGGAACGTTAAGACGCGGAGACTTCGTGGAGAGCCACTACGCGGCCATGCCGGGAGCGTCCTTTGCCTCCAGTTTGACGAGCACCCCGATGAGGATGTCATCATCTCGGGATCCTCGGATGCGAGTGTCATCGTCTGGCGATTCTCGACCGGTGAAAAACTGCAGACGATACCACAGGCTCACGAAGAATCGGTTCTCAACCTTCGATTCTCCAAGAAGTGGCTGGTGACGTGCAGCAAGGACAAATTGATCAAGATCTGGAACAGACGGCCGTTGGAGACTTCGAACCCAGACTATCCCTGGAACAGCAAATTATTGTTCGGACCCCAGGGTGCGCCTCCGAACCACCCCCACCATCCTCAGTACCAGCCCTCGTGGCACGTCCAAGATCCTTCGTCGTCTAGTGGTTTGAACCTTCAGAACCCTTTCAACACTAGCTTCAACAGCAACAGGAGCAAGTTCACACCCAAGCCTCTTTCTGCGTATTCCGCCGTTCAGGCCCTCAAGGGTCACGTCGCAGCGGTCAACGCAATCCAGTTGAATGGCGATGAGATTGTCTCGGCATCCGGCGATCGCGTTATCAAGCTTTGGAACCTGAGGACGGGAACGTGCGAGAAGACTTTTGTTGGACACCAGAAAGGAATCGCTTGCATTCAGTTCGACGGCAGGACCATTGTGTCCGGCTCGAGCGACCAGACCATCCGTGTCTTCGACCGAGACACACAAGCGGAGATTGCAACTCTGCGTGGGCACACCTCCCTTGTGCGGACCGTGCAGGCGACCAGGAACAAGATCGTGAGTGGTAGTTACGACGAGAGTGTTAGGATCTGGAGAAGGGATGAGGATACTGGTGATTGGAATCCCGACCACATTCTTCGACAGGCCATCACACCGCTTCCGACAGCGCCTGGTCCCGGTGGTGCTGGCCCTGCGAACCATGCCCAGCTGCAGATGGCCGCGCTCCAGAATTTCCAGGCTGCCGCGGCGGGAGGAAATCCGGGTGCCGTGCAGATGCATCAGGTTCAGCAGGTGGGCCAGCCTGGACTTGCCGGAGCCATCGTCGCTGCTCAATTGCTAGGACAAGACAATCACGTTCACAACCAGACAGCTCCACAACAGCAGCAGCAGCCCCCGCAGCAGCCTCCACAGCAGGTTCAGCAACAGGCTGCCGTTATTGCTGCGGCTGCGGCTGCGGCACCCGCACAGGCTGGAGGGCTACATAGAGTGTTCAAACTCCAGTTCGACGCCAGATGGATCATCTGCTGTTCACAGGACACAAGGATCGTGGGATGGGATTACGCGGCGGACGATGAGAGTGTTATCGAGGCCAGTCGGTTCTTCCGGGGTGGTAATTAGATGTACTGCTCAATACCTGTGATTTTCCCCACCTACTGCTTATAGTTCTTGCTACTACAGTTAATGCTGTCACTTTATTACTTGCCTTCTGTTTCTGCTTCTGTTTTCGATGGGGTGGGTGTTTGCTTCCTATCGCTGTCAGACGGTTGATTTTTCTTTCGCATTGGGGTTAGTGGCTGGGAGGGCGAATGGCCTTTTTTCCGTCTACTTTCTTCAAAAGCCCATTTGATTTCTCGGGGCGTCTGTGTCTTCTACATTTAATACCTTGGGGTGTTGTCGATCTCTTATTCACAGTTTCGTCTCCTTTGTCATCCGTGTTGTTTTCTTCCATTGTCTGTCTGTTTTCCTTTTTCTTTTGAGAATGCGAGCTTTGGATGGGTATCTTGTTTTTAGTTGAGGCTGAAGTGGTGGGAGAGGTGGCTGACTCCTAGCTGGGAGAATTTACCGTATTTTACCTCTGGGTCTTGTCCTTGATTGAGATGCAAATGAATGGGTGGTGCCACTGGAGTTGCTGGGATGTAAGGGGCAACAACTGGGGGGCGGCCCCAAATTTGTGGCTGAAGATGAATATGGACATGTCATAATTGAGATCTCACGATCGGTGTGGTATGGTTATTCTTTCACCCTGGGTACTCCATTCCCATTTCCGGGGGGAGATGGAGATGGAACGAGATGATATGGCGAGTGCAGGTTCATGATTCATGGCTTGCAGATTGGAGCAGCTGACTTTTGGCTTTCTGGAAGCGGTCCCGCCTTTTTCTCCGGGAGAAGGCAGGAAGTACTTTGCGAGTCTGGATCGTAGACAGAGCACCAGCAATTTCGCCTGCCTAGTCGCGGGCTGCCATCTGACCGACTACTCTAGCGATGGCGTCTCTCGCTTGATCACGGGAAGTGCCGCACCCCACATTCATCTGACTACGCCCCGCATTAACTACTACGCAGCAGCCACCATCTCGCACGCGTCGAAGAGAACAATACCAAGCTCCCCCCTTCCCATGCAGATCCGCAACCCCAAGCGTACACGAACCCGCTTCCGGCATCAGCAGCGCACCACCATGTCGTCCAGCTCCTCGCCTCCACGGATCGAAGAACTTTCTATATCATCTCCCACTCCTCCAGACCTCTCAGATGTGTACCCCTTCAACCCGTCAAACCGCTACATTCCGCCCCCCATGGCGCCCCGTACACCCTCGCTCTTCAGCTCGCTCCCGGTGCTCCGCGACCTCTACTCGACGCCCACGCAGATCGAGCAGGACTCCGTCGTATCCCGCATCCTGCCGCTGCTCTCTTCTCCGCTGCCGAGACTGAAGCGGCAAGAGCATATCGAGTTCCTCGAGGGCGCGTTCGAAGAGAAGCTGCCGGACTACATGACCGTGCTGGACGCTTCCCGGCCCTGGATTGTGTACTGGTGCATCACGGGGCTGTCGCTGCTGGGCGTGGACGTGAGCGTATACCGGGAGCGGCAAGTCCTCCTTCCCGCGGGCTCGGCCGCCGCCGCATGCTAACAACCCCCCGCAGAGTGATATCGACATTCACGCCTTTGCAACACCCGCGCGGCGGCTTCGGCGGCGGCCATGGGCAGCTCGCGCACCTCGCCCCAACCTACGCCGCCGTGCTATCCCTCGCCTCCGTCGGCGCGTCCACCCTCGACATGATCAACCGGCGGACTTTACTCTCGTGGCTACACACCCTTAAGTCCCCGAACGGCAGTTTCTCCGTTTGCGCGGGCGGTGAAACCGACGTGCGCGGGGTATACTGCGCGTTGACGATCATCTCTCTCCTCCGCCTCCCCACCGACGCGGGACTACTCACCAACACCAGCACCTACCTCTCCGCCTGCCAAACGTACGAAGGCGGCTTCGCCGCCACCCCCAACGGCAACGAGGCGCACGGGGGGTACACGTTTTGCGCGCTCGCGGCGCTGCTGATCCTCCACCCGCCCGACCAGCTCGCCGCAACCATATCCCTCGCCAACCTCACGCGCTGGCTCTCAGCGCGGCAGTACGCGCCCGAGGGCGGCCTCTCCGGGCGCACCAACAAGCTGGTCGACGGCTGCTACAGCACGTGGATTGGCGCGTGCTGGCCGCTGGTTGAGGCGTGCGTTGCCAGTAGCGGGGGTGGCGGGGATGGCGGGGATGGCGCAGCGGACCTGTGCCTCTGGAGCCGAGAGGGCCTCGTGAGATATGTGCTTGCGGCTACCCAGGCGCCCCATGGTGGCTTGAGGGATAAGCCCGGCAAGGGTCCGGACTTTTATCATACCGCGTATATTCTGCTCGGGTATAGTGCCGCGATACATATGCACTCGTATCAAGACGATGGGAACGGGAACGGGCCAAAGGCTGCCGAGGCAGATGTGGATACACTCGCGGAGAGATTTGGGGGTACACTGAAGATTTCGACCTCTCCCGCTAGTACTACTACAGAGGAGCAGGAGCAGAAGTGGAAGCAGGATGAGCAGCAGGAAGGGGAGCAGCAGCAGGAGCAAGAGCAGACGCAAGAGCAGCAGCAGAAGCAGCAGAAGCAGGAGCAGCAGGATGGGCAGCAGCAGGAGCAGGAGCCAGCGCAAGAGCAGGATGTGCAGCAAGAACAGGATGGCCTCCCGCTGCTAAGCGCATTCAACTGGAAAGTCGGCGAAGTCATTGACGGCCTTGTAGCGGACCACAAGGGCTGGCCGGATGTTCGGTGGGATGAGGATGCGCCGACGTGGGATCTGGGGCTGCCTGGCGACAGGGTTCGGCCGTGTCATTTGGTGTTTAACATTCGTACCGACTTTGTAGACGATGTTGTGCGCTGGGGTGAAAAGCTGGTGCAGGGGGAGGGTGGTGGAATTTAAAGCGTGTGAAGGAGGAAGGAGGAGGAGGAGGTTCGGTCGAGTGATGTATGATGCGCGAGCGGCGAAGAGGGAGGATGGGGAATCAGAGAGGCCATCATCGATTGAACAGAGTACAGATCAGATAAGAAGTGAGGAGTGATCGAAATCCAAATTACCCTTTGTTGCTATCCATTGCCATCCCAGCCCTTCCCAATAATAAGTACAGTACACCATCCCACTACTACTACTACTACGTACAGCATATACACTCCCCCCCACCCCCATTCCCTCGCATTCTAAAGATCCCATACGACAAAGATTACATACAAGTCAACAAGCTACAAAGGAAAACCCATAACTGCGTGAATGAGGTGAGTGAGGTGAGTGAGTGAGAGGAGATGAAGAAGCAGCCAGCCGTGGAGAAAAGTCGGAGTGGACCAAGTGGAAAAGGGGGCATGATCAGACATGAATAGAATCGAAGAGAAAAGAGAAATAAAAAAAAAAAAAAGGGACAAGATACCACCCGCTACCCATTTTTGGAATGAAATAAAGTCAACATATGAAAGGATATCCCCAGCAACGCCAGACAAGACGAGAGATTGAAGAGAAAGGAAAGAAGACCAGCTAATATAAAAGTCCCCACACCACCAGGCCGCCGATGTAAATTATGGTGCCTATGGTCAGAAGCACTGCCGAGCTCTTCAACAGGCCCGCTCTGTTTCGACGCGTCAGTGTTTTGTCACTCGATGCGATGGAGGATGACCTTACCTGCTTGCGCTCCCGCCGAACCACTCGACCGTGTTCCACCCCTTCCGTACGGCCAACACCCCCAGGACGAGAACACACCAGCACTGGAGATGGCCCTGGAACACAAGTACGGGCGCCCAAGCAAACCACATCGAGTGTCCCAGGTGTCGCAGCAGTGCTGCTGCTCGCCACATTATGGCAAGGTACACCGGAAGTCGGTCGACCGAGAGGCCATACACGCGTCTTCGGACGCTGTGATGGCGTACAGGCGCCGGTGCCGGTACTGGAAGCGGCGCGGTTGGTGTTGGCAGCTGGGTCTCATTATTTTCGGACAAAGCAGGCGCGAGTGCGGGAAAGTGTGTGTGGTTGTATGACGCCGAGTAAGATGGGAACGAGGGATATATGCGTCGGCGAGGGCTGTGGGGGCGCTCGATGGGTGTGGGCGCTTCATCACTGTCGGAGGCGTCGACGTCATCCTCGTGAACCACTACCAGCCCACCGTCTTCCGAATCCGATGAGAGCACATGGTCCGTATCACCTGCGACGGAGCTGAGGGCGACAAGCGCTGTTGGTTCGCCCAAAGTGCTGAAGGATGCCTGTCGGTGGGGAAGGTGTTCGTGGTGCGGATGATCCTGTTCGGGATCGTATGGGAGCGACGAGCTCAATAGCGGCGTTTGCGTCTCAGAATACCCTCTTCTGGTGCCATCGCACGAGCTGCGACTGCTGAGTCCAGACTCGGACTCGGAGTCGGACCCTTCGTCGTCGCCATAGTCGTTATCCGATATTCCGTCGTGCCGGGGCGGAACGGCAAAAGTTGCACGAGGCGTCGTCTCTCCCCGCTCCATTTCCACCGCCTTACCGAAAGCCTTCGGGGTTGTCGGAGTGGCGGAACAGTTCCGGATCGACTCGTCGCATGCAGTGGTGGAGCCCGAGCCTTCGAGGACAAACTGGATCGTTAGTTCGGGGCGCTCACGAGCTCGCGGACTGCTACCCAGGTCCCGACGCTTGTGTTGGATGGTTTCGAAGAAGGTGCGGCGCTCCGCGGGTTCATGATCGCTGCCGGCATCGCTCTGCACCATCGTCGAATAGTCGCTGCGTGTGCGTTTTCCCAGAAGCTGCCGCCGCGGTGAGTTGCGGCTCTCATCTATATTGCGCCGGCTGTATCCCGAATGGGGGTAATGATTATACGAATGATGGAGCTCGTCAGGGTGTGTCGGACGGACGGTGTACCATGCCAACTGCGACAAAACACAATCAGTCTCCGATCAGACACCCAGGGGAATCCCCGGCGCCGCCTCACAACATACCACAGTCTCGACCGCGCTCCAGATCCACCCCATCAAATACACCGCCTCCCAGATACTCGGGCGCGCGACCGCGAAGGTCTCCTCCTCCCCAGCCAGCCCGACGTACGACAAACCCCACAGCTCCCCTCGTCCCCTAAAACCGCCCTTGCCGCCAATCGCCTTGATCAAGAGCCGGACCAACCCCCAGCGCCAGACCTCCTCCACCACGCCCAACGCAAACAACACACCCTTCTCGATCCTCGCCGCGAGTCTAGTCCTCCTCGGATCCTTCGGGAGCGGAACCATGCCCGCCAACCTGCGCAACACATGCACGCCGACGAAACCGACGACGCCGATCGGGATCGCGTCCTTGAGGTGCAAGCGCCGCATCAGCGGCTCCCTCTCACTGCCATCCGAGGAATGGGACTGCAGCAGTTCATGCTGCGGATTCCCGAGATGTTCCGGCGGCGGCGCAAAGAACAGTGGCAGGAGCAGTAGCGCGTGGAGGCCGACGAGCACCGGCGGGAGTATGAACTTGTGGACAAGGGGTTTCATACGTTCCCGTCACGGCCTCCTTCCGGGCGGGTTGGGAGGCAATTGCGGAAGTCGTCGGGGGCGTGCGGTTTTGTGATGCGATGCGATTTCAGCGGTTGCGATATGTCGGGGGTGGTGTGTGTTGGTATGTGCGTGTGTCGGAGTGCGTCTGTGGAATTTTATATATACTCGTATATGTGGGTGCTTCGATGGGGTGCGCTGGGGGGCTTGGTGGGGGTGGACTGGATATATATTGTGGTTCTACCGCGGCATTGCAGTAGGGTGGACTCTGCAGTTATGTATGTATCCAGGTTGATATCCCCCAAGGCAAGACCAACTACTTCGCTGCAAGTGCTGATTCGAATTTAGATGTGCGCCAGGATGAATCGGAGGGGTGCTCGAAAAGGACTGGCTCGTGCTGGGGGGGAGGGATGGGTTGTGTGGGGTGGGGAGGAGAATTCGATGGAGGATATTGATTGATGGCAGGGTGGGAGGAGAATTCGACGGAGGGTATGATTGATCGCAGGGTGGAGTCCGTCTTGCGAGCGAGATATTTACCGGCGCTCGCTGTTTCTCTCAACGAACGACGGACGGAGGACTCTCTTCCAATGGAGACTTTGGCGACGGATCTGCAGACGGATAAGTACTCCAATATGACCTGCCGACGACGAAACGCTTGAGGGGCTTCCTATTCAGGAATGGGATGGGGATACGGAGGGAGACGGAGAAGGAGACGGAGAAGGAGAAGAGGAGGAGGAGGAGGAGGAGGAGGAGGAGAAGGGTAGAAGACAAGTTAAGAGGGAGCGGAAGAAAAGGAGAGACCGGATGAAGCGCAATGGAGACAGCAGCGCTCAACGGAGAATTAAAGCAAGCAGAGTGAATGAGATGTGCGAGTTGACAGTTAACGAGCAGGCAGACAGGCAGGCAAGATCCAGCAAGGCAAGGCGAGCACGGGTCGGTCAGATCGGATCGAGCAAGACGAAACGGCGGGCGGGAAGCAAGTGGAGAAAGCACCCCCGATAATGAATGTTATTTAAATAAATAAAGAAAGACTAAAAGATTAAGAGAAAGCAGAAGGGCACCCTGTCAAATCGATATCGCATGAACTCGGCAGCGTGCAGATCTAGAGTACTCCAACTTCGAGGCCGTCCGCACGGAGCTGGAGCTGATCCTGTGCGGAAGAGTCAAGACTCGTGCTCGGCCGTCAATATTAGGCGATTTTTGTTTTCTTTTTTTTCTTTTTTCGCAAATGCAGGTTTCTACTCTATGGTAGGTGAAGCACTCTATGGGTGATGGGGGATGGGTAGTGGCGGCGGTGATAGTGGTGGTGGTGGTGGTGGTGGTGGTGGTGGTGGTGGTGGTGGTGGTTTGCGCACCTGGCGGCGGCGGCGGTTGTGGTTGTCGTGGAAGGATGAAATCGGGTCGGGTGTGGAGTGAGCGAGTGAGTGAATGGACAGAACTCACGTTTGGTGACGGGGTTGATGAAGATTATGAAGATCAATTCGATTGATTGCCCACGATGGCTGGATGAATGGACGGGGGAAGGTGGCAGACATGAGGGAAGGTGCTTTATTCTTTTTTTTTCCTTTTTCCTTTTTTTTCTTCCTAGTGTGATCTTTTGCGTTTCCCCTTCCTGTGCGGGCTGCAGCTCTGCTCTGCTCTGCTCTGCTCTGCTCTGCTCTGCTCTGCTCTGCTCTGCTCTGCTCTGCTCTGCTCTGCTCTGCTCTGCTCTGCTTCATTCTGTCTGCTCCGCTGCTCTGATCTGCTCCATTCTACTCCATCCTGTCTGCTCCGCTGCTCTGATCTGCTCCATTCTACCCCATTCTGTCTGCTCCGCTCCATTCTGTCTGCTCCGCTCCACTCTTCTCTGCTCAGCTCCGATCTGCCTGCTTCCTCGAAGCTCCCCGGGTTCGAGTTGCAGCTAACTCTCTACTCTAGCCATCCTCTCCGCACCAGAGACAGCTTAACGCGTCCGACTATTGCAAGGACGGGGGGAGGCCGCTGTCGTTGGTGGTGGTGGCTGCACACCTTCCCTCCCCCTCCCCCCCCCCCCCCCCGCGAGAAGGTGGGTGGTGTTGGGTTGGTTGGCTCTCGCCCTCGATTCCCTCTCTATTTCTTATTTTATTTTTCTCATTCGTTTTTCGTCCTCCATCCATCCTTCCCTCTTCGAGTCGGTCGGTCGTAGACTCGTGTGTATGCTGATGCATGCATGCATGCACGTCTCCACAGGTTTTGACCCCACACACAACCGGACAAACCCCTGCAGGTGTGGTGAGGAAGATGAGGTGAGTGGTCGCCGGTCCTGCGAGGACGGACGGCTTCGACTGCCTCCGCTGACGCCGCCGCCGCCCACCGACGTCGACGTCGGCTCAGGATCAGGATATGGATCAGGATCTAGAGGTGCACGGGAAACGGTGCGGTATGTACGGGCGTGGGGATGCGCCGTGAGACCTGCTAGGCGTATTTGCCTACCACGGGTCGATGTGTGCGGAGGGGCGTGTAGGAATTCCGGGCGTGTGAGAAGCCGCAGAGTGGGCGTGCCGAACGATGTCTGCCCACTCGCCTGAAACGAGTTCGGTATGTGCCTACTCAACTTCCTACCTACCGGTATCGTGGCACGGCAGCACTCGTGATTCTGCATACTCTACAGTGCGCCCAGGTCAGGCCGGGAACGATAGTGTGCTCAGCAGCAGCAGCAGCAGCAGCAGCAGCAGCAATTGGAAGCCACCGACGCGGACGGACAGAACATTATTCGGGATCTGCCTCTCCCGGCCGTGGAAGACGAGAAGCCCTCTCTCCGTCTCCCGGCTGTCCACCTCGCTCCGCTGGCCGTTCCGACCGTGCAGCTCTCGCCGACACTGCATCACTCCATCACTCCATCTTCCCCAATCACCCATGTCTCCCCCGTCTCCCCCGTCTCCCTCTAACAGTCTAACTATCTTTTCACGATCAATAGCTCTCAATCCCCCCCCACCGCCCGTTCGCTTGCTCTACTGCCGTTGGCGAAACATGCCCGACTAGAAACTAGTGTGAGCCAGCCCCCACGCGGTCCATCCCTGCCCTCTGTCTCGCCAGCCAAAGAAGTGACCTCCTCAGAGATGCATGCTGCTAGGCCCACACCAGCCTAGAGCCGAAAACCCGCTCACTATGTATGTGGATACACCAACATCTGCCTGAAACGAAACGCCGTCGACGGCTATGTAGAAAGTGATATCACCACCACCACCACCACCACCACCACCACCACCACCACCACTAGAGAACAGAGATCCCGGAGCCGGAGAGACGAGAGACGAGAGACGAGAGGGCGAGCGTCGGCGTTAGCCCTGCGTGTAACGGGGGGAGACCGTGGTGCATATGGACGATACTTAGTACGAAGGGTGCAGTCCACACGACCAATCAAGATACGGGCCTCGACAGTGTGGCCGACCACTATATCCACCGGCCGGTAACTAAGCAACCTACTCTACCCACTAGCTATCCGTCCCCCCCGTCGCACCCCGTCCTCCCGTGCCAACCCTCCTCTCGCCAACTCTCCCCTCGCCAAACGCGCTCAGCCCCAACCAACCAGCATCGCTGCATCGGCAAAGTAGCGCCTCACCCACCCACTCCCCCTCTCCCGTACTAGAGTAATCAAGCTTCTTCGAGTGTCAGACTGCGATGGCGACGGCGGCGGCGGTCGGTCGGTGCCTCTGAATTCGAACTGCTGGATTTGGATGTAGAGTATGGATGGATGTAGATATGTAGAGTAAACAAGTGCTGTTTGGAGGGCGAGGATCCGGCTCCATGTAGACAGGAGGGCACTAGGGCACTATGGAAGCGATGTTACGCGGGTTCTGTGATACCGTACCGTACCGGTACCCACGATAAGGCCTGTGGCGCGGAAAGGTAAAGGTGCACTGGCCGGTAGAGTGTGTACCTAGAAGGTCAAACGATTGCGATAAAACAAACAGTGCAAGTGAAGTCGCCCCCCGGAGTCCTCGACTGGTCACTGAAGTGGTGCGTGTGACAGTCTTCTGGCGAGAAGGAGTCGTCGTCGGAGGAGAAGCAGGAGGAGGAGCCTAGGAGGAGGAGGAGGGAGATGCCTCGGTGCATTTGGATCCTCAGGATCACTTGCTTCGTACCATCCGCCACCGCTTCCAGCACCGCTTCCAGCCAGCCAAAGCGCCATTAGAGTACGGTACTCGTCTCGGCTATATGGTACCGGTATGGAAGAAGAACAAGAAGAACAAGACGAAGGAGATTCGCCACAAACAGGTTACAGGACACTACTACCTGTAGGCTGTAGTACGATCGCATGACGGCGGCACGTGTGTACTCGCAGGCAGCGGCAACCATCCACCCAAGGGCCAAGCAGGATTCTCGCAGCGGCAAGCAGCCATCCATCCACCCCGGGCCCTAGTTATCGCAGGCAGAGGATAGGACCCATCCATCCATCCATCCATCCATCCATCCATCCATCCATCCCCTACGTACACAACAGTCATGGTTGACCACTGACTGACTGATCTGATCTGATGTAATCTCCTCAGCCGCGCGCAACCCCCCTCCCCCTCCCCCGAGAGGTTCGAAGTGTCTGCCCGTCCGTTCGTTTGCTGCTCCATGTCTTCCCCCCACGAGGGGCCAGACCCGACCCCCCTAGCTCCACTTGTTCGAATTCTTGAATCTTGACGCCTTTCGATGCAGCGATGCGGCGAGGCTGCGATTGGAATTTAGGCGTCCGGGTTGATGAAGACACCCACACACACACCCACACTCGACACACACACTCGACACACACACACACTCGACACACACATCCCCCGGTAGGTATGTGGGTAGTTTGAGTAGGTTCAAGACGTCACATCCATACATCCATAGATATATTCCGTTATGATATCGAGCATAGAGCGTACCCTGGTGGCCAACTTCCCATGGTGTATCCATACTCCATACCTACCGTATGCATATCATGTATGCATCCACAGCTATCGTATGCATCCCGTGCATCCCGTGCATATCATTGAGTACGGTACCGTATGATATGTATCTCAGCATGTATCAGCCTCCGAGACTCGAGGTCAGATCAAACCGGCGCCCGCACCCTGCATACCGTACTTACCCACCTGCCCACCTGCCCCACTCTGCTCCACTCTGCTCCACTCTGCTCCACTCATACGATCACGTCCAACTCCATAATTTGCACTTGCCTCACTTGCACTTACCTATCATACTGTCCCCACTTGCACTTGCACTTGAACTGGAACTGGAACTGGAACTGGAACTGGAAGATGTTGCACACTTGCACTGGATTATGAAGATCTTACCCGGACGCCGCGGGCGAGGTTGCAGGTTGTAGGTTGCAAGATGTAAGTTGCAACCGCTGCATCCATGAGGGGCGCGGTTGTGGTCACAAAAGACAGACAGAACCAGCGGCCCTCCCAACCCTCAAGCCCCCCAAACCCTCAAACCTCGAATCTTGCCCCCCGGCTACCGGAAAAGCAGACGATGATGCTACCTACTGCCTGTACCGTGCATACCGGTATGTATGCACCCCGCAACCGCAACCGAAACCGCTGGGGGCGATCGTGCAACCCAGCCCAGGCCCCGGCCCTGGCTACATAATGCCTGGCGCCTGCGGGGAAAAATAAGAAGTTAAGAGCCGACCGGATCGGATGATGATCGCAGACTTGCAGACTCGTAAGTTGCAGCTTATATCAACGGCGCATGGGGAGGAGGGGGGGGGGGGGGGGGGGGCGACGGGGGGAGTGTTACGTAGGGCACATGGTGGCTGCTGACTGGAAGGTGAGAGAGGTGAGAGAGCGTCGAAAGAGGAGGCAGAAGAAGAGTGGAGAGTGGGCCAAGGGAGTACAAACAAACGGATGGGTGGTGGTGGATGGTAGTACCATTACGAAATACGTAATACACTCTCCGTGCCCACGGGCAACGGCAACAGGCAACGGACGCACATATGAGGCGATTAAGCGATCTATGGGGCGATGGAGGGGGGCGATCTATGAGGCGATGAGGCGATGGAGGGAGGCAAACAAACGAATGCCAAACGTTCTTGCAAAACCTTTCCTGGTCTCCGCACGCACGCACGCATCCGTCGAGTATGTATTGCGGTATCAAAGCGCCGGGGGGAGGGGGGGGCGATCATTATTGCAAGACGCAGCGGCAGGTACCCGTCCACAGCAGTGCCTGGCATCTTGCTGTGCGCGTTTCATCTTCGGCTTTTATTTCCACTCCCTCTCGGCAGATACCGGTATAGACTGCCCACGCCACTCGGCTCGCTGCATACCGTGCCATACCGTACCGCATCCTCTCTGTCTTCGGTAATCCACAGCACAGCACAAACCATCACTCGTCCCATCCCGTCCCGTCCCCGGCCGGCCGGACAAAGTGCCGAATCCCCGAGATGACAATGATAACGGGGCTGTCTTATCTTATCTCGATATTGAAAGAAAAGAAAAAGCACCCAGCACCCAGCATTCTGCACCCAGCAACAAAATCCCCCCGCGCAACATCGCGTGCTCCATACATCCCATCAGCATGTATCATGTGTGTAGAGTAGTAATAGTAGCCACACTCTTAAAAACGTCCTGCAAAACATCCATCGCGATGATTCACTTCAGCTGCCTCCGCCCTCCGAGGGTCCGACAGTTCCGGCAGTTCCGACAGTTCCGATGGTTCCGTCCGATGTTTCAATGCTCACCCACTCTCCGCCGACGCCGACGATAGCAAGACGCACACACACCATGACGGAGTATATCATAGATATAAGTATCGGCGAGCATCGGCGAGCATCGGTGGAGAGGATCCAAGTGTGTACACACCTAGGATACCGCTAGTATATCTACTAGCGAGTAGACCGCCCGGTGATCTGAAACCGCACGAACCAGTGGAGCCTGGGACGCACGATAGAGTTTTTTAGTTTTGTTGTTGTTTTCTAGCTTTTAGTTTTTAGTTTTGTTGTTGTTTTCTAGCTTTTAGTTTTTAGTTTTGTTGTTGTTTTCTAGCTTTTAGTTTTTAGTTTTTTTGTTGTTGCTACATATTGTTGCTAGGGCGGAACGGAGATGGAGACGGAGACGGAGACGGTGCGTGTTTTGCGTCATATCGTACGTGCGTGGACCGAGTTGGCAGGCGGTCGTCGAGTCGTCGAGTCGATCGCGGGCGGGCGGACGGGCTGGATGGCTGGCCGTACTGTGAGCTACCTAGCCACTGCCGTAGTTAGCAGCGACATCGGAGGATCGGGTCGGGTCTACGGCGAATACACGGCCGCCCGACGACAAACTATCGCCCGAGGGCGAACCCGCGAGCCCGCAACGCCGAAGCCGCCCCCCGCAGTTTCGAGTCCGATCCTAACTATCCGCGCTGGAATATGCACGGTCGGACACGGCTCGTGGGGCCATCGTCAACCCCCCCCCCCGTTCAGTCCAGTGCTAGTACAACCAGCTATACACGGTGGGTGGACCGTAGGTGGACTGTGGGTTGGTTGGGGGGGGGCTCGTTCGCTCGCTACAGGAATGTGGGGAAACAGGAAACCACGTGGGCCAGGGCGATGGACCGATGGTGGCTTGCTGTGCGGGCTGTGATTGGGTGGGTGCTGCGTCGTATCTAACGGATGTATATTGGGTATATGTAGGGTAGTAGTATTGGGTATTGCACTACCTGCTACATAACTACCGTATTTGGTGCGCGATACGGTACATACTACCTATACTAGTAGTAATTATTCATCGGTGGGGAGGAGAGAGGAGAGGAGAGGAGGGAATCGAGGATTCGTGTCGGATAACCCCCCCGCCCCACGCATCCGACACGAAACATCTACATACCAGGTAGATAAATATGTACTTGGGGGCAAGTATGCATATCTACCGCCAGGCGCAGGAGAAGGACTCGGGAAAGGATAGCGAAAGACGATTCTGCTTTTAGGGAGGTGTATGTATCGAGACTCTGGGCGCTCGGTCGAAGCACAGTGGTGAGCACTACTACCGGTAGTTAGTACCCAGACCTCGGGCACTTTGTCGGAGGGGGGTTCCTCCTGCGCCCGATCGCGAGACATCGCTACATATGTACAAAACACTTATTGGTTAGTGCCATATCCGTGGGGCTTGTGGAGCTGTACCATGTGTAGCCTGGGGGTTTGGGGGGTTATAGTAACGTGCAGACCATGGCGGATCACTCGCAATGTGGTTTCGATCTCGAGATCTTGGAACCCGGGGCGGATGGATGAGCGTGGGTGGACGAGTGCGGCTGCTGGATGCGATGGGGTGGAATGGCACTCTCGAGTGCTATTCGTGATCCGGACGCGAACAGTTCCAATGATATCCGGTTCCAAGCGTGGCTGCTGGGTGCGAGGGCACTACCGAGTGCTCTTCAGGCCCGAACGCGAAGAGTTCCTAATCAATGTTGTCCGGTTCCAAGCATGGCTGCTAGGTGCTATGGTACTGCCGAGCGCTATTCGGGTCTCTCGCTCAAGGGCGGATGGACGAGCGAGGCTGAGTGCGATGGTACTGCCAAGTGCTGTTCGGGTCCGGACGCTAACAGTTCCAATGATAGGTATTGAAGAGCTAAAGGCCAGAGGGACCCTTAGTCGACGTTGGCAGTGGATAGGGTGAAAGAGTCAAGTATAGGTCATGAGAAAAGGAAGAGGACGAGTATAGAAAATGAACCTCCTGAAGAATTCAGGAAGTCCCAGACGAACAGGCACACTAAAACGAGAAAACGATCACAGCGACCACTGACCGACAAATCGGATAACAGGGCACGACAAGAATGATGAAAACAATGAGGATGGGCGATGAGACAGACAGACAGATCCGCCGGCAAAATAAACAAGAGCACTCTGAACGTTTAATCCCACCGAATCTGGTCTAGCCAGGTCGGTGAAATTTCACCGCTCGTGCATCTGCCATGCCCGCCGTTTCCGCTGTGTCCCACAGTATCCGATTCCAAGCGCTGCTGCAGTCGCATCGACGGCAATGCTCTTCGCGACACTAACTCTGAGCTTCCCAGAGTTGAATGGGGCCGCAAAAGCTCATTCATCGGGACATAACCCCGCAGAATAATCCCCACAAGCAGCCAAAGCGACTCGTACGGGCTACCGAAGTGTTGCGGATGCATGACACTTCACAGACAATCACTCGATCTTCAATCTCACAATTCACAGGACATATTTGTACTTGGCGAAGCTATTCATTCTGTCCCGATGAAGGGCTACTCTTCAGGGTGATTAAAAATTACAGAACATCAATACGCGCACGCACCACCACGCCCACGGGCCCGAATCCCGATGACGTCAAAGCTACCTAACGCACCCGCAGTTGGAATAAAACAGCGCCCTCCTCTAGCAGAAAGCCGCAAACCCGCCGCCAAACGAACCAAAAACCAGGAAAAAACCATGCTCAGCCCCCTCCGCGTCCTATCCCGCAAGCGCGTATTCGCCTTCATCCCTACGGGCAGCCGCCTGCTGCGGTACACATCGACTCATGCGCGGGTGCCCCCCGGGGGGAGTATGAGTAGCCGCAACCGTGCGCCTTCGACCGCAACAAGCACGTCGCCGCCTCCGCGAACGCAGTCGGACCACGCATCCGCGCAAAAGGTCGAGCCCACGACCGCGCCCGACTCCGCGTACTGGAACGACCAATCACCGGCGACGAGCAGCTCGGCGCCGGGGACGCGGCCCGCGCCAGAGCCGTCCGATAGCGGACTCACGGGGAAGGTCGAGAGCGTGGAGATCAATCTCGCGCCTGGGCTGGAGCTGCGCGGGCATATGCGCCAGGTTGTCGGTGCGGTGCTGGACCTGCTGCAGGGGAAGGTCAATAAGCAGAAGATGGAGCGTAGGTTCTGGGCGGATGATGCGGTGTTTGAGGATTGGGCGAGTAAGGCAGTGGGCATCGTGGAGGTCGATGCGAAGTGGGTGAGTGCGCTGTGGTGACGAGGGGAGGGGAGGGCGGTGCTGATGAGGGGTGCAGTGGGGCCTTAAGGCGATCATGAGCGATATCGATATGATCGAACATAAAGTCATCTCGGTGGCGCCGAAGAGGGTCGACATGGAGGTTGTGAACAAGTATTCCCTGAAGGCCCTGCCGGGCGTGGAGAAGGAGGTGAGGAGTATAGTTTCCATTGAGCTTGATGGCGATGATAGGATTAAGCGAGTGTGTGACAAGTGGAATGGGAAGCTGCCGGAGGGAAAGATTTCGGAGGTGGGTGTCATGCGGCGGGAAAAGAAGAGAAAAAAGGAAATGAATGATTGCTGATGACTGAGACAGTATTTCCGACGGGCGGCGGCAATCTCGACGGCGAAGGTGGTGAATGTTCCCGAACATAGCTAGGGAGGAAAAAGTTGTACTCTACATATGATCGAGAAAGCTTTGCCGCCGACATTCTGTGATCACCAATCCCTCCGTCGCCAGTTACCCACGCCGTAAGCCATAGCCACCGCAGCCGCGATCCACCCCGTCCGCTGGCGTCTAGTCGACCTCGTCCCAAAGCTGGTATGGACAAACGCCATCTCGGGATTGTCGAGTGAATAGCAGATAGTGTTGTGGGGACAGCAGACGATCACACGCTCTTCTTCAGGAGCGATGTTGTTGTAGCCGCAGCTGGTGCCCGAGGGACAGCAAAGATCGAGGGAGTCGCAACGATTCCACGTGGGCAGACAGGTTTTGTCTTGGTTCTTTCCCACGCCTATGCGAAGGGGCGTTTGGACTGCGAATGTGGCGTTCTGTGGCTCTACGATGGCGGTTGCGGTGGCGGCAGTGATGAGAATGAGGTTTGGAAGGATGGCAGGAATAAGCATCAAGTTTTGAAGGCGTCTCTGTTTTTGCGTGCCTGAATGCGATGGGGAATTACAAGAAAGCCGGCCCGATTTAAATGACTCCCAAGGCAGCTCATATCCGTCAGCATCGTCGTCGTTTTCGTCGAACAGTCATGTGTAATTCACACACGCGCACGACTAGTAGTCAGCGCCCCAGTAACCGCCGTCAGGTGGTCCAACAATATTCGCAGCGTGCGCAAGTCGCTTGACTTCGCCGTACAACTACATATGGGGGTCTAGTCGTTCATTCCAGTCATTCCTTGGTGAAATCCAGGAGTCAGCCGCTGGGATGCAAGACGCTACGATCTCTAGGGGGGTGGAGATGACTCGTATTTTATCCCGTTCGTTTCGTTTCGTTGGATTTGTTTGTAGGCAACAGCAGCTCGTAGTTCCCCCACCAACCGTAGCCCTAACCCATTAGCTTCCGCGTGGTGAAGATGAACTTTCTCGCTTCGCCTCCGCCGCCGACGGTCAACCCCAACCTTGTTTGCCACCCCACGGTCCACCTCACCACGACCAGCACGACCACCAGCACCAGCACGGCCACCCAACACAGCCCCCACACCGCGATGTCTTCGACGCGCGCCCTCTACCGCAATCTCCTCCGCGAGCTACCGCCGCTCACGCCCAAGCCCACAAGCCTGCACGCGCGCCTGCGACAGCGGTTCAACCGCAGCGCCGACATGCCGAAGGAGCACGCCGAGCAGTTCCTCAAGTACCTGCAGTGCCAGCGCGTCTACGTCACGCTGCTGGAGCGCTACAATCCGGGGCTGGCCGGAGACTTGGATGTCGAGGAGCACACGCGGCTCACCGCTAGGAGGGTCGGGTTGAATATGCCGAAGACTTTCAAGGTTGGAGACGAGAAAAAGTAGGATCTGTAGGATCTGTAGGATGCGGGGGTGGAGGGTGGGTGGAACAGTGGAAGCGAGTGCTGCAAGTGCGGAATGAATGTACATTATGCATAGGTGGATCTGGGTATGGGACGGACGGAAGTCATCACTCGTACATACCGATAGGTACTGTAGTTCGAGAAGAGCGTGTCCGGAGCTTTCAGTCGGCAATCCGAGATGATGGTACCATGGTGGTGGGTGCCTCATCGAGAATCACCCATCCCTCATCACCCATCCTCCATCGAATATCACTCTGACATTTCCCCCATCGATCTCGCTATTCGCTCATAATACCCCAAACTGGCTTCCAACCGGCAAGCCACCGCGTGGTAAGTACATAAGAAGCAGGTATCCATCGCCTCTTCCATTCGCCCCCCTTCATGAGTACGGTACGGTATCCCCCTCCCAATTGGCAGCGCTCCCGACTCGGTCATCCGTGATAGATAGTCCACGTTGCAGTTACCAAACGGACGACCAAAGCATCAAGTAAGGTGATATTCCTCCGATTCCTTCCTGATGTTCGCGAACGCCACCGGTACGAGGCCTCTCCCTCTTTCAGTCCTCCGAGGCGGATAGATAGCAACGCCAGGTCTTTGAAGCTTGGTTATGTATGTAGGACGTAGGAGTCTGCCTTTCATTCGGTCGCAAGGCGATCTTGTCGATTCACAGCCTTGCGATCACAAGGTAAACACACACACACACATGGTTACCTATTGGGCACATGGGCGGTGTAGGCATGCTAGTTGGTGGGATACATTTTTTCTTCTCTTTCGAAGAGCAATCCCCCCGGTCGCGAAAAAGCCAGAGCACTCAGCAGAGCACACAGGTGTCCATTTGTTTGCCCCCCACTGCCAACTTTTTTCTTTCGGTTGTCTGTCTGTCTTTCTTTCTTTCTAGATCTTTTCTCCATCGTCCTTCCCTGCAGGCTGCAGCGTCTGGCACTGGCAGAACATGACACGGTACCGTACCGTAGGCGTACCATACTTAGCGCAGCAGCGCAGCAACATTGAAGTTTATTGAGGTATTTGCAGGATCAACCACCACTCGCTCCCTACCTTGGTTACTTGTACCTAGAATGTGATTGTTCACCATGGCCATCCGTCCATTCATGTCTCCCTATGGCTGGTAGCTGGCTGACCAGCCAGCCAACGCATCACCCGTTAGTCTCCATCCGTTGCGTTGCGTGGATCGGCGCGTTGATTGGTAGCATGCTGCTACCCGAGGATGGATGGGTGGGTTGGGTGAGGAGGAGGAGGGGGGAGGGGGGGTGTTTGTCGGTCCGTTCCGCAGTTATCTAACCAGCTCGTTGGGTAGCGTTGACCGGGCGGGCGCACCTGCTAGTAGGGCACCGCGGGAGCTCGTGAAGAACGAGGAACAAAGAACAGGTGGAGAAACACCTCAAGACTCAAGAGAAGAGTTCCAGCTATCACAGTCGCATGAGAGCGTCATGCGTCAATTGGCCATCCGCACTCCGCAGCAGCCGCAGGAAGCTACCTACACTACACCAGAAACGTGGAAAGATAAAATAAAAGGCCGCACCTGTAGCTGTCAAAAGCAAAAGGAAGGGAAGAATGAGTTGAAACCAAGCTCGCCCTGCGACAGGGGGAGGGGACAGATGGCCCATGGCCCATGACGCTCTCATGCGACTGATAGCTGGAACTCTTCTCTTGAGTCTTGAGGTGTTTCGCCGACCGACCCCGCCACAACTCAACTTGCGCGGCCGCCGCTGGTTGGTCGGCCAGGCATGAGCTGGCAAACAACTGGCGGTGGGGTCCCTCACTGTCTGCCTGTCTCGGAAACGCCAAGCTTGCAGCATGACGAGTCGACGCCGGCCTCGGTTGTGAACTGGCAGTGCCACTGTGCCAGGGCTTAGCTGCTCTAGAGTACTCTACCGTACTCTACCGTACTCTATGGTAGTCTCGATTACCGTATCGATGTCGGTGTCGATGTCGATGTGGCCTCTTGGAAATCATGAATCATGATTCTCTCCTCTGCCCTAGGCTCTACATGGAGTGATAACCACCACTTACTTCCCTAGCGGTAAGGCTGTCGCGATCGGCATCGGATACCTACTCTAGATAAGCCTACCAGCCAGCCAGCCAGGCGTTGCTGTCATGATACCGGGCCGGTACGGTAGTACTCACTGCTCACAAGCAGGCCTAAGGCGGAGCGGCGGAGCGGCGTGCGGGGTGTGTGACGCAACCTCGTCCTTGGTCATCGGTCGGACCGGAATGTGTTGAGGCAGGCTGAGCGCTCCGCCCCGTCCGACCGCCCGACCGCCTGTCCATCCGGCCGGTCGGCCCCGCTTGTGTGCACGGTGTAAGTGTGTAAGCTAAATTGCGTCAAAGCGGGCACGTCGCATCGCGTGGGACTACGTAAAGGCGGGGTAGGTAGACCTTAGTTAGACCGTAGCACAGTTGTCAAGCGTGATGATGAATTTCGAGATGAGGAAGTTCGCGCAGCCTGCAGGCGGGGATAGGTAATATCATAGGTACGCGCCTTCCCTTTTTTTCGCGGCTGTCACTCGGCCCTGTGAGCTCCACATTCCTGATTCATCTCTGCCACCACCTAGGTAGGAGGTACCACAACGACGACGCACAACGACGACGCACAACGACAACTCAGCCCGGTGGAGTTCGAGGTGAGTTCGAGTGGCGAATTTCCAAGGCTTTGTGTTCTTTAATTTGCGCATTACTACTCTATGTAACGAAACGAGCAGATTAGGCATCCCCCGGATCCTCCGGTGGGGGAGTGGGTGCCAGTGGGGGGCCTGGTGGTCCTGTCCTGTCCTGTCCGTAACTAAGCGAAGAAAGGCGAAGAAAGGCGAAGCAAAGTTTCACCTCGCCTGCCATCTCAACCTCAATCAAGGGCAGGAATTGTTTCGGAAGACCTGAGAACCAATCCGCTGCCTAGAGTACTCGAGTAGTAGTGCTCTGGGTACTCTGGGTATCTCCGGCCGTCACGAACTCGCCGCCGCAAGCGCCTTGCACCACCCAGCCAGCCCACCCAGCCTTCCGGAATCCGGGCCTGAGCTCTTCATATGAAGCGACACAGATACCTATTCGCGAAGAGGTACTAGAGAAGGCTCGACCGCTGGCCCGGCGGTACGAGAAATGGGCTCTGCCCTGCCATGCCATGCCATGCCCTGGCTGCATAACGCGCGCGCTATAGCAGGCTAACTACCCACACTCCCGCACACCCAGAAAGCAAGCAAGCAACTTGCAGGCAAGGGCGAAAGGGCGATTAAGCCGCCCGCACTTCCGGGATCGATAATGAAGCATTGGTACTCATAGTAGGTATGATGATACAAAATACATAGTACTAGGTGGTACACAGGTATTGTGGCCGTGAACTCGAGTGCCTGAGGAGTTTCAACGTTCGAGACGACGTCAGCGAGCTCAGCCACTTCCTATGTAATCAGCGTACGTACGTACCACCATACGGTACGGTACGATACACAGGTACTCTACTTGCCCTGCTCCACGGTACTCTACATATCGTGAGTACTCTACATATCCCGCAGCATATGCATAAATGCACACACGAACCAATGCCCCGATCTCTCGGAAGCCCCGCCAAGGGCCAAGGCAGGGGCCAGCTTCAGCCTTCGGGCGGCGATCGGTAACTATCTGCAGATCCGAAGCAATGCATTGGAATTTGTAGGATTTCTCATCCGACTCCGAGGGGCTGCGTTGTGCCTTGAGGTGTAACGCGGGCTTGGGGTCATGGTCTTGGTCTTGGTCTTGGGCTTTGTCACCTACACATGGCTGGAAATCTGGAAATCTGGATGGCTGACATTCACTTTCACTTATGTACCTACACACACATACACGCATACACACAGAGATACATACAAGTGCACACACATCGCCTGATGCGGGGGGGAGAGGGTTGCAACTTCCTGGTCCGGACTCACTGTTCAGCTGCTTTCCCCCCCCCCCCCCCCCTCCTTCCCTTTCCTTCGGGCTTTTCGAGGTCATCTCTCAGCACTAAAGTAACTAAGATCCATCTGAAAGAAAGGGAGGTGAAAGAAAGAAGTGTTGGCTACGCTGCGCTGGAGGAAATCTCCGGGTCGTGATGCCGAGGGGATAGGGGATGGGTAGAGTGCATACCATCAGCATCAGCTGCGATGTCGGATGGAGTTTGGGAATCGGGACTCGCGAGAGACGCTGTTTTCGTGGGAGCGAGTGGAGAGTGATGGATATATAGTGTGTATGTAGGCAGGAAGGTAGTGGGGAGAGAGTGTGCGGTAGCACATCGCCATCTATATCGAATGTCCATTACCATTGTCCATTGTCCATCCCGTGCAGTGTGCGACGTGCGTGCCTTTCAATTTTTTACCGCTCGAATGCCTGTACTCTATGTCTGGACGCCCGGACCCGGGGCCGTTCCAAAGAGAGTACCTTAGGCACGTAGGTAGCACCGAGTTAATCCGGAAGCCGAATGCCGGGGACTGGTGGTGGAGTCGAGTTTGAGGGCTCGAAGCGCTGTGCCGCCTCGTGGCGTCGTTGACGAAGTGCACAGTGCACATCCGTTTAGGTGGATTTTCCTATTTGTGGGTTTGACGTACGTTAGACTGTTTGAGCGGGTACGTAGGCTTTTAACGACGGTTCTATTCTATTCTACCATGATACTAAAAACCACGGCCTGCCATGTTCTAACCTCGAGCCTCTGCATGCGTCTGCGCCGGAGAATTCTTCATCGTCGACTCTTGAGACAATGCGAGGGCATGCGGAGTACGGTACCTAATGGTTAGTTAGTACGTACCCAAGGAAAAGGCAGGCCAGTGTTTGTGATTCTGTTCTGTTCTATTCTGCGGCCGGCGCGAGGCGGCAAGCCACTCCTCATCACTGACCGGGAGAAGGAGACGTACATATAGTACAGACCGGCACTCTACCTTCATACTCTACCAGCCTCCCAGCGCCGTGCCGCGCCGGGTCCGGCAGACAGAGATCAATGATCAATGCAAGCGTCCATAAATACGGTACGGTATCTACTGTAATAGAACAGTGAACTTCGGGAGAACTCAGAGGCTGCAAGTGGGCATAGCACAATCCACTTACCCACTCACTCCCGTGCACAGCCGGCAGCGGCATTGGGGACCGTTCGTAGCTGCGAACACTTTGGATCTTCGCAAGCAATTCTTCAGCACACGGATGGATGTCAAACATGTTGTAGACGCGCGCGCTCGGCGGAGGATGGACAAGATGGTGCAGATGATACAGGTAGTGCGGATGGATCGAGAATGATGAAACGCGTTCGCGTGCCCTGAGCGACACCTAATCGGGGGACCGGGGGGGATTGCGTGTGGGCATGGTGTTCCCCCTCTAACCACCTGGTGTAACCATGGTAGCGGCGGATTATTCGTCTCAATGGATGGATGGGCGAGAACTGTCCAGTCCGTCTCCGTCTATTACCCTAGGGCATTGGGATTCGGGGACGATATGCACTGGCTACCAGCTGGTAATAGGTAGTAGATAATAGTAGTAGATAATAGTAGTAATAGTATGCACCAGCCACTCTGCCCAGTGCCGCCCAACTGTGTGTGTACGAAGGTGCAGCAGTTACCGTGTGTACAGCCTAGTAAATTACCTAGCACATATCCTACACACCGTACATACCGTACCGTAGCTACCTACTCTTGCAGTGCAGATTCATCAGAAGCTGCGGATTTTTTTCGTTGGCTCGCAGGTGGACACGACATCTAATTACAGCCCTGCGTACGAAATGATGGGGCCAATCAATCAGTTGGGGGCCGGGCGCGCACGTAAGAAAGAAAGCAATTGGAACTTGGGAAGTTGGGAGAGCCAGAAGACCCCGAACTCTGGATCAACCACGTCGAGGACTCTGCTTCGCTGGATGCAGGCAATCCCAATCATCAACGCGCTCCCGCAGATCCAATATTGCCAATTATTATTGTTATTGTGGTTGTTATCACTTTCTTGCTTTCTCGCTTTCTGCAGAAGTGAAACGAACGCGAGAGGTGCTCAGATGTACTGTACTATAACCAAGTACTTGCACTGAGCAGCAAGCAGGATCGCTGTGAGGGGGAGGATCTGATCCAATAGCGGCGGACGCCGTACAGTTGCCGCAGAGGCGAGGACGATTCGGTCGGGGAAGGGGGGGCTTGCTGGTGGCTACAGTTGTGGATGTGGCGTGGATGATGAATGTGTTGAGGAGAAAAAAAAACCCCCCTTCAGCCAACTTGTCCCGTACATGAACCTATGGTACTCTACGGGAGGACAGGTGAACAGGTGAACAGGTGAACCGGTGAGTACATATCGGCCAGGAATCCCAAGGGCCAGATGTGTCTCCTATTCGGTGAATAGCGATTGTGGACCTGGTTTTGTGTTCCATGGTGATGATGATGATGGTGATGATGATGGTGATGATGCTTTGCTTTACGCAGCTTTGCTTTGCTGTCCGCAAGGGTCCGGACCGGCTGTTGTCTTCGCACTTGCAGCAGCAGCAGCAGAAGAAAAGAAAACTCTGAACGAGCGCTCCGAGGACGGATGCCGAATGGCCGGTTGAGCTTCATGGATGGCCATGATGGCCCACTGTGGCCACCACCACCGCTGCGGATCGGTCTGCTGTCACTGGCCGTCTTTGTGCTCAACACTCCACTCTAGCTTCCCTAGCTTCGGTGCAGCGATGAAGCTGTGTGTAGTGCATCTTTAGAGTTCACTCGGTGATACCTATCGACCTCCATCCATCCCATCGAGCGGTAACCAGTACAATCGACAATCGAATCACCAGCCAGCCAGCCAGCCAGCAGTTGGGAAAACAACACGCTCGTTCTTTCTCCTCCGATGTCGACCATTCCAAGCTCGCCAAAGCGACCGTTGGACTGACTGTCCGCCCATTCGACGGTTCGCCCATCGTCTTGTCCCATCACCCAGCACCCAGCAAGTCTTGCCGGGCTCAGCAACAGCTATCATAGTTCGCTCCCCCTCCCCGTGCGTCGCTCCGTGTACGCGATACATCCAGACATCCCTTGCATCGCCGCCGTCGCCGCCACACCTGCCTTGTCGACTCCTGCCTTCAACCCTTTCCTGCATCTCTGCTCCACCATTAGCTAGTCCTCCTTCCCCTTGCAAACCCGTGTCCACTGTCCACGTCCCAGCTATTCCAAACGCATGCAACGGTAGACAAAACATTACTGTCACCGTGTCACGGATCTCAGCGCGAAGGAGGAGGAGGAGGAGGAGTGGAGGAGCCTAAAACGCTAGTCACTGCCCCCCATCCCCCCCTGCACCCCCCGAAGACGACGACGACATTTCGAACCTCTCGCCTTGAGATTGCTTGCTTGCTCGCCGGACCGGACTGTCTCTCGCGACGAGAGTGGCTTTGCTAATTCATTCCGATCTCCGCAGCCAATCGCGCCGTCGTCACAAGCTGCTGCTGAGAAACCCGCTGTGCCAGATTCCGTTCGTGGCCGCGGAATTCGGAGGATCTGAATCAACGGACAGCGCAACCAACCAGCGCACTTCCCCTGCCCCGGCCTAGCCGTGTCCCACCCCTGGAGAAATCCGCACCTCTGCGATATCTGTAACATTTCCCACCCCCCCTCCTGCTATTTTGCTTATTTTTACCTTTCCGCACCAGAGTCTTGCGCGCGTCAGTCAACGGATCCGAGAAACTTGCCTTGACTGGGAAAAGAATAACATCCGTACATACGGACTTCTGGCGAGAAGGCGGCTGTAGAATTAGATTCCATACCGTACCACCACCGACACCACCACCAGATTCCTCAAGCTCACCGTCTGCCTCACCCTGCACCCTCTCTGGAACACCATACCGGTACCTCCCTCCTCCACCCCAGACGTTGGCCCAACATCCCCCGCCCAGCGCTGGATCCGAAAGTCTTAAGAGCACTCCTCCGCCCCCCATCACCGCCTTCCATCCCCAGGCTGTGCTTCATCGACTACATCTTAATCTCTCTACCTAACACCACCTCGGTCAAAGAACACAAGCGTCTCCTTGAAGGAACGCATCATCCCCCCCACACACCCACCACGCATCCATCCACACACCCTTGTCGCCACTAATACACCTCTTCCTGCACTCCCGTAAGATTCCCACATTGCGACCAAGCCAGCCCCTCGACCGACAGACAGACCGACACGACGCGCAAACGACCCAACGACTTTTTTTTTTTATATCACATCATCTTGCCCCCCAACCCTCCCCGCATACTGTCCTCGACTCCAAAACAAAAGTCGACTTCAAACCGCAATACTCAAACCCGACAATAGGAAAGCAAAGACCGCAGTGCAGTCTCCTTTACCTACCTTGACACCCTACATCAACAGTCACTCCCTCCAATCACCAATAATCACCAACAATCATCACATCGCAGCAATGGCTTCAGCAAGCTTGATGGGAAACAAGGAGGCTTTGGCCGAGTTCGTCCAACTGCCAGTCTCCAAGGATATGATCGCATACCTCGCTGCCAAGGCATCAAACGTCATTCGGTGCCAACAGCCACTACCCTCGCCGCCACAGACTCCTCCGGAGGGCGATCACGAGACCGACTTCACTCGATCCCGTGAACCCGCCATTCCCACTCTCCTCCAGTTCATCACATCGATCGTGGACCGGTCACACGTCCAGCTCCCAACACTGATGTCGAGCTTGGTCTACCTTGACCGGTTACAGAAGACACTGCCTCCGGTGGCCAAGGGCATGCGCTGCACTGTTCACCGCATCTTCCTCGCGTCGCTCATCCTGGCCGCTAAGAACCTGAATGACTCGTCGCCGAAGAACAAGCATTGGGCGCGCTACAGCGTGGTCCGCGGCTTCGAGAACTTTGGTTTCTCCTTGACGGAGGTCAACCTGATGGAGAAGCAGCTACTGTTCCTGCTCGACTGGGATCTGCGCATCAACCCAGACGACCTGTACAAGCACCTCGAGCCCTTCCTCACCCCCATCATGCACAGCCACAACCGTGAGATCGAGATGCAGGAGAGGCAGCGAGTCAGGGAGTACAAGGAGGAGATGAAGAGGGAGTGGCTTAGCTCGCGCACCCGCGCCTACTCGCCATCCATGGCTCATCACTCTCCCGTCTACCTGTCCGATACGACTCCTCCCACGCGCCACTTGAGCGATTCGCCGCTCTCTTCCTCCTCGTCGTCCGGTCGCTCTTCGAGGGCCTCGGACCGATCCGAGAACTCCTCTTACCCCCACCACTCGCGCCACCGTTCCCGCGGTCACGCACACCGCCGAACCAACACCATCGACTACGACTCCCCCCCTTCCTCGGTACCCGGTCTGTCTCGAAGTGGGACAACGAGCTCGGTTGCGAGCTCGCGGGAGAACTCGCCGAGTATCCCCGTGCACAGCCACGTGCGCCATCTTCTGCCGATCCTGGATACCGGCAAGAAGAGGCTCAGGACCGCCGGTGGTTCAACTGGCGGCCTATTGAGCCGGTTCTTGGCAGGGGCAAGCAACAGCCCTGACCGACTGGGTGTTGCGACGATGTCGACGCGGTCCGTGTATTGAGATCTCGGTTTTAGCCGGGATGTGGGGTCGACACTTTCGCCAGCCCGTTTCATATCCTTTCCTCGTTTACGATAGATTCAACTCCTCCTCCTCCCCCCACGCTATTTTCCTTACCTCTTTCCTCAACATTAGACGGATCGGTGCTATACGGTTTTGGTTTCGGCCTCGGTGGATCGCTATGGGGGGGTATATGAATCGCTTCCGAGTTTCATGATGATTTGTTTATACCGCCTTGCTTTTGCTTCTTCTCACGCGATACCGAGGCCATGCGCACGATGTGGTGTTTTCTTTACTGGGGTGGTTGGGTTGGGTTGGGTGGGACCTGGGTCTGGTTTTTTTTTTTTTGCTTCCTGCTTGGGTTTGTTTTATGGAGGGGGGGGGGGGGGGGGTTCGTTTTACCGGTGTTTGGGAATGATTATTGTTTCGCACAGCGTCTGTTTTTTTTCATCATCTCTTTTCCTTTACTCTTTGGTGGGTGGGAGGAGTACATATTGTTTTCCATCATTCTTGCTTTTTTGCGTTGCATATCATCCTGCGAGCGTTTGCTTTGTTTTACTTTACTCATCTGTTCTGTCTTCCTTCTTCTACTTCTTGTTTTTATCTGCTACTGCTACTACGTACTTTAATACTGGGCGGGCGGGGTGGGGGTGCTTTGGAGTTGCTTGGGGGTATCAGTTGCCGGTGTTTATCTGGATGGGATGGGATCGGATGGGTCGGATGGGATGGGATGGGTGGATGGATAGGACGGTCTGGCGAAAAAGGGGAAATGGGTTTCTGTTTTATTTCCTTACGGGGTTGGGCATGGGATATGGGATATGGGAGGAGATCTGGATGGGATGGACTGGTTGGATGGGATGGGATGGACTGGATGGATGGATGGAGGCAGGATCGGGGTTGTACAATTAGTAGAGAGCAACGTTAGAAGAGTCTCAATTACAGTGCTCATTCTTACCTACCTGCCTACCATGCTCTGCCTACTCTGTGATATGATAGCTTGATACCGGTACCTTGATTCGATATGATATCGTGAAGTGGTGGTGGTTTCTAGTTTCTGGATGAGGGGGTGGGGGGGGGTGTGGGGCTGATTGAAGTACGTATTGGCCTGGGTTTGATCGTCTTACTACCTATGACATATGAAGTAGGTACCTGTGTACCTGCGACGGCCGATTGGAGAGTACATCTATCTATCTATCTGCTGTGGAGTGTAGAGTGTAACTAGAGTGTATCAGCTTTACTATAGATGGTTCTCCATCGGTGGATACGATTCTGCACGCTAGATTGTTGTTTACCGACCGACCGACCGGCCGACTGGCAGGGCTGAATTTCTGACTTGATGGCTTGCTTACCATGCTTCGCACGATGGCGGCGGCGACGACTTCTACTGGTCGTGCTGTTTTTGGATAGGCAGCAACTACTTTCACTTTCACTTTCTTCAGTTTCCTCAGTTTCCTCACTTTCAAAGCCCACAAGTCCACAAGCCCACAAGCCCAAGTCCACAACACAATACAATAGACGGCGCTGGTTGGGTGTAGGGACTCCATAAGATACCACGCAACCAGCGCCGCCCTCCTTCCCCACCCGTTTCGAACAGTGTTTTGACCAGCGCCGTGGTTGGTTCGACAGGCGCATCTGGCTTCTACGATATGCTTCGCTTACGGCTGCGGGTGCATTGCATTGAGGAGGAGCTGGTACTGGTGGCGGTGATATGTAGATATCTAGAGTCGGTAGAGTAGAGTGTCTATGTGGAGTGTCTAGAGTATGTAGGGCAGCGACGGGGCTGTGCAACGGCGCACACTGCACTGTAAGTTACTGCACTGTAAGTTGCCGCACTGCACTGCACCACTACACCACTAGCTGTACTGTAGTTGTACGGTACGGTAGTTAGGCAGTTAGAGTTAGCGTGCTGCGGAAATATTGTGGAGATTGAGGAATGGGGTTGTGGGTTGGTAGCCTGTCGTGTGTAGGTGCGTGGGTGTGAGGCCGATCGTGAGGTTGGTGAGCGGACGACGGAAGCTGTGTGTGTGCGTGGGCGTGTGTGTGTGTGTGTGTGTGTGTGGGTGGGTGTGGCGGGGGGAGCAGGGCGCAAGGCTGGAGTTTCCCTCCCTCCCTCCCTCCCTCGCTCGGTAGGCCCTACATACTCTACATAGGGGCTCTGCCTATCTTTGCAGTCGGGATAGTCGGGATGCAGTCATAGGGGGTGGTGGGGTGGGGTGGGAGGGTGGGGTTCGCATCCCACCGGTGGATGGGTGAGATACCTCAGGCTTCAGCTGTGGATGCTTCAGCTCGAGTCTGTACACTATACTTCACGTACGTACCTGCCTAGGTACTCTACCCGGGTACACACTCACTCCCGCGCGCAAGATGTTCCAGCCCACGGCCCATCCTTCCTGCTTCCTTCCAAGTTCCTTCCCTCTTGCCTTCTAGAACCGGCGGCGGCAGCACACGACCACCCCACCGACCATCAACCCACGACCCACGACCCACACACGCAAAAAAGTGTCGTGCGTGTGCGTGCATGCGGGGTGCATAAAAGCCGTTTCAGCTTTGTGGGATTACATACGCACGCTTATATACGCTACCTATACGCTACACGCTACACGCTAGGTATATCTGCAGTACATAGGGCTCACCGAGGGGGAGGGGGAGGGGAAGGTGCGACGTTTGAGGACCCAGGGGTACTCTTACTTCTTACCTGTGGGGAGTACGTAGAAGTCGTTGTAGTGGAGTGGTGGTGGAGTGGTGGAGTGGAGTAGTGGGGTGGCGCGTCAGCGCCTAAGTCATGAGCGCACGGAGTTGGTGTTGGTTATGTAAGACTGGCGGCCGGAACTGGCGCGAGACAAGGCGGGGCGGCAATCCTGCTCTGCTCGGCTCGCCGATGAGAACGAGAACGGACCTCCGACCACGGAAAGCACGGACGGGCGTGATCCTCCCGAGATATGTCATAGAGTAGCGTGGCTGTGCTCGAGCGAGCGCGCTCTGACCGCCGTCCCCGCCGCTGCTGGCGCTGGCGCTGGTGAGAAGGGGGGTCGCTTGTGCCCGGATGTGCTAGATTGCTAACTACGGTTTATAGGGAACTAGTGCTGACCGGAATACTAACATATGGTAATTTACATTCATATGACCGGTATGTACCGGTACGGTATGGTGGTGATCCGAGTGATGGTGGTCGCCGATACCTACTCGCGGTCTCGACTCCCTAACCGGCACGAAGCGATCACCGGAGATGTCACGTTTGGATAAAGTACCGTACAGTGTAATCTTACGAAGATGACCAGCTAATATATAGTAGTGGAGGCGGATACATGTGATAGGATTAGTCGGCTAACTACACGGTGAGAATAAACTGCCTGACCAAGAAGATCCTTTGTCAGCGCGACTCGCGAGTGCTAGCACACCGGTGATTGAACATCCTGCATTGGAGATCTCTAGGCAGCATTGGTGGCACTCGCGGTGTTGATAATTTTGATAAGCCCTTTACTTTCCAGGCTGCACTTCCTCATTCGGCTTCGGCTTTGGCTGGTCGATACGTGCGGTAGGTAGGTAGGGGAGCTTTAGATGACCGAGCCCAGGCTTACGTGAAATCAGTGTTCTCCATAGTCCAGTCCAGTCCGTCCGGAGGTGTCTGTCGGACGGACTAGTCCACCGGTATGGTCGGACGGGATGGACTGCAGTCGACTGCAGTCCAACACTGTCCAGAAAATTGGCGGACGGGACGGACTACTTTTATCCCGTCCTCCAAAAGGCACGGACGGGACTGGATCTTGGCAGCCCTTGCCGTCCGGACTGCAGTCTGGACCGGACTATGGAGAACACTGCGTGAAATCACCAAGGTATTTGGTGATTCCGCCGCAATGGGTGCGCAATGTGCATAGGCTTCGGATGATTCCATTCGATTTACGTAAGAGAGATCTCGAGAGAGCTCGGGAGAACATCAATGTATTATCGCATACAGCCTGCCATCTAGCCGCGGCGACCACACGGCTTAATCCCCTCATTTGCTACCCATCTCCGACAGTGAGAGGTTGAAACTGAGAAAAAAACCCGACTCGATTGATGTAATGATACGAAAAAGCTGAGAAAGATGAGAAAGGAGACTGCTTATAAAGGGCAACGAGCTCGTCTAAACAACCAGATGAAGCCGGGCCTCACTGCTCAGACAGAGGAAGCGACGATAGCCAGGCTTGGGCTGAGAGCTGGGAGCCTAAAGAGGCTTTACGGTATTCTGGTGGGAAGACAGGTACAATGCTAAGAAGCCACGAAGGCCATGATGGTCATGAAGGCTGTATGCGGCGATCCAAAAGGACAGAGGACATAGGACAGGGAAAAGTAGCAGTGACACCGGAATAGGCAATGAGACGCATAATATCAACAGTGAGATGTCGGACTATCTACCGTACCGATGCAGTGGTTGTTCACGATTACTGATAGCCCCATATTCTGCTGTTGGGCTTTACTCCGAGTAAGTGTAGGCTGCTGGCGATGTTGGCCGTTGGCGCCACAGATGCATCGGATAAGCGATTGATGGCTTATTCTCTTAGATGGATTGAGAGGACGCCCGGGGACGTAGTGCAAAAATCGGCAACAAATATCACTGTATGGCCTTTGACCAGTTTTCAACCATCGTTCAATAAACTCGAGAATCGTGTTTTCTCTAACGTACCGTAGTGGGCGGATTTGTGCCGCCAGAGTCACATCTCACGGTTGTCACTGGCGCGACAGACGAGCCGGTAACCAGGTAGCAGGCAGCAAGGCATTTTGAGTCACTCGCTCAGAAACAAGAAGTAGAAAACACTAGCGATACGGGCCCAAAAAATATAAGCGAGTGGCGGCTCTCCATAAGAGAAAGAGCAAAAGAAGATAGCAACACCTCGTTTCGATCGAGGGACCTCCGGGTTATGAGCCCGGCGCGCTTCCGCTGCGCCATGTTGCTCACTGGATGTACATTTTTCGCTGATTACAGATCTAAAAGCCAGGCAAACTTCAATTTCGACTGTTTTCGACTTTTGACTTATCGGCGAGCCAAGATTGAACAAATAGGATTTAGGCTCTCCACCATGTCTTTGCGTCGCAAGAACTCAGAGTCGTTGACAAAGTACCCGAATATCGTAGCCATAATCGGAGCAAAAAAAACATCAAAGTCACCCACCAAGATTGACGGCCATAGCAACGAAATAAAAACGGAGCGGGAGATGCATGTTTATCGCGCGGGCCGAGAAACCACCATTCCGTCATGACCCATCCGCTAGCACCTGTATGCACTGTGCACTGTGCACTGACTGACTCGAAACGAACGACTGCTACTCTTGAATAACGTGGAAGTCTCTTTTTCTGTTTTTGTTTTTAGGCGCCAACTGGATTGCTATTGGCTGCGTTAATGCTTGCGGTTTCAGTGTCCCGTTGAGGTGCGACGGCCTTCACTTGACACTGGGCCGATTCACGTTCGGATCTTCCTGTGAGGTACATACCTATGTACCGGCGATAATATTGTGGCTTGCAAGCTGCATCGCAGGGCGTAGACACTACATTCGGACGGATACGGATGATCTCATTACTTGTTAAGCTTATGGTGCTCACAGATACTTTTCTCTGCTATCACCGTATGGTGGGTATTACCGACTTCACCACTATCACCAAAGAAATCAAGCTTTCGTATGAGTAGGTAGTCGGTAAGAAGGACCATCATGCTCTCGCGAGCATCGAGCAAGTAAATTTTCAAGTTTCCATCCCGCCCGTTCCAGGCAATTCCGGTTCACACTCCTTTACAATACTACAATTTATTAGAGTTCGCATTCGGCTCGAGTGACATGGAGTGAATCAACCGGACAAATTCCGTCCATTCGCAACTGCTCTGGTCGACCGACCGACCGACCGACCGATCCATTGATTCACCGATTGAGCGGAACTACCCCCAAGATGAGCCTATATATGTAGCAACAGGTGGGCTCACTGCGGGTAGTGGGTTTCTGGTAAGAAACATTTGCGCACATGGTGCACCTGGAGCACCTGATCAGGTTCATCCTCAACTCCACTACGGTAGTAGCATCAATATTGGGCCCCTCTATAACCTGCTGCTTCTATTTAGCAAGGAGGAAACTGCACTGTGTCGGTCCAAGTCGGGTGGTCCGATAGCTGTGAAGGTAGATGAGGGGATTGAGTCCCAATCTGTCGACTTGTACAAGCTGTTGCAGAATTAGTTGCGTGCTATGAGTGATCCATATTCATATCAAGGCTACCCGGTTCCCCTTGAGAAAATGCTGCGTGGATGGAATTTAGGTTCACATCCACCAAATGCCTCATTCAATAGCTCGCTCGTCACATTGCAACGTGTAGAGAATTGCAGTGACACGCGCTCCCGATTACGTTCCCATCCAGCAAACCTATGTACAGATCTCAACGCCTCCTCCGCCGCGATCCCAACTCTACCCCTCCCCACCGGGGAGGTAAAATCTGCCACCAATGCAGAGCACAAATATAACGCCCCAAACTCCACGGGAATCTTTCCATGAATGAACGAATGATCTAATACAGATTTAAAGCGACGCCGCGACAGCGGATGTAGGCCCTGTGGAGAGTGCGCCCAGCGCGCCGGCGATGTTGAATGCCTTCCGGTTCGTGATGACGATGTCCACCGGATACTTCCATGTCATGAACCTAGTCCACGCTGGAGCGCGGGAGCAAGCTAGTCAGTCATGTGAAAGCGTGGAGACTGCGGAGGACAGCTACCCCAATATGCGCAACGACGCCCCACCCACTTGCCAAAAAATGGGATCACGACGAGTGAGAACAGGAGCTCGAGCTGCTGTAGACTCTCCTGCCACTCGGCCTCCGCCTCGTCATCGGTTGACAGCGACGAGTCCGACGCGATCGACCGCGGCGACGGTGGTGATGGTGAAGATGGGTGTGCGATGAACGAGGCTGACTGGTTGAAGGACAGCGAGTCGACGGAGCCGGATACGGAAGATTCGGTGGGCGTGTAAACCGAGGATTCGGGGGTGGACATCGGTGTGGACTCGGCAGACATTTCTGTAATTCAGTCGGACGGCGGCGCAGGGCGGAGCGGCAGCTGGGTCGGAAGTGGTAATGGGTGGGGAGGTGGTAGTTGAAGGATCCAAGTCAATCGATGAGTGGAGGTGGGGGATGACGTTTGAATGGACGCCAGTCGGCATCACGTGAATGTCTCTTTGGGTTAGCATGTTTTGCCTTTTTGCTTTTAGAAGAGTCACCCTCTCGCAATAAATTCCGTTGCCAGCACGACTCCCACAAACCCACCACTGCCCACTACCACCCCCAACCACAACTAGAGATCCACGATCTCGAGTACGACACGATCCGCCCGATCGAATCAATACCACGTACGAACGCCCAAAAGTACAGCTACAAGTTAGACGATCGCAATCATGTCGGACACAGAGGTGTGTGAGCTCGCTTGATTTTCCCTTCCCCGCGCCCACGTTATCTGCTGGCGCAAACCAATCCATCAAAGGAACCTCGCCACCAGCGGGGGCTCACCTGGAGGGCTTGAGCTGATCTGTACGAATCGCAGGAAGCTCCCATCTTCGACCCTTCCAAGCCGAAGATCAAGACTAGAAAGTCGGTGGCTTTCGAGGAGGGCGAGGACGCTAATGGCGGGGAAACCACTACGGCTCAGAGTCATAGCATAGGTATGTTAATTTAGCCTTGCGTCAGCACTCGTCTCATCGGCAACATCCCACCACAATGGGTCGCGATATGGGCTTCGCCTACCTACAGCTTCGCCATCATCGACTATGGAACAAAGGCTAACATCCTTCACCGGTTCAGTCGACGACGCTGAAGCTGACCCCGAGGTCGACGAGCTGACCGAGCAACTCAAGGACCTCAAGAAAAAGAAGAAGAAGAAGGTCCCTGCCGCCGATGCCAATGGCGACGAAGCCCCCGCTGGCGATGGCGAGTTCGACCCTGCGCTCATGAAGAAGAAGAAGAAGAAGAAGGCGCCCAAGGAGGCCGCTGTCGACTCTTTCGACGCTCAGCTTGCCGAGGCCGGTGTTATCTCACGTGACGAGGACAACGACGAGGCTGCAGAGGAGGCCAAGCCCGAGGATATCGGCGACCTCATCGCCGGTACCGGTGTCTGGAACTCTGCCAGCACTGTCGACCTTACCTACCCCTTGTTGCTTACCCGCTTCTTCACCCTTCTCAGAAACCAGCACCCCGACCTTGCTGGCGACGGACGCAGAAACTACAAGATTCCTCCGCCACAGGTCCTTCGCGAGGGTAACAAGAAGACGATCTTCGCCAACATTTCCGACATCTGCAAGCGCATGAAGCGTCAGGACGAGCACGTCACCCAGTTCCTGTTTGCCGAGTTGGGAACCGGCGGCAGTGTCGACGGTAGCAAGCGCTTAGTCATTCGTGGAAAGTTCCAGCAGAAGCAGTTGGAGAACGTCTTGAGGCGGTATATCCGTAGGTTCCCTGATCCGAGATGCTCGTTGTTCGTATCAACCGCTAACAATGCGCAGTGGAGTACGTTACATGCAGGACTTGTAAATCTCCCGACACCGACCTTAAGAAAGGAGAGAACCGTCTTTTCTTCGTCACTTGCAACAGCTGCGGTTCCAGACGTTCCGTCGCGTACGTTTCCCCTAATTCATATGCTTTAACATGTCTATGTACTAATTTCCTATCACAGCACCATCAAGACTGGTTTCCAGGCTACCATCGGCAAGAGGAGGAGGCAGAAGGTTTAAGCGCCTTGTGTGGTTGGTTGGGACTGCTCGCCTTGGCATCACGGGGTTCTTTCTTTCTTTCGTGTCGCTCTTTTGATTTAGACAATACGAATCGTTCAAGCCACGCTCGCTCGCTGGGTTGATGATATGTAGAGTGCCGCTGTTGCTGCCGCTGGGAGACGGATGATTTCCGTATCTCACTCGGCGAGCCACTCAACGTGACCAAAGCAAATACTACCTAGAGAATTTATGATTTCATGCTGGATAGACTGTTTCGACCGGCTTGGGGCTTAAAACACCACAAACTCGCTTTTGTGTTGATTGGTCCATGGAGTGCGTGGCGGTAAGTTCCCATCACTTCACATACCGCATCCAAGTCCAAAGAACGCCTCAAGCTCTCTCCCCCAGTACCTACCTGGTACTTACCATGACAAACTGCCCCACCCTCTTTTCCCCTTGCGGCATGTAGGTACCTGAGTAACGAGGCTGCATGCGACCTTGCAGAACAGAAAAGCAAAGAACTTGGACCGTGGCTTCTCGGCGAACCACATTCTATGACTAAGCTTTGGATGCGCTATCGTTGGACTTCATACATGTCATTAGGACTGGAGATTACTGGAACAGAAGGCAACATTGAATGGGAAATTTTGAATGGGAACATCTGCATTTTCCATGTTTCCCTTCGTCAGCCACTCTCGATTTCCCACCTATTGCAATTTGCAAGAAGTTGCAGAGAACCTTCCCCCCCTCCTACTGGTACCTCCCGTCCCGCTTTTGAAGAACCCTCAGAACCCCCACCAAATGCAAGTACTATCTCTACCAAATGAAAAAGATGACGGAAAGAAAAAGGGAGAAAAAAGGACATGGAGAGAAGAGAAGAAGAAGAAAAAAGAACAAGAACAAGAACAAGAGTGTGCGATTATCAACTTTTTTTCTTCAATTGATCTCGCGTTCCACCATGGCACTAAGCATCTCAGAGGCCCAGTTGATATGCACCACCCAGTCAGCTACAAGCCCTCATAAGCCAGACAGCCAGTGTTCTCGAGGATCCTCCAGATCTGCGCACTCTTCAGCTTTCCCGACAGCTCCCTCTCCATCTCCAGCGTGTTCCGCGCCTTTGCCCACTTGATCATGTTCCACATCTGGTTGTCGCTCAGCAGGCCTTCGGGGTCCGCGCTCATCGCAACGATCGTGAACCAAATTGACTCTGGTAGCCCGCCAGGAAGCTTCTGCTTGACGTCCGCCCCACCATTGGTCTTCACGCCTTCGTTTGTGCGCTTGGATTTTTGAGTCTCGTCGACGCCTTGCTCTTCGTGCGTTGATGCATCCGTCGCTTCGGTAGCTGGAGGGTCCGAAGACACAGAACCTTCGGAGTCTTGAACTTCAGTTAGGTGCTCGGCCAGTGGGATTGAAGACTTGCGGGCTCGTTGCGGACATCCGGGGGATGTGGCAAGAGATGCGAGGGCTTGGGCCAGAGATCGTCCGTCTACAGATGGCGAGCCAGGATCCTCGTCACGAAGAGAGCCAGAAGACACTTTTCGTCCAAGCCCATGGGTTGGAGAATACACCTTCTTGCTCCCAGAGCCATTGATGTACGAACAAGAAGCTGCCGATGGTAGGGACCTTCTGTGAGGCGATTGTTTGGGGACCCGATACGGCTCGGCATCTTTGTCGGAAAAGACTAATCGAGAGAGGGCCAGCATCTTCAGAGCAGCACTCCACAAGGAGATATAATGCGGTCCGTTGACGTTGAGTATCGACCCTTGAATCTTGTGGCGGGCTCTCTCGAGGTCACGGACCAGTGGTGGAATACAGATCTCACCCAATGCGAAATTCAAATCTTTGGCCTTCTTTGGCGAGTACTTGAATGGGTTCACTTCTGGCCGGACGATCTTGATTGAGTATCCTTCTCTCATTCCCTCCGCCAGATCCAGCATACGGGTGCTCAAAAGGCTATTGAGCTGCTCGTTGGGCCTATACACAACTCCTCGGCACGATGTTGCGTAGTAGGCTTCCAAAGTCTCGGTCTGGGTTCCGGCTTTGGGTGGCGGGAAATATGGCATGAGACGCTGCGGGGTGTAATGGAGAGGCAGAATGTAGGAGAGGAAAAGGGCACCGCTATCGGTGACACCAGTATCGGAAAGGATCAAGTATGGAATTGAACGGAGACCCTGGAGTTCGACGTTCTCGGATTCACGCATCATCCCCGGAGACGGACGTAGGGTGAGGTGTTTGGACGACGGAGAGCTCACTGTCACATCGTCAAGCACCTACGTTAGATGAAACCTCAAAAATAGGAAGACTTCTTACTGGCTTCGCCCTTGATAGGAGTTGTCTGCGCGGTGCTGGTGGCCGAGTCCCTGCCGGTGCCACTCAATCTGCGCGCTTTTGCATGAAACGTCACCGAGCCATCCGAATCGTCGTCCAGCTCGTCCGTATCGTAGCCGGCGTCAGAACTATCCGACTTTGGTGGTTTGGGTAGGTAGATTGGTGACTCGCGGGAGTACATTCGCAAGAAGGTCTCGTAGCCTTTGTCGCCGATTGGATTTTCCGATATATCCAGCCTGCGAAGACACGATACCTGTGCGACGACACTTCAATTCAGCACGCTGGGGGCAGAAACAAAACCATCGGAGGACGGGAAGACGATACCTCCCGGAAGGCGCGCAGGAACTGCTCCCAGTCATCTACGTCTTCCTGCGTCACAACGGCAAGGTTATTCGCCCTGAGGTCCAAGTCCTTGATGTCGTTGCTTGCCAGGCGGATAACCTCGCACAAAGCCTTCAACCCTCTCATCGTGATACCGTTCTCGGCAAGGTGAAGCTCGTCGAGCCGGATCGAGCCGGAGGACAATGCCTGAACAAAGCCGTCGCAGGCGATTCTGAGGCCCACGTCCCCGAGCTCTCTCCCCTGCAGGTAGACGTCGAGGTGTGGATCCCTGTGAGCCCTCGCTTTCGAGCCATTGGGTTGTGGATTATGCTTCAGCACATCTTTCTTGACGGCATTGCCCAGCTTCTCACCGCCGATCTTGCGCTGGAATGCCATTTGTTTAGCTGTCAGATACATGCGCCCTCGGAGCAAGCAAGGCGGTACGTTGGGAGGGGACTGGGGAGACAAACGTGCGTATAATTGAGCTTGCCCATCGCTCTGTCTGTGGTGGAGATGTGTTGGTGGCGTCCGGGATGACGCAAGGAGTGAAGGAGTTGAGAGATGGAGGAGAGTGCGGAGAGACCGACGGGAGGCCCGCAGGTTTATCCGACTGTCTTCCTGATTGTGAATAAGGGCTAGAAAATGTGTGAGTTCACAGTATGAGTGAGTGAGAAGGTGAGAGGGTGAGAGAGGAGGAGTGGAAGAATGAGTGGGCGGATGAGTAGGAGAATGGGAGAGTGAGAGGGTGTGTGCCAGGAAGTAGGGTACGGGAGGTCTGTCTGTCTACGACGGATGCAGGAGTACACAGTGACGGTAAGGGGCATACAAATAAAGGAAACGACCCTATGCATGTGGAAGTTTCCTGGCTGGGAATATTGCACAGTCATCAGCTCATCACACAGACAAACATACATTCATCGTTTCTCGTAGTCATCGCCGAGACAGAGGTATTGCTCGGCATCGTCCCGCAATGGCATAAAGATCTGGGTAATACTGCCATCATGCGAATCTAATCTGCTACCAATTCTTCTTTATATTGGAATGTCACTCCTCCAAAAACCGCACACGGAATTCCAGCCCCCGATCAGACGTCTCCGTCATTTCACCAGTCACGTGCCCATCCACTCGTGTAACCACAGCAGTTGCAGTCGTTCTAGACGTTCTACCAGACCGGATGATAAATCGTGCAGTCGTCTGGAATATGTAGAATGGCCGTCCACACCACTCCCCACGGCGGCTATCGCGGTGCCAATAGTCCTGCGAGCTATGGAACATTCTTCAATCGACAACCGTCCGGATCGACGATTTGATGCGTCCGCCGTGGTGTGGGGAGCGGGGCTTGCATGGCCAGGGTCAGGTCAGGGGGTGCTGTTTGCTTCCGCAAATGTAGGAGCTGTGTCACCACGCCCGTCGCTGCTCATGTGCAGTTTTTTTTCCCTTCATCATTGACAGGCGGCGGCGGCATCCGTGACATGGAGCGCGAACCGGTGGGTCATGGGTCCCGATGGCCCTCGGGATAAGGGATGTATTGTACTCTGCTGCATTGTACATACTGGGAGCCCTTCTATCGCGAGATTGGAGATCCAACCCCGTGGCCCGCCCCTGTCTGCAGGGCCTCACTTGTTGCCCGTCGTTTAAGGCGGGACTCTACGTCCATGACGAGCGTCCGAGACATCACTGCTATATCCAGACTCGCCCCACTTATCGATACTCTACTCTATGTATTATGCAGTAGTAAGTAATACATACCACTCCGCCGGGCCTTCCTCGTCCACATGTGCTGCGAATCCCGATAAGAACCCCTACACGGCGAGTCGTGAGCTGCCTGTACAAGTACAAGTGCCATTTGCTTCCCCTCACTTTTTTTTCCGCCTGCATGCCGCTGTGTCGTGCTGTGTGTCCATCTCCCATCGACATCGCCGAGCTTCCTCTTCTACAGCTTCACTCCCCCCTTCGTCGGTTGCCTCTACACATATGTACACGCCCTCCTGCCGCCTCGAGCCGAGTATTCGTACATGCACTTTGCAGTGAGGGCTTCGTTGAACTACCTATCGTCTTACTCCTCGCAGCCCCGAATCCCATCACCTTCGCTGCCGTGAGCGCAGCGCTCCTTGCTTCCGGAAGCTCATCCCACCATCACAGCCTTCATGACGACCACCTCTCGACTCTCGGAGAACTGCCATCCGCGGCCCTCGGGCGGATCCTCGCCGCCGAGCCCGATCCTCACACCGCGCGCCCACCGCGATAAACGCAAAGCGCTGCACCCGCGAGCCGACGAGAGCGAGGACGGCTATTCGACGCACCCATCGATATACTCTGCCTCGCCGGTGGGCTCCTCCGACTCCGAGTGCGGGCGCGGCGTGGATGGCGTCGCAGACTCGAGCCGGGGGGTGCAGCAGCAGCCGGACACGGGGGTGTTCGAGCAGGAGGTTGACGGCGGCGATACTGATACTGATACGGACCGCGGCGGCGCGAATGGTGAACTCACCGGAAGAAGGAACTTCTCGAGCTTCTCTGGGCTGAGCATGTTGGATACTATCAGCGAGCGGAAAAGTGTGGCGTCGACGGTCGTGCTACATGATGAGGTGGATGATGCCAATGGAGACGATGAGTTCTGTGGCGATGAGTACTCGACAGATGATGAATTTGGGTATGAGTACGGACAGCCGTTTTATTACGAATACGCGAGTCCGACGCAGCCGCTACATCCGGCGAGGTCGAGGTCGGCGCCCCCGAGAGGTGAGGTTCCCCATGTCTTTCTGGCGTTTTCTTGGAACTTTTGCTGGAGTGTTGGGGGAGGGGACGTTACTGTCTCCGGGGTAATCCAGGGACATGGTTGTGACCATCCCGGTGGAGGCAGTCGGCTTACCGATGCGATCACTCGTTTTTGTCTCGGGCACGGCCTGGGACGCTGTCTCAGACCATTTTCAGAAAGCGGCCATTATTCTCACCAATTCCGTACAATCGCTGATAAGCCCTGTGCTGTCGCCAGAAATAAACCCGCTGTTATCACACACGTACCAATCCTCGTCCGTCCCGGTCGTGCACACCTTCTTTTCGCGCTCGCCCACGCACTTCGGCGAGATGCAACACAGCCCGCCGCCACAGCGGCCCGCATTCCGTCCCGTGCAGAGCATGAACCGGTCGTACGGCAGTCTGATGGCGCACCCGTTCCACCGAGCGCCGATGGCCGAGAGCGGTGTGCGAAGGATGATGGATGCTAACGCGCCGACGCCGGACGAGATCGAGAGCCCGACAAGAAGCCGCACTAGCCTCAGTGGAGAAAGGGCTGGCGGCTGGAGTAGGTTCTTGAAAGGCTGCTGCCTGGTCTGCTGCTGCTTGGTCGTCGATGATGAGACGCCGCCATCGCCGCGGAGGCATTGACTGTGCTTGTCGGTGGGCTTGTGTGCCGGTTGGAAGGTCTGGACGGTCTTACTTGTGGCTTTTCGTGCCCGGTGTGGAGTAAATTATACCCGTTTATATTCTTTGCGGTGTTTGGGTTGGTGCTCTGCTTGCTGGTGCTGGTGCTGGTGCTGGTGCTGTTTACTGGCTGGGGTATACTTAATTAGTGTAGATATTGAAGGCGGTGTATTGTGGCTAATGTCTTATGAGTTGATGAGAGCCGGAGGCTCGAGAGTGCGGCGTATATGGCATATGCGGACGCACAGCAGTGTACGGGCACGTAACATCACTCGCTAGGTACTCGCGAAACCAACGACTGTTATGGCGATACGCGGCAATTGGTAGGGCGCCGTAGTCTACATAGACGGGCTGGGTGCGGCAATAAATCGTTGTTCCCTCTCCCTCAAGCGTCAATTGGTAGTATTGGGGGGCTATTATCAGTCACAAATTCTCGGGCATCGGATGTGGACGTGCGGTCGCGTGGCTGAATGGGTTTTGGCAAAGCTTGAGAGTAGGCATACTAGTATACGTGCGGTCGGACTGGAGTGCGGGTGGTGCGCGGGCAGGGAGTATCACTCGTCGACTATTCCAAGCCGCGGAGTGAGGAGCGAAATTTCTTTTCCAGGCTTATTTCCTCAGTGCGCTCTACTCCACATGTCTCTACCTTCGGGAAAGACCAGGGCGGAGGGCGGGGAAGCTATATATATCGGACTGGCTGCTTGACGGAATAGTGGGCCATGATCTACAGTTCTACTCAGATAGGTCGCATGCAATCAAAAGCAAAACAAAAACGGCGTGGCAATGGGCATGCTTTATAAACAAATTTATTTTTTGCTTTCTACTCTCGATACCCAATGCCAATACATCCTACCGTACCCCACACAACCCTCGGCTCGGTGCTTAACCGGAGTGCCAGGAGCTACACAGCTCTAAAACACCGTAACCCCTGGTCGCTATGAACCCGCACCTGTCCCCTCCTTCTCCGTAAAGCAGTCAAGAAGCAACAAACAACCATGCCGCCGATATCACTTTTCGAGAAGCTCACGCTGGTCCTGCGCGGGCTCGGGATAAGTTTGTGGCCCCGTTCCGAGACTCCCTTGAACTACTTGATAGTTATGTAGAACAGCGTTAACGACATCTCGCAGTTCCGCACATGCTTTACGCTGCGATCCACACGCGCTCGCCCCGCAAAATCCGCATTGCCGTAAACCGGTATATCACCGGCGCACTGTCAATCTCGCAGATCCAATATGTGATGTCGCCGACGCTATCCACCTACCGGGCGTTCACTAGCTCCCCCCTCTCCTCCTCCAGCTCCTCCGCAAACATCACCGAGATCCCCGGCGACGCTCCCTGCCGCCTGCTATGGCTCGGCCAGTACCAGCCAGGGAAAAAAGTCCTGCTATACTTCCACGGCGGTGGCTACGTCATGCCAATCACGAAGGAGCACCTGATGTACTGCGAGTACGTGCGCAGCACCGTGGGGCCGGAGGACCTCGCCGTCGCCGTGCTCGAGTACACAAACACGCCGGGCAGGCGGTACCCCTACCAGCTCGCGCAGGCGAGCGCCGCACTGTCGCACCTTTTGGCCAGCGGCGTGGCGCCGGCCGATGTTCGTCTCCATCTCCCCCCGTCTCCCTCGTCTCTCTCTCGCTGCTAACCTCCGTCTGTAGCTCGTCCTCGGCGGCGACAGCGCAGGCGGACACCTGGTGCTCAGCGTGATCTCGCACGTTCTGCACACGCACCCATCGGTGCGTGCCGTATCACCCGCGCTCGCCGCACCGCTGGCGGGGATCTGCCTGCTCTCGCCCGCAACGACGTTCCGCGTAACCGCGGACAGCTTCCGCCGCAACGACGGCAGGGACATTATCAAGCAGAGCACGTGCGAGTACTGGAGCGCGCAGCTGACGGGTGGTGATAGCGGGTATTGGGATGAGGCGGAGGGCGGGGGGTGGTGGGGTGAGGTCGTGAGCGCGCCCGAGGACTGGTGGAGGGGCGTGGCGGGCGTGGTAAAAAGGTGCTTGGTTACTGCGGGGGAGAGAGAGGTTATTCTCGATGATATTCTGAGGCTCGGGGAGACGTTTGAGAAGTTGGGAGAAGACTGGACGGTCGAGAGGGTGCTGGGCAAGGGCGAGATTCATGATTCCGCGCTGATGGATTATATCCTCGAAAAGAAGGCGTGCGGTGAGACGACGATCAGGTCGGCGAAGTGGGTGGGCGAGGCTCTGGGGATCGCGGCGAGAGTGTAAATGCTGATGTGCAACGTTGTGCGGAGGGAATCGGTGGCTGAAATGGAGCATTCATTCATTGTTTACCCTTTTCTGGCTATGTCCGCGGTACCACACATGTTTCCGTTTGGAAGCCCAGATTGGATATCGGGAGTAAAGAAGGAGTGTGCTGTTCTAAGCTCTCGGTACTGTTCTAAGCTTGCCCATGTCTCGGGGGTTGGATTGGTGTGCCGTGGGTGGATGGGGCTTTGTTGGCTGGGGATTTGCTCAACAGTCAAGGCCGAGTGAAGACAATGGCAATTGATAACCCCTTTTCCTCGATATGTCTTCAAGTTCCTAAATATACCTCCATATTCCATTATCACTCCGCCATAACACTCCCCACCCCCAGGGACCCCACTGGTAGCCTGAGATAGGAGAGTGACACATCATGATCCGGGTTAATACTAGCCGTCTACTAGTAGGAGTGGAAAAACATGTGCGGGCTGCCGGCGAGGTACATAGAGTAAACTTGTGGCCCCCTCCATACGGTTGAATCTCACTCCCAGCTCCTCGCCTGCAGAGTTTAGGCAGAATGATTATTCCGTTTGCACACGGTGATGGTTTCTAGGAGTTTGTAAATCTAGGATTCCCCGCCATTTGTGATAGGTTCGAAGATGATTTGAAACGTAGAGATTCCACACAGACTTGGTCGGGCCGGAGAGCTTCAGATCTCGTAAAGAAATCGATTATGCGGGGCGATAGTCGGCTCGATTCTGGCACTAACAATGAGGGTGATGTGTTAACCGGATGAGATACTCTAGCGCCCCCTGGTCAACGCGCTCTGGTTGCTGTGAAGCTCAAGGTTACACGAATTTCTCCTTGAAAACCGAACCTACTCGACAGGCGACCTTTCCTCAACTACGATTCTCAATTGACCTCTCCCAGCTACATCCACCTCCTCACGAACACACAATCCACTATGACTTCCATGAGACCATCCACCACGTCGTTGAAATCGGTGCTCGTGATCGGCGGCTGCGGCTTCCTGGGGCACCACGTCGTGCGGCTCCTGCAGGAGACGCACCCCACGGCCGCCATCTCCGTCCTCGACTTGCGCACCAACATCAACCGTTTCCCGGGCGTGACCTACTACGATGGTGACATCACGTCGCGCGAGTCGGTCGACAGCGTGCTCGCAAAGGAGAAGCCCGAAACCGTCATCGACACCGTGTCCCCCGTCCACGGCCTCGGCAAGGAGTTGTACTTCAAGGTCAACGTCGAGGGCACCCGCATCTGCATGGAGGCCAGTAAGGCCGCCGGCGTCAAGGCCTTCGTCTGGACCAGCTCCGCCAGCGTCCTCTTCGACGGCGAGACCGACGTCATCAACTTGAACGAGACGGCGCCGATTCCAAAGAAGTCGCTGGATCCGTACACGGAGACTAAGGTAGGCCCCGCTACACTCCCCCTCGTCACACACGAATCTGACTGACCCCTCCAGGCGATCGGCGAAGAAATGGTTCTCAAAGCCAACCGCGAAGGCGGGATGCTTACGTGCGCGCTGCGGCTGTCGGGGCTATTCGGCGAGGGCGACCGGCAGCTGATCCCGGGGATGCTTCAGGTGATGGCGAACGGGCAGACCAAGTTCCAGATCGGCGACAACAGCAACCTGTTCGACTTCACGTACATTGGCAACAGCGCGTACGCGCACATCCTGGCGGCCGAGAAGCTGGTCGCCATCGACCCCGCTACCACCCCCAAGAGCCCGTTCACTGTCGATGGCGAGGCCTTCATCATCACTAATGGCGAGCCGGTCTACTTTTGGGATTTCCCCCGCGCTGTCTGGGCGCTCAGGAATCACTACCCGTCGTACTACATCAAGATGCCCCGGGAGGTCGGTGTCTCGCTTGCGGCCGCGGCAGAGGCCTTCGCGTACATCATGGGCAAGGAGCCGGGGTTCACACGGTTCCGGGTCAAGTTTAGTTGCTGGAACAGATACTTTGATATCCGGAAGGCGAAGAAAATGTTGGGATACGAGCCCCTATGGAACCTGCAGGACGGTCTGATCAGGACGTTGAAGTGGTTCGAGGAGGAGGATCAGCAGAAGGGCGAGAAGAAAGCGCAGTAGAGGAGCGTGTGTGGTGGAAGATACCCGAAGCTATGGCTTTTAAACATAAACGCGTTGTAATTTGTTTATATCATGTTCTGGAGCAAGCAAGCGGTAGTCAAGTGTTAATGCGAGAGGATGTATGGAAAAAGGAAGAATAACGCCGCCGAAGTTATGTTGTGTACTGATTGGAAATGTTCACTTCCCCGTGACGTCTGCTTATTTATTTCCAGTCCATATTCCTTATGTTCACAGGAACTATTTAAGTCCAGCGATGCCGTTCCCCACAACTCCCGACCTCTGACATCCAGATCTATATGAAATTATAATGGACGGAATCGGAGCGGACACGCTCTCCGCGACAAGCCCCACGGCTTTAGTAGGGCCGCTCATACATCTCGCACCCTTCCCCGAAGCACACAGACTCACTCACTCACTCCTTTTCCTACCTACCCTTATCCCACTGCCATCCTTCACCTCCTTCACGACCACCTCCTTCTTTGGCCAATCCCTCGCCACGTCGATGCCACTCCTGGGATACCAAAACTCCAGGACCCACCAGAGGAGGTAATCGACGACTGCGCAGATGACAAACAACTTGCCCGCCCAGATACCACAGCCATAGTACCTCTTCAGCCTATCCATAAGACTCGCCTGCTCTCCGCGACAGATGCCATCATAGACGCGCTCCGTGCGCATCGCGACATTCGTCCACGAGTACATCTGCTGGACGCGCTTGTGGAACTTCTCGGTCTTGACGTTTCCGCGGCGCAGTTCTGCGATGGCGCGGCAGGTAGCATCGACGACGTCGTCCTCCTCTGGCCGCGCGAATACCGTCATCCGGCTGGGCAGCACCTCGGGGATCCCGCCGACCTCCGTGCACACCACGTACAGGCCGCAGCTGGCGGCCTCGACCAGCACCGTCCCGAACGCCTCCGTCAGACTCGGGTGCAGGTAGATGTGTCCGCGCACCATCACGTCGCGCACCTCCTCGTGCCGGATGGGGCCGATCATCTCGACGCGGTCCTGCAGCATGTGTTTTTCTATCATCTGCTGGAGGTCGATAGCTTTGGGGCCGGATCCCGCGATCAGGAAGTGCACGGTGGGGTGGATCTCGCATATGCGCGGAATGGCGGCGACGAGGAGGTCAGTGCCTTTGTTGTAGAACAGACGCGAGATCACGACGATCGTGATGTAGTCCTTGGAGGCTTTGCTGGGGTCCGGCTTGAAGTTCTCGGCGACGACGGCGTTGGGGATCACTGAGACGCTCGCAGGGTCGAGCGACGCTCGGAGGACGGTGTTTTCTTTGCTGGTGTGGTTGTCAGCAGAGGGAACAGTGCAATGGGGAGATGTGAAGTACCAGGTGTGCGAAACGCAGATGACATGATCCACATCGCTCAATATAAACTTCAGCAGCTTGTTGGTGAGGATACTCGCCGCATCTGCAAATCCAAACAGACTATGGTCCGTGAAGCAAGTGCGCAGTCCCATCGTCCTAGCATGTAATATGGCCTCATGGCACATGCTACTCAATGACGCATGCCCATGCACGATCTGTATCTTTTCCCGTAGGATAATCTGCCTGAAGATGGGAAAAAAAGAGAAGACCGTGGGCATGGTCGACTCGCGGTAGATGACGAAGAACGGGACGTAGTAGACTTTCAGCCCGTTCGTGAGGTAGCGCACGCCCGATCGCGTGTCATATTGATGCGTGATTATTATTACTTTGTGGCCGCGGTCGGATAGCTTCGAGGCGAGCTGGTAGATGTGCGATTCGACACCACCTACGGAGCACGTTCAGTACGGCCGCCGCCGCTGTGGGAAAGGAGTTGATGAGACGTACATACCCGGCTGGGGGTAGAAGAAGTCGCTGACCATGCTGAGGAACGGTGGAATTAGCTTGGACTCTTCGACTCGAAGGCTGAGGAACATACGCGATGTTGTATAGCATTTTCGTGGCTGATGGTGATTATTGTAGAGAGCTGTCGAGAAGTTCAAGGTGTTATGGACACGGAACCTCCCGTGGTACCATATGCTTATTTACCGATCACGTGGCGTCGGCACAAGTTCTCAGTAGATACTTAAATGCAGGTACATGTCAAGCTGAGGTACGCACCTCAGCTTGAGAGAACATAATATATGGTATCGCTCACAACTCCATTCAGCATAATCTCCAGAGGCTTCTCCGCAAAGAAGTACTCTAGTATTACACTTCAAGACAAATTGAATTCCACCCCAAGATTGCCCCACAACCTAAGCACCCGGGCACCAAGCTCGACTCCTGACGCCGGCTTCAAGTACATGGTCATAATACTACACTGTACGATAAAAACAAGGGAAACACGCGCATAAAGACAAACAGTCAGACCACAGCGAGAAGAAAAGACAAATCAGTTATCACGACTACCTAACCCGCCAACCACCAACTCGAAGCAACCAAGAAATCCACCCGCCTAGAATATGCTGATGTAGTTTCCGATCCTCTCCTTCTGGTTCTGTGCTATACACTCGGCGATCCATGTGATGTTCCTGATTTCCTGTTGAGCGCACACACATTAGCAACTCTTCCTCCATGGCACAATGGCCTTGCGAAACGCGCCGAGGTCCTAATGTTTCCATGTTCCCGTTCCACATAGCAGTGTAAGAGCTCCGTAATTACGGAGCTCCGGGACGGATGGGAAAGGGCCCGCGAAAAAGGAAGAAAACATCGAACAGGATCAAGAGGCTACATACCTGTTCCTTCAGTTTAACCCACGCAAACACAACTGCGTACGTGAACTGCTGTGTGAACGTCGCCTTCGAAATCTCCATCTCCCTCTGGTAGAACAAGTCCTCCAAGCTCTTGGGCCGACCAGCGCCGAGGCCTCCACCTCCGCCCATACCGAAGCCCTGTTCAAAGAAGCTCTTATACTCTCCGATGCCCTCGACTGCTGCTCTAACACCGTCCACGTCGTCCGCGCGCCCGAGCATATATGAGCCCTCCGGATACAGCTTCCCGAAACTGGGGTAGAGCTTCTGGCGTTCCTTTTTGGAGAGCTCAGTGCCGAATGAGTTGAGCGTGATATTGATCGCTCGGCGGTCAGCCTCGAAGCACAGCATCTCGTCCATGATCTCTGCCGAAGGAGTTCCCGCGATTCCGGGCTCCGACATGCAGAAGCGATGGAAGTCCTCCAAGTATGACTTGTACAGGGTGTTACGAATGATCTCAATATTGAGCTCGTCCAGGTCGGCCGACGAGAGATTGCTCTTGAAGTAGGGAGCAAGCGGCGTCTCGATCAGCACCGAGTTGTAGAGCTCCTCGATATTGGTTGCCACGCACAGCACCGGCATCGTCTCGAAAGTACCGAGCGGGTGGCAACGCTCAAGAAGCTCCCGCGTGTCGCGCTCGTGTAGAGTTCCCGTGATCAGCAGCGCGACGTTGTCGATCATGTAACCGTAGGTGAGGTAGTCCATGAACTTGGCGAGAGAGCCTGTAGCATTGGCACGAATGTAGCGGAACTCGGATATGAGCTTCTCGGTGGCTTTGGAGGCGATGGTGGACGTCGAGAGCGGCGAGGGGACGTTCGCGAGGACATCGCCATAGGAGGGCGAGAGCTGGAGCTTGAGGTCATCCAAGTTCTCGCATTGAGTTAGGTTGGAGTAGTTGGCGGAGGTAAGAAGGCTGTTGCGATAACCACGCACAAGGCCCTCGATGTAGCCGTTATTGACGTTAAAAAAGAGGCCTTCCATTGTTGATTTGGGGAGCAAAGTTTCGGGAGAGGTGTGTGTGTTGGAGGTCGAGGCGGTGACGCGAGCTGCAACCGCCCAAACAGGGTCCCCAGGGAAGGTTGTTACCCGACGGCCGCCGTCGTCATCCACCCGGTTACAGCTGCGAACAGTCCGCCTAAGCTACAGCCAAGCTCGTCCGACAGCGCCTCAGGCAAGAAAAATGGAAGTTTCCGGTTGCGGGCACACTTTTACTCGGTGAGCGCTTGCTACTCCGAAGTGAATCATCTAGCATCACTCGTATTATTGGATCGTTGGTGAGTTTTCCGTCGAGCGGGAGGTGGCCACAGTTAGTTTGGACAGGCCAAGTGCAACAATAGATTGATGTTCTCTTTTTCTGCCAAGTGGGGCTGTGTGCAAAATAAATTGATGTTCTCGCCCTTGTTACCGAGTGGAGGAATTCGGATGTACTATGTGGAGGACTCACTATTTGGCTCTCTACACTGTGGGATTTTCTGCATTGCTAATGTTTCCGAATTGACACCGATGGCGGCGTTGACTTTGGCGCATGTAAGGCCCGTCCCCCGGAATGATGAGCTGTTTTGTCCTCTGTTTCCAGGTACTTCCCGGTGCAAGACACTTTGGTAGCTCTTAGGTTATCCACTGGGCATCCAAGGCGAATTACATATCTCCACACCATGAACAAGCCATGGACAGGGTAAAAAAGTGGTGCTGCGGAGACGAAAACGAGCTGTGCTTGTAGTTCCGGCTCAGACTTGCCTTTCTCGGATGGCTGCGAATTGTCTGTGGATGGCCTTGCTATGTACTCCGTAGCTACCGTACTCTACTTACCCATAGGTACTAGATCTGGCTCCATGATCCGTGCAACTCCAAGGCTTCTACTACTGCAGAGGCAGGTACATGTCACCACGCATCACTCACGATGTGAACCCTTGTGTTTCTATCCACTTGTACAACCCGGGATCTGCAAGGCGTACATCCATCTAAATTGCTGTTCCGATGGATGCTGAGTGCTCTCGGGACCCGGAGGTGGACATCGTGATCCGCAATTCCAGGCATGTACAAATACCCGCGCTTCACCCCACTCCTGAAGAGAAGACCGGTACCTACCCCTCCGTACGATCATAATGGCACGTTTATACGCCCTTCTGGGTCTCCTATCGCTGGTCTTCCCAGCCAGCGCATCCACAGATGATTGCCGCTCCTTTCCCGGCGACGCTGACTGGCCTTCCACGAAGGAATGGGCCACTCTAAACAAAACCGTGTCTGGCCGTCTCGTGGCGACGACACCAATCGGGTCTCCTTGCCATGAGCCCAACTACGATGCCGCGGCCTGTGCCTTGATTCGCGAGGGTTGGCACGATCCAACCTTCCAGTAAGCAGTTTCTTTCCACATATATCGCGAATGTTTGACTAACGATACTTTCAGCGACGAGTCATCATCTTCCATAATGGCGCCCGTATGGACAAACCGTTCATGCGATCCATTCACATCGACGGATTCCCCCTGCAGCCTAGGAAACTACGTGCACTACGCCATCAACGTGACGAAGCCCGCGCACATAGCCGCCGGAATCCGCTTCGCACGCAAACACAACGTGCGCCTGGTGATCCGGAACACAGGACACGACTACCTGGGCAAATCGACGGGCGCGGGCGCGCTAGCGGTGTGGACGCACCGCCTCAAGAATATCGAGCACATCGCGAAGTACAAGGGGGCGCACTCGTGGACGGGCGCGGCGTTGAAGCTGGGCGCGGGTGTTCAGGGGTTTGAGGCCTACGACGTGGCGCATAAGCTGGGACTGCAGATCGTTGGCGGCGAGTGTTCGACTGTGGGCATCGCGGGTGGTTACACGCAAGGTGGTGGGCACAGTGCGCTCAATTCTCGGTATGGCCTGGCGGCAGATCAGGTGCTGGAGTGGGAGGTGATGACGGCGGACGGTGAGGTGCGAGTCGCCAACCTAAAGAAGAATAAGGAGCTGTATTGGGCGTTGTCTGGTGGTGGCGGAGGCACGTACGGTATTGTCACGGCGATGACCGTCAAGGCGCACCCCGATTCCGTGACGACGATGGCCAAGATCTCGTGGACACACGATGGGAGCGAAGAGCAGGTGGCAAAGTGGTGGGAAGCTGTGGCTTTCTTCCACTCCCTTACACCTGGATACACCGATGCAGGGGCATTCTCGGTCGATGTGTATTTCACTGGCTCGTTCTCGTTGAATCCATGGTTCGGCCCAGGGTTCACAGCCGAGGAGGCAAACGCGCAGCTGGCCCCGCTTGTCGAGAGGCTGCAAGAGCTGGGGCTGCAGCACACCGTCAACATCACCGAGTTTAGTGGCTATCTGCCTGCCTATAACGCCGCATTCGACTACATACAAGTGGGAATCGCGCAGTACGGCGGACGGTTGATTCCACGGTCACTCGTAGTGAACGAACCGCAGCGACTACAGGAGACGCTGAAGGGTATAATCAATTCCGGCTCCCTCATCTTTGAGGTTACAACGCACCCGACGCTCGAAATAGCTGGGTTCCCCGACAACGCAGTTCTCCCAGCGTGGAGAGACAACCAACTCAACCTTGTGGTTACGATGTATTTCCTCCTGCCCCTCACTCCGTAGTGGAAAGCGATTCGCTGACATATGTATCCAGTCCGTGGAATGATACCGCAACCCCCGCCTCCATCATTGCAGACCAGCAAACAATCACGAACAAATGGGGTGGTGCGTTGCGCGAGCTGGTACCAGACTCGGGGGCATATATGAACGAAGGGGATCCATTCGAGCCGGACTTCAAAAAGGAGTTTTTTGGCATCAATTACGATCGCTTGCTACGCATCAAGGACAAGTATGATCCCGACCAGATTTTCTACGCGATTACTGCGGTTGGGAGCGACAGGTGGGCGACCAGAGAGGATGGGAGACTGTGCAGGAATGATGAAGGGAAATTGCAAAGTGCCGTAGGGTTGTAGTTAAGTGGGTAGGCGGGTTTACGATCGAAGGAGATAGAAGCTACAAGTGGCGCCAATTGATGTCAAGATGCTTCACATCGGAACGTCCAAGATATATATCCGTCCCATATTTCTCGATATCAATCTGAATATTAACATTCACTTGCTTTTGCGAAGGCCGAGGGTCCTAGTGAACCTCGCAAATTGTGAAGATTCAAAACTGTAGCCTGTAGCCAACTCAGGTAGCTTGATCATGGGAATTCACACTGCTTTATCCTCCCCCACTGTCCGTTCCGACTTCGTGTAGGTTCCTTTCCAAGTCTAGCACCATAACGTTTAGATATCCCATGTTTTCCAACAGGATATGAGTCCGGCCCAGCACTATCAAATCACCCGAAGAAATATGCGTCAGCACAGCCGAGCGAACCCAAAGGCATGATACGTAATGTAGAAGGACATAGTTCAAGACTGGAAAACAGATGTTGGGAAACTGTATGCCTCTGTATCTCCTGTTTTCTTCTATATAAACCGCCCATCTTGCCTGTTCTTTCGTATCTTCATCAAGTCAGATAGCCAATACAATATTGAGACTCCTGTCCTGCAACTCTCCCTCTATCTCTCGCTATACCGCATCTTCTGTTCGTACGATCTCCGAACTTCCGCACCGCCCAAACGACCACCATCTTCCAACACAACAAATCACCTATCGCTAGGCACCCGTATAATCCACTATGTTGAACACTGAAATGTACAACTCCAAGTACAGACCCATCGAGAAACTTTCCCCAGACAGCTACGACACTTGAAAACTGCGCATTTCGGCAATCCCCTCGGCGATGCTCGCACTCAAGACTATTACCGGCGAAGAAACCGAAAACTCCCTACCTTCAGAAACCCCACTGCGAACATTGCGAAACTTGAAAGCTGCAAAAAGCGTCCAAGCTCTTGCTACGAAAGTAACCCTACTCTCCTGTAACCACGAAGGTCAGCAGATGTTCGCAGTGGGGTTTCGGATAGGTAGGCGTTTTCGGTTTCTTCGCCGGTAATAATCTTGAGTGCGAGCATCGCCGAGGGGATTGCTCTCCGCCCGGCTCATCCGTACATAGAAAGAGAGACAGAAAGCTGTACATTTCGGTGTTCGACATAGTGGATTATGCGAGCAGCGAAAAGTGACTTGTTATGTTAGAAGATAGAAATTTGATAGCGCTGGGCTGGGCTCATAACCTGTTGGAATTTGATGATTGAGTATTGTATTGAGAGAGTCTGAAAGCCTCGAGAGAAGACACGGAAGAGGGTGGTAGGAGAGGGAGAGAAAATCTAGAGAGGCGGCCAGTGCTTCCCGCCGTCATGACCGTGTAAGCGACTAAACAACGAGTGAGATATTATAACATCCCTCACAAGGACATAAATCGAGTGATCACGCGTGAGACACTCTCGGCAACATGAGAGTGCTTTTTCTTTCAAAAATGCATGAATTGCTTCTATTATGAATTAAAAATTGTATTCAATGCATTAGATTGTTATTTTCAAGCTCATGAGCTTGAAAGTAACAAAAAGCTAGCCGGCAATATCACGAACGCGTAACAGACTGCCACGCTACTTCACGCTGGCATGCAATCCGCGTCACTCATCACTCTACACAACTGCACTCATTCTCCACAATTACGCACCCCAACGACCATCAACCACACCCATACCTCACCTACCGCCACTCCAACCTTACCTACGCCCATTCATCCATACCCACATCCTCGACAATGTCCGTCCTCCCACCGCGCTCCCACCGCCGCCCGGCGCTGATCCCCTACCACGCCGACCTCTCACAATCGCTCTCCGCCGCCTCGGCCGCGCTCCGGCTCAGTCGCTGCTGCGCACGGCTCTCAGCGCCGCTCAACGATGAGTGCAGAAAGGACGTGTTTCTTTGGGTGGGTGCTATTCTACTGACATACCGACTGCGTGCGCCGACTGACGAGCATAGGTGAATGGCGATGATGAGGATATGGGCTGTGCGGTTACTGCCCAACCCGTGGTGACTGCGACCGCATGAGGCGTCTGCTGCTGTGGCCGATTACGATTACGATTTACGACACGACTGCTATGAGTTACGTTTACGACTTTATGTTATGAGTTACGAGTTATGAATTACGAGTTATGTTTTATGAATTACGAGTTATGTTTTATGAGTTACGATAAATGATTTCTACGCGCAAACGACAATATTGGAAGAAAGGGAGGTGCTCATACGATGAACCTCGGGGAAGGAGGAGGAAGGAGAGGTTCTGTGAACTTTTGTAATGAGGAGATTTGTGCGTTACCTTTGGGATAGGGATGGATAGGGGTGGATCGGGGTTGCTTTTGGCTTCAGGTTTGGATGGAATGCGAGCGCGGGCTCAAGGCTTTGGCGTTAGATAGCCAAGGTAGTTTGTATGGAATGGATGGCGAGGGTTACTTCACTCCTAATAATGATACTTCTCTTGTACTTTCGCTAGTCTTGGTTCATCTCATGAGGAGCCAACAGGTTTAACTGTGAAGATATGACGCTGGACCACCTGATGCCCGCGCTGTTCGTGGAGCTTTGGCATAGCCAGAACATTCTGATCACCTTCTTGTCACTTGACAGAAGTCTTTGGAGATGTCTATTCCAAAAAACGAATCTTGAAATAGTGGTTTGCATCGTGTCACTCCCGAAAGTTATATTAGTACGACGACTAGCGGATCGCCGCTGGAGATTGCCAATGAAGGGAAGAGAATAAGAGAGTGGGCCGACATCGAGGAGGGGTTGGTGAGAATAGAGGAGAATGAAGCGTCTTACGTCTGCCGTAGCTGTGCGACATCCATCTACGGATCCTCCATCTTCTTGTGAAGTCATGGTGCCGCCATCGTCCATGCCTGAGTTTGGGCTCTCCGTCAGAAACGTTTCCGTCGACCTCGGCAGCAAAAGAAAAAGGGAAAGCGAAACAGCACCAAGCTGCGTTGGCACGCCGGTGCATAGGCGAGCCGTTTGTACAATAAGCGCAGGTGCGGCTGGCATTCGCGGACCGAACGCTACTCTCGAAGCACCTTTGCTATCTACGTGAATGACCCGCATAGTTTCTTTACCCGACTCCTCGTTTTGAACTCGGTATTTCACGCGTGACAATTCCGCCAGCAGTCTTGTGGACCTCCCAAAAGCCACCTGCCAAAGATCTACCAGCGAGTCCCTCGGCCATGTCCCGGCCCTTTCATCTTCCGTTGCCTGCTCCGCACCTTCTCATCCGGCTCTTCAATGCGTCTCTCTTCCCGCCACCGCGTCGCGCGCGCCTCGGCTCTTGTCCCGGTCCTCTCTGGCCCGTTGATTGAGTTTATAGGGTCTAGTGCCGCCGCCGCCTCCGAGGTCTGGCTCGGCGGTTCGACTCTCTTCCCCGGCCAGGGGTGGAACCCGTCGTTCCACATCCGTAATGGCCAGGAATACATATGAGAAATTCCGACCCGCCTCATGCCGACTCATTCTCAGAGTGATATTTCATGGGTAGCTGAATTCCACGATTCTCGAAAAAGGAAAATCCCCATCAGACATTTCGCATTTCGCCTCGATAATCCTCGAGAACGGACAGTAATTCTCCGCCGATCGTTAACGGCCCTGCAGACGCCAGATGGTGGCTTGTGGTTGTCTAACCGCTTTTTATTTCCATGGTCTAACCCATTAGGGACAAGTCAGACGGCCACGGAGAAAAAGCGCGAACGTCGGCGTTTTCTGCCGACTTTGGCATCATCGTGCATGGGGACCTCGTCGGTTCTCGATATGTGCCAATCGATATATTTGTGTTCCATCCACCTTCTTCAAAGAGCTCGAGGAACCATGGTTTTCCTGTAACGAAACACCGCATGCACGACATACCTCATACATACGGAAACCAAACATCAGAGAACAAACTTCTCCATGGGGTTGACCGCAGCTCCCGCCCGCGCAGAGTTTCGACATGCTAGGCATGGATATGGGCTGATAGCGTTGCGCGCAACCTTGAACGTGAACTTGAACCTAGAAATCTCAATCTAGACCAGGTATTTTCTAGTTTGCAGAGAGGCTGTCGCGTGCAGTGGGAACGGCCATGCGGGAGATCGTACTCTACTTAAAAAGGTGGTTAGCCACCTCCGGTTGGCCGGAGGCCGTCCCCCTTTTTCCGTGTCAGAAGCAGTTCGCCTGCAATCATTCTCTGCAGCTGTTTGGAGGTTTCGTGATACCCTCATGAGTTTACGCACGTATTGTTTCCTCTCCCAGTGACGTTAAGACGTACGTATCACCATAGCAGCGTTGCTGAACACTTTGTACTGACGTATCCGAGACCATCATAGAACACACGTCCGGATCTACCTAGCTCTTCGTTCCCGAGAATATCGTCCACGTCTACGTGATGGAAGAAAAAATCGAACCTGGGTGCGGCACACCGTCGGAGCTACCTATTACCCATTACGAAGTAGCACGAACAACGGAACTTGCGAAGGATCCGGAGGCGCTTGCCAGGTCGTACGGCCCGGCAGGATTGAAGGGTCTGCTTCAATCGGGATTCGTCGTAAGATGCGCGGTCTTTGCCGCGATGGGTGGCTTCCTGTTCGGTACATTCTCCCGTCAGCAGGCATTTGGGGTGCGCTTCCGGCTGATGCTTCTATAGGCTACGACCAGGGCGTGATATCGATCACGTTGACGATGGATCACTTCAACGACATGTTTCCGAGGATCGATGCGAACCGGAATTCTTCGGCAGGCTTCTGGAAAGGGTTGATGACCGCCATGTTGCAGCTCGGCGCACTGTTGGGCGCAGCACAGGCAGGGTTTCTAGCCGATAGACTTTCGAGGAAATATGCGATGTTCGTGGGGTTCATCTGGTTCCTGATTGGCAGTGCGATCCAGACAGGTTCCGTGACATACGCCATGCTTGTCATCGGCCGTACCGTTGGTAAGTGGCTCATGTAGTGCAGCATCCGACCTTGCTTACTGACGTGCAATTGCCCCTCAGGCGGAATTGGAATCGGTACCTTGTCCATGGTGGCGCCCCTCTACATCTCGGAAATATCGCCTCCAAACGTGCGTGGTTCGTTGCTGGTTTTGGAGGAATGGAGCATCGTCTTTGGAATCATCGTCGCGTTCTACATCACCTACGGTACCCGGTTTATCGTCAGCGATTGGTCATGGCGACTCCCGTTCCTTCTCCAGCTTTTCCCAGCTATTGTTCTCTGCGCCTTTATGAAGATATTGCCGTTCTCGCCCCGTTGGCTCGCTGCGCAAGGCCGCGACGAAGAGGCACTCAAGACTCTGGTGAGACTGCGGCAGCTGCCCGAGACGGATGAGCGTGTTATAGCCGAGTGGATAGAGGTCCGCGCGGAGGCGGCAGTGCAGAAGGAGGTTCAGGCCGAGCGCCACCCCAACCTTGTGGCCGACACTAGTACCATCGCCGGTTTGAAACTTGAGCTCGTTAGCTGGGCGGACACATTCCGCAAGAATAGCTATAAGCGCACGTTAGTTGGTGAGTTTCACGTGTGTGTGTGGCAGGACGAAACCTGTCGATGGCTAATGATTATTAGGAATGGGATTGATGCTTTTCCAACAGCTCGTCGGAATCAACGCGATGATCTGTATGTTTTTCTGCGTGTGTCTTGATGGCAACTTCTAATGATTGGACAGACTATGGCCCCTCACTGTTTGAATCTCTCGGGCTCGACTACGAGATGCAACTCAACATGTCCGGTGTCATGAACATACTGCGTGCGTCATATCTACTTCTTTTGCAGCACTCGACGACTAACATTTCGCAGAGCTTGTCGGAGTGACTCCAGCCATCTTCCTGATGGACCGCGTCGGACGTCGACCTCTCCTCCTCTGGGGTTCAGCAGCAATGTTCATCTGCCACGTGATCGTCGCAGCCGTAATCGGCACGTACCAAGGAGAATGGGAACAGAACAAGGGCGCCGCCTGGGCCGGGATCTCCTTCATTTTCGTGTACATGGTCGCCTTCGGCCTCAGTTGGGGCCCCGTCGCTTGGGCGATGCCAGCAGAGCTCTTCAACTCCACCCTGCGCGCAAAGGGCGTTGCACTAGCCACCTGCTCAAACTGGTTTAATAACTTGTTCGTCCTCGCCCTATTCCACTGCCCCCCGCCGCCACTGACGTAAATGTAATAGCATCATCGGTCTCATCACCCCGCCACTAGTCCAGCACTCTGCTTATGGTGCGTTCGTTTTCTTTGCGGTGTTTTCGCTGCTCTCTGGCGTGTGGACTTGGTTCGTCGTGCCCGAGACCTGTGGCCGCTCGCTCGAGGACATGGACGAGATCTGGGGGGATGACTCGGGGAAGAAGGATAAGGAGCGGACGCTCGTGGTGGTGTCGAGATTGGAGCGCCAGCTGGCGGAGAGAAGCTCGGCGGTGAAAGCTATGTAAACGCTTGATGAAGGCATGTATGCACGCTATGTAAGAACGCATGACGATGGTGTACGAGGATGGATTTATACGCTATATAGTACTTGTATGTAAAATTTAATTACGATTCCCCGCTCATGTCGAAAATCTTTTGTCGATGAATTGAATTGTGCTTCCGAGCCTGTGGGACTCGAGACAGAACGACACGATAACTTAATTCTCAGCTCATCTATACCCCCGAGACAGTATGTAACCCTAGAGATCCGTTGGGGCATGCATGCACAGCTCGCTCTCCGAACATCGGTTCACCGTTCCACCACGTTCCTACCCTCGGCGCCATGCACGGCGGATTACAGCTTATATATTGCCCCACGGTGTCGACGAAGTTTTGCGCAGCCGTAGGCCCGTAGGCTCCGTAGTATCAACCACGAGGCTGTGATCCACTAGTACCGCAGGTCATCCGCAGTGCGGCTGGTACGGGTGATAGGAACCGCAAACACTCAAAGCCTTGCGAGTGTGTGTGCGCAACACACGGCCCATGGCTAAGTTCGCTGTTCTCCAAGCCTTGCGTTACAATAGTCTATGTACATACGAGAAGTTGGTCCGCATGCGCACATCAACAGCCTACCTGGCTGTGTTCCTTTCTTTATTTCTTCCTTCCTTCCTTCCTTCCTTCCTTCCTTTCTTGCCTCGTGGCATCCGACAGGGACGTTGGTATCTGCTAGTAGATCGCGCCTCCATTCCCATCTTGGAACGAAACCCCCCCCTCTCCAAGGACACTTCTGTACCGAGTGACGATCCGTGCCCGCCGCGACCCCGCATCCTCGGTATGCACCTCGGTATGCACGTCCCTGGCCGCCGCAGCATCAGCATCTGCACCTGCACCTGGGCCTGAACCTGCAGCACCTAGCCGACTGACCAGAAGAAGGTTTAATTTCGAACATGGACCATGGGGCGACCGGGAGGTGACCTGCATAAGCTATAACGGGGACCAGTGGCCGTTGCAGACTTGCAGTGGGCAATGTGCAATTCCTCGTTACAGGTAGCGACATTACTTAGAACTTGCATAGAACTTAGGAATCAGGATAGACGTATATAGACGTTCTAATGTACATTGTGCACAAAGAAGTCGAGGAACGTGGCCATAGCGTGGACTTCGTGGACGGGAGGGGAAAGAATGGAACCTGCTTTGGATTCTGGAATGATTGACGAATGTGATGCTTAGGTACTCTACAAAACCGTGCCTGTGCCTGTCGATCGATCGATCGATATCCGGATTTTGGACACGGGTGACGGAAGGCGATTCGAATTATGAAAAGGAAAGCATTGCCGAGATATGTAGTTTAAATTTTGTGGGACCGGGAATGATATGAGTGATATGAGTGATATGTAGATAAAAAGGTAGTATGGTATTTGTCCACCCTCCCGCCCAATGCCCATCCAATGCAGTGCCGTCCGTAGCTGAGGAAGCTACGATAAAATACATATCTCTCCTTCCTTTCCCCGAAATAATACACATATCTCTGCTGTCCCCGAAACAAACAAAAAATAAAACAAAACGATATAACCTGTTTGATATGCGCCAGATCCGTTTCGATAAATAAAAAAAGAAACTCCCAAGAAACCCCCTGCACATAACCATAGGAAAAAAAACACAGAGACCTTCAGGACAATGTATCTATACATCTTCTTCTTTAGCCCCGTGCCTGCAGATCGTGATCTCCGCAGACCCGGCTGGTCGGACTCGGCCCGTGGGGTATCGTTGCTTCGGCACCGTCATCGGCGTGCGGCATGTGCGAGACTCTGGGCCGGGTGGTGGGGAGGTGTATTGACGGCCGTTCCTCCACGTCCTCCTCGTCGTCTTCATTTTGATGATGATGTTGGGGAAGGTGAATCTGGTCCGGTATGGGCCTGCATATGGGGGTGATGCCGGCGGGATCCATGGGCACGTTCATCATGACGGTGGTGCAACCCGTGCATCGCTCGTGCTGGCACTCGCTGTACGAGCAGATGTTTGCGTCGTCGGAGTCTTTTACGACCATCCATGAGTTGCCGCATTTGCAACACATCCACCGGCGGACTCGGACCATCCTGAGCTTTGTTTTTCGGATATGGGATTTGCCGGAGTGGGGGGCGGGGGTGGGGGGATGCGAGTGCTTGTGCTGTAGGTAGGTATGCTAGTATGTAGGATCGGCTCGAGATTCGGGGTTGATAGCTGGTGATAATATGCTAGGATCGAGAGACTCCGAGGGGTTGATGGCTGGTGATAGTTATGCTGACAGTGGTAGCGAATAGAGTGGCGCCGGAATTCAAACAGCAGTAATCGGAACTGGTCGTTGCGTCTTAAATAAACATCCGTCAGCCCAGGTTCGGTATGTATTATTTACACAAGTCTGTGAATGTTTGCAAATTTGCAAATTTGCAGGACTTCCAATCTCCGTCCGCCTTAGAGAGCCTCAAAGGTGAACGGAAATGCAGGACGTCATCGGGGCCTGTCCCCGTTCCCAAGCGACAATTAAAGCCCCTCCAGGGCGCTGGCGGGCGACAGCCCCGTCTTGGACAGGTTCTTAGGTCCTCATCTTGATGGTTGACACACAGAGTCGGTGAGATCTACCTTTGCGGCTAATCCCTAAGCAGGAACCAACACTCGACGCCAAAAACGTGGCTCGTTTGTGTTTTTCTTTTTTCTTTCCTTTTCTTTTTTTCCTTTTTTTGTTTGCCTTAGCGACGGTGCTGCGGGTTACGTGATCGATTAGCTACCGTCCTATACAAATTGGTTTCTCGACCAGGAGGGGAAGGGCGGTGTGCGTTTTCTTTCTCTTTAGCGGTGAAAAGAAATGCTGTTCGAGCCCTCGGTTCTCTTCCGTGCATGGTGGCTGCTCTGAGGAGCTGTCACACGTACCCTTTGATTTTTTTGTGTGTGTGTCTGCGGAATTCTGTTCGATGCGCAGGGGTTGCGGGTTGGGGTTGAGGTTTGAGGATAGACGACTGCCGTCAAAATGGTCGATGTGACGAACGAGTCGATTTGGATTGGGGGCGAAACTTGGACTGGACCTCGTTCAAACTTTGTCGGGGCCGCTTCACCAAGAAACTGCTCTGCTGCTTGCTGCTTGCTGTTTGCTGCTGACGATTGAGGTGCTGTATAGAGTTCTAGTAGTAGAGGGGGGAGATTCCGAGTCGCTGGGCAGACCCTCTTTATAGTCAGCCATAAGCTTCTTTGCTTCCACCACCACCCCCTCTTGTTCTCCCCCATCCCCATCCGTTCCTTCTAACCCGCACCGCGCAGCAGCTACGCCGTAGCGGAGACCCTCTGACAGCATACCTTGCTGAAACATCCCTAATGTCAATCCCCGAGCCTGCCTTAGGCGAGAGACGGCGTTATTGTCGTCGTCGCCGTCGTTCCTTGCGGGCTGGACTGACTGGCATATCCCTCCGCTCTGGTGCCGCGGCGGAGCGACTCTGTCTGTCTGGACTCTGCCCTGCAGCACTGAATACATACACACACTCTCTCACAAACTCACACACATACACACATACACACACACCCCCGCAGCCATACACATACCGTCATCTTCATCACGGTCCAACCTGCACACACAGAGACACGGCGAGTGTCTTACATCCGTCCGCTTTCGGAGGGTCGGTGCCAGCGGACAGCAGGGGGTTTCCTGGGCGGTTTATACCACACATCGAATCCAGCATCTCCTATGGCGGCGGCGGCAGTGGGTGGTGGTGGTGGTGGTGTGGAGTTGAGTGAGAAGTGAGAAGTGAGATCCGACAAGGCTCCGGACCGGCTGCGCCTCAATCTCTCGACACAGCGAGTAGGTATAAGTATACTAGGTATAGGAAATACTTGGCTACATAACTACATGCTGGCCGGCTGCACGCAACGAATAAGACGGACACGGGGTGTGTGTGAAGGCAAGATGTCTGGTACATATCTCCGAATGCAGCGGTCCGCCAGCTCCGGCTTGCAAACGCTTTCCTGAGCAGCTTTCTCTCCGCTGTGGGTGCGTCTGTGTGCTGATTCCAGAGTAGTTGCAGCCTTGTCTGCTCCGGGGAGTGGATGGTTATTGGTTCTCCGTTGGCGGTGGCCAATGGTGGTGGTGGTGGAGGTGGTGGCGGTGCTGTGATGTTGAGGTGTTGTAGTGGGATGTCCTTGGCCTACCATACATACCATGATACACACTCCAACTGCATGTCTATGCGACTGTGGAGGAATCAGCCTCGCCCAGACTGCACAGTGCAGACTCTCCCGTTCCGATGACGAAACCCCACAGGCGGTGGATCCGATTCTGTCAGACAACAATTATGTACTGTCGTGAGTAAACACCAACTAACAAGAAGATCTCTGCAGAAGCCAGCCATATCCGCTGCACGATGGACACCTGCAATTGGGTGCAGAGGAGCGCACCCATGAGCGGGGGAGGGGGGGTATGCAGTCGTCGTCTTGTCCTTCTTCATCTTCACGCCTACCCGTGTCAACCGGTGCCGCTGCATGTGCGATCAGTGTGCATTGGGCGTGCAGCGCCAGCTAGAGTACTCTACAGACAGAAGCAGCCACATCGCAATTCGCATACATATGCGACGCACGGATTCGCGTTGATTATTGGGCCGTCAAGAAAGTACATGAAAAAAGCCCAGAGACTGAGAGACAAGCCCAAAGGTTGGTTGTTGTTGGTGGTGATGGCGATGGCGGCGGAAGTTAGTTAGCGAACGGGCTTGTACGCAGGCGGACGCGAGGAGGACGTCGTCGATGACCGTCGACGGCGTGGGGCAGAGCGAAGGCCGCAATCCGAAAAGAAAGAAGAAAAAACGAAGAAACCGAAACAAAACAGAATCTCCTTTCCTCCGTTCCTCTCTCAGTCCTCAGTCCTCCCGTCCTCCAATCTTCCCTTCCTTTGCAAATTCCCTCCCTCCGTCCCCCTCCATTTTCGCGCTCTCACTCCCCCTCTTCCTTCCTCATCTTCCTCCAAGGTTCCATCCTTCCCCTGCAACGGCCCTCCCGACCTTTTTTATGGTAGCGGTACATACCTACGGTACCTTCCTAGCAAACCAGACCAAACCAGACCAAACCAAACCAAACCAAACCAAAGCCATCCCTGGGTTGGGTTTCTTGTTGCGATCGGCAAAACCCTGCAATCGCAAAAGGAAAGAAAAAAACAGGTGTCGGGGTTTCGAACATGGGAATTGTAGCAAAATCTGATATGTGGCCTGGAGCGGCGGGGATGCGCATGCCCATCTAAGTACTGGTACTTGGCTAGGTATGTTGCTTCCGAAAAGAAAGTCAGATCTGGTCAACGGGGACGGGGGGATGCCTGGGCCGTGAGGTGAGGCATTGAGGCCGTATGTGCTGGGTATTGGTAGTTGCTGTGTACGATTCTCTCCTCTCTGTGCTCTGATATGGAAACAGATCGGATAGCTACAGACGGATACCTACCTCCTACTGTGCCGAGTCTGCTCTAGAATACTCAGTAGAGGCTTCGGGGCTTCCAGAATCCAGAGCGACCCCGTCCGGTATGTACAAGACGGACGCAAAGTCGACTTACCTAGGCAGTACATAAATACCTGGTTTGTATGGAGCACGAGTGCCCGTTATCTCGTCGTTCCAGAATCCAGAGTCCAGAAGTCCAGCAGTCCAGAGTCCAGACTAGGTATCATGCGATGCGATTCCATCTGGAGTCTGGAGCCTGGGGCACATGGAATAGAGCACCGTAGTATACATATCTCCTGCATGCGGATGACAAAACGAAACAAAAAGCCTTCCAAGTTCCAACGTTCCAAAGTTCGGCCGCAGAGCACGGAGCACTGACGCCGAAGCGGAGGAAAGGAAAGAAGAAAAAAACAGAATATCGATCGAGATATTCGAAACCAGCAAGTACACCCTCCCGCAAGTTCCATGTTCCAACGTTCTCCGCCGAGTCGAGTCGCTCGCATCCATAATCCACGGTACATATGCTAGCCGCCAGAGACCCAGGGCCAGAGTGCGTGAACCCCTCTCTGCGCAGTGCGGAGTACTATGGAGACTCTACATACAACAACAACATACAACAACAACCATCCACCCCTCCACCCACACCCCCATTTCTCATGTGACTTCCAACGTCCCAGCTTCTCGGATACTACTAACTAATCCCCTCCCAGGCGATCGGATTGGCTGGCCCGTCGAAATGAAGTGATCCCGGCCACAGTTCCACATCAATCGCACCGCGGACTCCGGAGAGCTGGGTAGGAGCTGGATGATCCTAGCAAGCGGCAAGCAAGATGCGGCGTTTCCCTTTCCTTGTCTTGTCTTCTCTACACACATACCCAGGTCACACTCCAGTTTAAGCAGGTCTTCCCACCTTCCCTCCCTCCCGAGCCCGAGCCCGGGAAGTGTCGATGCGGTCAAATCGTACGACGGTACTATGATATGACGGAAGCGTCATTCGTGGATAGGTTCGGGCTCTGCCGCGCACGTGTGTTGTGCGCACATACACACATACATGGAGGGGGGCGGAGGGGAGTGGAAGGGAGTGGAGTAGTACATACAACTACATGGTCCATCCAGGTATACATAGTATCGCCGGAACGGTTAAACCAACAGGACCAGGTGCTCTGAGCCTCTGCCGCCTGCGTACCGGTGGGACGGATGCGGATAGTTATCATCTTAATTACCGGTAGATACGGTACTCTAGATACTCTAGATCCTTCTGGCTTTCTTCTGGCTTTCTTCTCTCGGTCGTTCCATCCGATATTGCATACTGGGTGTAGAGTTGCTTCTGGGAAACCGAAACCAACCGGCGTACTACCTATGGCTTGCTGTGTTTCTTTCCTCCTCCTCTTCATTTTCCTCCTCCTCCTACTCGAAACCAACGGTAACTCGCTATGTTTCTTTTCTCCTCCTCTTCCTCCTCCCCTCTATCGCTTGGCCAACATTTGACTCTCCCCACCTATTGGCCAGCCGCATCCGCAGTTCGTCTCGTCTTTCTGTGCGTCTGGAACATCCAACAGCACCGAGCCCACCAGTGCCACCACGAAGTTCCAAGTTCCAACAACAAACGCCGCTGTTCGGAAAGCTCCAACTCAACACCCATGTTGCACCATACCTACGCAGTGGATCTCTCCTGATCGATAACTGATAAGTTACAGCGCCTTCCACGTCGTCGTCGTCAAGGGTTCACCTCACGGGCGAGGGCACCGCCCCATCACCGTACTCTACTAGTTTACTACCTAGTAGAGTCCAAGTCGACGTCCGGGTCCGAAGTGACAGCTGACACCAAGCTGAGTTGAGTTTCTGGCGATCGT